ACAAATCCAGCCACATGACCAAGAGCTGGTTCTCAGCCTCATCCTCCCCTCCACAATGAGGTCAGCCTCATCCTGTCTAATCCTTGGGAATCAGGCCCTCACCCCAAGTAGGCCTCTGGGGAGCCCAAGCCACCCGTTTAGACAGATGCCCACAAGGGGATCCCCATAACAAGAGAGCATTTGAAAATGTAGTAGTCACAGCCACCCTTTTCCCTCTGCAAGCCTGAGGAAGATGATGTGAGCCCAAGCACTGGGGAAAGGGTCGCTCAACTCCAAAAGAAAAGTAAATTGACCTCAGATTATTTTCCTATGGCTTTTCCCACTCCTTAATATTTGCCACATTGCTTTTCACATTCCAATTCTCAAAAGGACATGAGCATTAATAATAAAGAAGAATGAAGTTAAATTAACTGGAATCAAAAGCATTCTTTTTCTCAAGTGTGAAAAGCCTGAGATTTATGGCTTTTACACTACAATGTTCTACAGATAGGGAAAACAGCCTGCCACGTTACCAGAACTGCAGCAATGATGTTACAATAAATCAAGTTAAAGATATTTATTAAGTTTAGTCAGATTTCATTTTTCTTTTTTTTAAACTTTGCTTGCTATTGTTTTGCTTAAAGTTTTTAACTTACTAGAAAATAAGTAATGCCTCCTCTATTACCTACTTCCCACTCCCATCACTGACAAGTTCTACCTTCCATTTATTATATTACATATATAACAGCAATAATATCACTTTATAGACACTGTATCAGAAAATAAGTATTTAAGAGCTTCAAGATCCTGATACATTATCTTACGGATCTTGACTCAGGCTTCAATTTCCAACTCAACGCAGGGCAAGTTTGTTTATCCTACTGTAGTGTTTCAATCCAAGTATCACACCAAGAAAATGCTGCCTCTGCTTAGCTCTAGCTAGCATCAACTGAGAAGTAGGGAGAGAGAAGCTAAAAAACTTTTTGCATAAATACTTACTGGTAACCAACTAAGATGAATTTTAAGAAAACTCTTCACTAGGAAAATGTATGTCCAGAAACATGGACTGTGGAAAACAATTATCCATGCTGATGTGGCAGCTTCAGGTCTTGCGGGAAGGTGGGAGAGGAGAAAAAGGGAGAAAGGGAGCTCTCATTTTTATGAGTAGACAAAACAGCCCATCTATTTATTGAAATTACTTGAGCCTAACTCTGCCTCCTGCAAAACACAGCAACTACTATAAGCACTAGGGATAGAGACACTAGCGTGGTGTTTATAAAAGGATTCTGTAAAAGAAGTTATAGTTCTGTAACAGATTACTAGATACTACAGCAACTTTAGATTTAGAATATATGCTGTCTTGCTAGCTACCTTAAATATCTTTCTTTTGCAACTATCAATTCAAAATTAAACAAAATTGTTGAGCATTGTACATCCTGGAAGTCGGCTAAAAACAACACATTATTGCAAAGAAATTTTAAAGACTTGAGAAAGTTTAATATCTCTGGAGTATGACATCATAAAGAGTAAATCCTTTCTTTTATCTAATGATTCTAAAATAATTGGGAAGCTGGAGTGGACACACATGGCTTTTGACATTTATGCAATCATTTCTTGTTTTTAAAAGCAATAGCAGTGAATAACTTTTAGCATCAAAAATGCTTACCAACAACTGAAGTAAAAACTGGCTACATTCTTAATACAACACAATCTTTAACAAAACTACAAGTATGTATACACTTCAAATATTGGCAAATTGCTTCAAAATGCAATTCTCAGCAAGTTTTTGGTAATTTATTCACAGTTCAGGATTAGTTACTAGACTTACAAGACATGAGGAAAAAATGACCAATTGGCTCAGCAAACTAAATAACTCATTTTAAAGAACACAAAACTAAAAGCAAGGATGAATCTAGGATTTTTAGCTCAAGAGAAATATAAAGAAAATTTAAAAAATTTTTATTATTTTAAGAAATGTAATCACAGGAATTTAAAAAGCTAATAGGATCATTTTTATATTCATTCTGAAAACTAATGTAATAAGGTAGCTGGAGAATTTCCTAAACTGTTCTCATTAGCCACTATTTATGGTATATTTTGTAACATTAACATCAGCTAGTACTGTCTTATAAGTTAATAGCATAACTTTACAATCTTGCTAGTTAACTGATTTTTAGTTTAACTTTGGATATTATACGTTTGAGGCTTATGTTATCAGTCCTATTGGATGTTACATCAGAGATCTAAAGATATGGTTAACTTCATCAAGCTAAGGAAATACTGATATATTAATAATCGTTAAATATTGGGGGGTAACCAATTTCAGTGTTAAAAATTCAGACCTTAACAGTAAAAACAAAGGAATGTGATCTAAAATCTGTTTTCATGGGTAAAACACTTATCTGCTATTCTGGTACATAAAATCTACTAGATATGTGGATATAAGACTAAAATATCTTCAATATTCCATCCAATTTCTTTGGCCTTCATAAATTCGATGTAAGCTATAAATTCTTTTTCAATGACATTGTGCTTTTTAGAAAAATCACTTAAGTTGTAGCGTAGAATGGATTACATTTGTCTTTTCCTTTTTAGTGCTATAGTATATCCTAACTTTTTAAAATATAAGGAAAAAAACTAACCCCAAAGAATTTCTTAAAATGCTTGTTAAAGCAAACAATTTGGTTGATTTTCCTTCTTTGATGAGTAACAGAAATGTGTCAGAGGAATAGTACCATTGAACTTTAAAAAAGGTTCATTTCCTCTCATCCTTATTAATAACTCAGGCCAAGAGGCCAACGTTTGAAAGAATAAGATAGTCTAGACTACGAAACAACTTTCTAAGAAACCTAAGCAAAAAACCCTGTTTTGGTTCTCTTAACCAACAGCCCCACTTACATATTATCTTGTGCCAGTTCCCTTTACTTAGTGTTCATGCTTGACTAGTCGTAACCTTTGCATTTAATCACTGCTGTTCCATAGAGTACCACAAGATAGGCAGATAGGTGGGTAGGTAGATAGACAGACAGAGATAACAACATACTTTATAAAATGTATTTCACCTCTTAGGAACATACATGCCCCAAAACTTGGATCACTATTTTTAAGTAAATAAATCTATTTACAATATTCAACAACTCAGTTCAGCTCTATTTGTCACTCTCTCGCTCCAGCCTTCCAATGATCTTAGTCTTCACTAGTGATGAGTCCTCCAAAGGACAGGTGGATTTTGCTTTAAATGAGATGTATTTTTCAGTTCCATGACTGATGACTTGTCTATAATAGGCTGTTGACGTAGTTACAACAAACTGAAAATAGTTAACATTAGTTTCCCTATTTCCATTTATTCCTATGGCATAGGAGATTTTTATAAAAGACAAAAAAAAAAAAAATCAGAAAAGCTGACCGATTCCAAAATAACAATCATTACTGGGCCATGTGTTAGATGCTACATATGACCCTCCAGCATAAAAAGAGCTCATGGCCTGGGGTAGGGAAGTTATATATGAGTTAATTTAAATGTTAGGGGCTCCCTGGTGGCACAGGGATTAAAGACAGCACCATCAAGTTATCGTCAGCCACTGCAACATGAGTTCGATCCCCGCAGGCCAGGGAGAACGCAGCAGACCTCTCCTGCCTCGCCCGCTGCTCCCCTCAGTAGTGTATTTCAGTACATCTGCCTGTTCTGCCCCCTACTCTCTCTGGTGAATCCTCTCACCTCCCCACACCTCTGGCTTATACCCCAGTTCTTGTATGCATAAATAATTCTTTAAAAAATATATAAATGTTAAATGAACTGTGAGAAAGAACTTTTTATATAAAAGAACTCCTTATGTAGACTATCTTCCTTAAAAAATCAGATTTTCTTATCCTGTATCACACTGGTTTTAACTGGGCGTGTAAACTTAATAGTGGTTAAGCTTTATTACAGAATCTTTTTTTTCATAATTAATTTATAGAAGTATTTAAAAATCACATTCAATGGCAAAAAGGAGGGGAACCATGTTTGGAAAATATCACTCCTTGTTCTTAATATTGGCTTTTAGTATGTGATTTAAACTTATCCTTGCTTAAACTGTGTATGTGTCTTAAAGAGAGAGACACACAGGAGAGAGAAAAAAAGAGATTGTGAAAACTGATTGATTTCACAATTAAGAAACACTATAAACCCACACAAATCATGCACAAAATGTTAACATAAGAAATGACACTGTACACACACTTAAAGTAGGTCTACACAAACCAATCTTAAAAACAACATAAATAGAGATATAGTAGCAATATATGTAAATATTTTATTTCTTAAAGTGGTGCTTTTAGTCTCTATGAGTCCTTCCAAATTGCCTCAAAATATGCCAATTCTTTCCATCGCCCTAATAAACAAGAAAAATTACATGCTTCACTTGCAGCAATATTTATCAGTGAATCATTACCTTGTCAAGAAGTTCAAACACAGAAAAAGGAAAGAGTGCGCTTATTTAAATTATGCTAAATTTAGTTTTGCCTTCACAATTTTAAAATTAAAACTTTTGAAAAGGGATTTAACCAAAACATGGACATGTTATCCTATAACCCTCAAGACTTGGTCGAAGAAATCCAGGAAGAAATTGTTAAAACTTTTTAAATGTCAAATACTCTATAAATATTTTAATCGAAATTGTAAATTTCCATTTCTGACACTAATCAGCTGAAGGCACCTCAATATTACTTTATGTATCTTCTTTGTTCCTAAATATTTTTCAGGGATAGGACACAGAAAACACAAAGAAAATACCTAGGAAATAATGCAAAATTTGATTCAATCCTTCACTATTATCAGCATAAAGCATATTACTTTTTCTAAGCTTATTCATATACATTTAGAATCAAATAATTATTCAAAAGGCTTGCAAGTATTCTAAAGAATCATAAAGAGCTTCTAAACTAGCATGAAGGTACTAGTTTTATGCAAAAAGGCAACTAAAGGAGGTTAATATTAACTGCAGGAAATTCTTCCTTGGGACAAAAGTTGAAGAGAATTCTGAATACATCAATATTAATTTAACTGTGTGATAGCAACTGTGTGTGGTAATTTCAAAGAACAAGATAAAAGTCATTCAAAAGTCATTAAAGAAAATCCTTCATATATAAGGAATTAGAAACCACTTTAAAGAGATGAAAAAACAGGAAAAGGATACCCAACATGTATGTATTCCATCTTCAAATTTAAAATCACATTGTCAGTTGTTCAAAGCAGCTCGAAGTTAAAGTTTGTGCTATGAGTTTGTGCAAATAGGTTCTGCTAAGGGTTGGAGAAAACCAATGCTTTCCTATACTATTTAGTGTCCTACGTTACCTCAACCTACAGATAACAGGAAAGAGCTTGAGACAAAGGTTATTAACCTAACTTAGTTATAAATCCCATCATGAAAAATTTTTAGTTATTAAGTTTTACAGTTTCATTGAAAAACAAAACACAAATTTCAAAGTAAATCACGGCATATTCTCTTTATATATAACTTAGCAAAGCCTTAATGAAATGTTCAAGTATTATTGGCTTTAGATATTCCAATTAAATGCATTACTCTTTCACTGGTCTGAATAAACAGAAGCATCTTAAAACAAGTAACAATTAGTTTAAAAACATTCAATACTCTAAGATTGGGGAGGGGAGCAGAAATTCAACACCCAGTGTCCCTTAAAGAAAATGAGACCTAAATCTCATTTCTGATACAAATTGCAATACAGATTCTACTATTCAAAGTCCCCCACAAATTACTGGAAAAATATGAGGTAATTTCACAAAAATCACAAATTGAGTGGAATAATTATAACTGATTTATAAATAAGGATTTGCTTAAAAAAGGCTTAGAAGGGTGACATTTTAAATCAAGGTTTTAAATACAAAAGGTGTCTTGTGTTGCTTAGTCGCCCAGATGCTCCTTATTCTACAGTTACAGATTTGGCAAGATTCCGGGGGAAATCAACCTGCAAAAATAAAAGCAAGATTTGAGAGATTATATACATTGGGAGAACTAAGGACAGTTGTTATTAGCAAATTATTTTCATTTATAAAGACAGAAAATAACATGCTCATTAGCTATCTTTATTATAGGCTCAAGGAATTACATTAAAAAACACAGTCACATAAAGTATCTTGAAAAAACCTGAGATCAGTTATGAAAAAGAATTCTAAGAGTATCAATCAGTTTAACACATAAAGAGTTCCTGTGGTCCTCTACAGAGGTGGGAGCCCTGTTAGGAAACACTAGAAATGTATAAAAGCAGGATGGTTTGGTTGACTGGGATCAAGAATGCTAAAAATTCTTCAGTATGTGTGGGACAGTCCCCAAAACAAATAATTGCCAGGCAAGGAATGCTTTAAGAAAACAGGTATATTCCCCAAGGAGAATCAGAATCATGTAGGTAACCTCCAAGATTCCTTCAAGTTCTATGGGTAAGAAAATATTACCATATAACCTACAAAATCAGCCATACAAACGCAACAGATGATAGATATATAACAAATGGATTACTCACATGCAATTGTTTAAAATTTAAAAGTATCAGAATGTACTGGGGATCTATGCAGTGGTGCAATACTTACATCATATCCTCTCAGCACAGCAAGATGGAAAGCCAGCAGTTGTAAGGGGATCACACTGAGAATGCCCTGCAAGCAGTCCACTGAATGGGGCACCTTGATTGTTCTTTTTGTGTTCTTAATGGTCTCAGTATCTTCCTTATCACAAATCACCACCGGGCGTCCCTGAAAACGAAAAATCACACATACACTGGTAAGCAAAGGCAGGAGGACTGCAGCACATGAGTGTAAATTTTACACTGAAATTCACCTGTGGTCTCGCTGAAATAGACTTATTTAAACTCAGAATCCCATGTGGTAAATCAGACTGATCTCACACTTGAGGAAATGAAAGTTTTGGGGAATTCAGTAATTTATTTATACTAACACAACTAAGAAATACCAGGTTCAGTACTTAAATCCACGTCTGCCTGCTTTGAAGCTCAACGATGTAACCTCTACATTGTACCTAGAAAGTAATACCTTTGGGGATTTGGATTTACATATAAAGCCAAATAATCTGAGGAAAATGAAGTTAAGCAAAGCACTCACAAGATTAATGTAAAAATCCAAATGTAAGGTTTCAACAGAAATATTTAAGAATATTAAAATGAAATAGCACACACTACTTGAATAGGAGAGGACTTGGAGACTAAGACCTCAGTTTTGATCTTGGTTCTGCCTATTATGAGATTATGGGTTGGGTCTTGTCGAACAAAATTCTTAGGTATCTCAAATTCCTCACATGTAACCCTAAACATGTTTCATAAACCACCTGCTTGGCATCAGTTTATCCCTTTAAATGTCATAATATTCAAATATGGCTTATTGACCCAACTCTTAGACCCCTAAGGCAACCCAGGGCGCAGGCCCTCACTTACCTGCCTAGCAATCACCTGCTGAAAAGCATTCTGACACTTGGCATAAGTGTGATCTCTCATGATGATCATAATGACAGGCATCAACTTATCCACTAAAGCCAGAGGGCCATGTTTTAATTCACCAGCAAGGATGCCTTCAGAGTGCATGTATGTGATTTCTTTGATTTTCTAATAGGAAAAGAACCATGTTAGTCTTCAGTGCATTTTTTTTTAAATTCATTTTTAAGCAAATATTACACAAAACATCAGATGTCTGAAGTTACTACCTGTTCATCCAAAAATATTAAAAGGATCATTTATCTATCTATAAATGTGGCTAGCAATTTAAAACCCCATAAGGACTTTTTGAAGATTTTAGATTATCATAAATGTATTCATGTATCTTTGTAACTATTGTTCTGATTTGTTTCATGTTTGACTTCAACTAAATTTCACACCTAGAGACCTTAAATTTTTTTTTCCACGTCTTTTTTTTTATTTTAAATATATTTTATTTTTATATTCCCCATACAATTGCAACCCCCTTATTTTGACCCCAATCCCTCCCCTCCCACCCTCTACCCCCCATAGAGTGTCTCTGGTTCATAGTTTTTTGTTGATTTTGATTTTCACTTTCTTATAGTTATTCATTTTCCTGGTCCCTTATTTAAGTTTTCTAGATTCCTGCTATGAGTGAGACCATCCAGTATTTTTCTTTTTCTTTCTGGCTTATTTCGCTAAGCATGATGCCTTCCAGCGCCATCCATGTTGCTGCAAATTGCATGTGTTTATCTTTTTTGAATGCTGAGTAATATTCCATGGTGTATGAAACCTTAATTTTTATTTTATTCTTATTTGAACAATTTAACTCAAGTTACTTGTTAACTCCAAGTTATCATACCGAAATGTATGCTTTTTGATTTTCACTTTTGAATTAAGTACTCTATTGTACTTTCTCAAGATAAACACACCAGAGTGCATAAATACAAAGGCACTTAAAAAAGTTCCACTCCATTCAAAATCATAGTTTGAAATTTAAGTGAGGAAACTTACCAAAGCTCCTTCAAGACAAGTAGCATAATGATAGCCACGTCCCATTATCAAGACTGATTTCTGATGATAAAGTTCTGTTGCCAACTTCTGAATTTCATCATCCATGCTCAGTACTTCCTTAATCAAATCTGTTAAGAAGCAATTATTAGTAAGTGGGTCAATTGTATGGTGAGGGATAGAAACTAGATTTTTGGTGATGATCATGATGTAGTATATAGAGATGTCAAATTATAATACTACACATCTAAAATTTATGTAAAGTTACAAACCAATGTTACTTCAATAAAAATTTTACTTAAAAATGTTTTAACTTTAAGAAATAATTAGCAAAATGTCTGAAAGAGAACAATAAACTGACAGATATAATAACAATACTACTACTAGGAATAAAATTAGAAAGATCTTAGTGACTAGCTACAAACTATAGTTTCCAGGGTAAGAAAAGAATTTCACCCATTAGCCATTCCCTTTGACAACAAAAGTATAGTATATGAATATTTTCATACCAGGCAACCGCTTCAATCCAAGCATGATCTCTTTACGTCTCTCTTGCATGGAGATCCTGTCATCACACATCATAAGGGCAAACATCACAAGAGACACAAACTGGCTGGTATAAGCCTGAAATACCACACAAAAGCAAGAGGATCAGCTGTAGCTGCATTTTAAGAGCTCAGAATTCCATACCCATTGGATTTCCCATTGGTTTTATAAGTATACACTGATCATCTTTTAAGACAGTAACAGTAAAGTGAAACAATACTTAGGGAATCTCTCTCTGTTCTTCATTTTTGAAGCCTGAACAAATGATTTAACTTTTATTTCCAAATAGAAAAGAATAATACCTAATAATGCCTTGGATGCTTATTAAATCCCTAATACTCTTCTCTAGGAAGAGAAACATGCCAAAGGAAGGTGAGTAGAGAATAAATGTGCATGTGCATAATAACTAAACTGAATTGAATGTACATTAAAAGCAAGGGCTTATAGGACTCTCCTTGGGTTTTTATTGAATTTTTTTATTTTGCTCTTTGATTTTTCACCTTTTCCTACTGCATGTTCCTCATTTCCACCTTTTTTAAAGTTTGGCTAGAAATAAAAAAGCAAGTTGAACTGAAAAATAAATAATAATCTTACTAAATGAATAAATAATTACATGCTTGTGAAAACTGCCTTCTACTCTTTGCTTCTACTCTTTTTTTATATTGTTAAGAAAAGTAATTATTAACAGATATAATTTTGTAACTTGCTTTTATTCCTAATTAACATTACAAGCATTTTCCTAAGGCAGAAACAATTTCTCTCATTTACTAGTGTATAAAAACCTTGAGCCGTTTTTTTCATTTCTTAAGATCTCAGATGTCCCATCTGTTAAAGGTATAATGATACTCAGAGGATTTTCATGAAAATTAAATGATATTAATGTAACATAATGTCTGTCACATAGACTTAAGATATTAAGTTTTTAATGATGAAATTATGAGCTAAAAGATATTCATGTTTCTACGCTATAAAATGGTGGCTACTTTAGGATTTGCAGTGATACTGTCAAGACTATTTTCAGTCCCATTAGCTGTTGAATGAATGTGAGATATGTCTGTTTTGCCACATACTGCACAATATTAAGAATTGTCTTTTCAACATAATTTTACCATTTGACTGCAAGATAATGAACTTTTACTAATACTTTACCATACATATATTTGAACCTGAAAAACTAGTAAGATTTTTTTTTATATTTGTTAGTCATTTATGTTTTCTCTTTTGAAAATTAACTTTATTGTTCTTTACTTTTTTGACTTGGATTTTGTTTTCTTTTTCCTGTTTTTTTAGTTGGTCTCAAGGTCTTTATTGTTAAGTTTCAAATACTTTTTTCCAGTTTGGATTGATCTTTTATAATGGTACTTATTGACATAAAAGTTTCATTTTTTATATAGTACTTTTAAGCTTGTACAGTCCTTCATCTTAACATTAGTTGATTGTCACATTTTCTTAATTGTATTGTTTTCATTGTCCCATTTATTTTATATTTTTTGAAATTTCCTTCTTTGACCATCTGAAATTCATTTTAATGCAAGGTATTGATTTCTGTTCTTATTTTCAGAGATAGCCAATTTTTTCCTTCCACTTTACCCCACTCTTTGACATTTCCTATAGTCCAAATACTTTGATATACTAAAGAAGTTATACTGCAGGAATACTGATTCTGACCCACAGATATGTTATTTCTTTACAAAACAACCTTCCATCAATTTGTGCTAGGAATTTAAAAGTCCGTAAGTTTATAAAGTTTTAATTTCATCAACAAATATTTATGAGGCATCTCACACATTTCTTGGCAAAGCTATTTTTACAGCTATTAAAAATAGAATTTTATGGCTAATTAAAAATAGAGAAGAATTCTAAGCACACTTCTATCCATATCTTTTCGAACCAGTCATTGTCACTTTATAAACAAATTTTGTGTATGTGACTTCTGATTCATTCCAAGTTTTTAATTGATATCTTAAGCTCTACTTAAGAAATGGGTAGTCAGGCCTCCCCTGGTGGGGCAGCGGTTGAGCACTGGGCTGTGAAGCTGCCCGCAGCCTCTGCAGCGACTGCTCGATCCCCGGCTGCCACGAGGGTCCCACGTGGCATGACAGACCTCTCCTGCCACACCCACTGCTCCCCTCAGCAGTGTATTTCCTCAGTCTGCCTGTTCTGTTCCCCACTCTGGCTCTGGTGAATTCTCTCACCCTCCTGCGCTTCTGACTGTACCCAGTACTTATAAATAAATAAATCTTTAAAAAAAAAAAAAAAAAGAAACGGGTAGTCAAAAGCACCAATTGCAAATAAGAAGAAACCTGTCTCCTCCTTTTCTATTGTTTTACTTATTTTTTTCTTACTAAACTGGGTAGATTTGGCATCTATAGGGATTTGTGTGTTCTAATTGAAGTCCTCTGTACCATTGAAATCTACCATTTCCTACTTTTCAATAAACTTATTAAATGCAAAATATATTATTAGGGCAGAGGAAGAGATCCAGTATCTTGACCCCTGCGATAATTAAACTGTTTCGAATCCAAACTGATCAGATAAGTATGGCAGGTTCCTCCAGTCTATACCTAAAAATGCTATCCTACAGACTAACGTTTCTTTCTTTGGACTTAAAATATCTTAACAATGGTTTTTAAGTACAATATTAAAGTAACTTTAATGCTTGCATTTTTCAATGACATTCCCATTACAGCTTAATTTCCAATTTAATGTTTTTTATTTTATCAGTACATACCAGAAAACCAATTATGATAAAAATAAGCTACACCTTATATTTAAAATCTATTAAGGTTTGAAAGAATTTACCAGTACCAGGAAAATGTTGATTCTGAACTTTTAAACTTGGTTTTACTTTTTATTCAGCCAAAAATAAAGTAACTTTGGTTTATTTTCTAAAATCAACAATAGTCAGTACTGTGGTGAAATACTAAACACCTGCAATAACACACAAAAATTGCTGAACCTGCACATCAATTCCTACAGAAATATTAAATTTTCTATGGTATGATATTATGGGAAAGTTATATCCCTCTAACCATGACAGCGTTTGTAGCAAAGATAGGAATACATAATCAAGATTTTATAGAATCCTTCTGTTAGTTCCATCATAGAACTCTAAGATCATGATTAACCATAAGCTTCTTTGATCACCCCATTAACATAGAAACTTGTATTTGTCATTCAGAAACGGTCCAGGACCAAACATCCCAAAAATGTTAAGTAACTACAAGCCCAGAATGTCTAAGGGGGCTGAGAAAACAAAATCACTTCAGAACCCAAGAAAAATTAAAGACCAAATTGCTATACTTACTAAAATTTTTAAGGGAATCTTTTTTTTAAAGAGATTAAAGTATGCACTACACAAAGATGCTTACTTTCCTATACCAGATGTTATAACTATTAATTATTGAAAGATAGTGAGTGAAGGGAATATGGGGCTTTTCTATCCTATATTTGCAACTTCCTATAAATCTGTGGTTATTTCAAAGGAAAAAAGAACTTGCAAAAAACAAAACAAAGCAAAACAAAACAAAACCTACTGATACAAATAAAAAAATGAGTGAATCTCAAAAACCATGTTAAATGAAAGTAGTCTGAAAGAAAAGACATGGTTCCACAATTCCATTTATAAGAATTCCTAGAAAATTACAATATATAGCAAGAGAAAGCAATAGTACTTGACTGAGGCTGGGGAGTAGTACCAGGGACTGATTATAAAGGGGATACAGAGTACTTTTTTCAGAACTTTTTTCTAAAATCGGATTATGAGTGTAAACTACCCCACTTATTTTGTGTGTATAAGCACTCCCCACCCAAGGCAACTCAGACACACAACTCAAATGCTTCTTGGGTCTGTGTTCTCCAGGCTACAGTCTTAATAAGAACTAACCCCCCCCCCCAATACATTCATGTATTTTGCCTCAAAAATAAAAGAAACTAGATTTAGACAGTAGTTACACAGCCAAATTCATTTAAAACTGTACACTTTAAGTTAGTGAATGTTATGATATAAAAAGGATACCTCAATGAAACTGCAGAAAAAAGGTTAATGGTAGAATCTAAGTGATGAGTATATGGGTATTAATGTAAAATTCCTTTAATTCTGTTCTGTGCCTGAAAATTAATGTAACCCAATATTGAGGAAAATTAAAGCTTTAGTGAATAACAATTAGAAATTTAAAAAACTATATATACCCTGGAAGCTCACAGCTCAAGAAAGAGTTAATGAAAAGGTAAGTCAATAGCATCCATTTGGGGGCCTCCCCCGTGGCGCGGCAGGCTGTCCACAGCCTCAGCAGCACTGGTTCAATTCCCGGCTGGCCGGGGAGAGTCCCACATGTGGGTTGGGAATTTATAGATTTAGCAGACCTTTCCTGCCTCGCCCACTGCTCCCCTCAGCAGTGTACTTCGGTCCTTCTGCTTATTCTGCTCCCTGCTCTGTCTCTGGTGAGTCCTCTCACCCTCCCGTGCCTCTGGCCTGTACCCCAGTGCTTGTATAAATAAATAATCTTTAAAAAAAAAAATAGCATCCATTTGGTGGTATGATCCCATATCCCACATATACCACACTGTGCTGTGAATAAAAGGGATCCAGGATTCAAATCCCTGATCAAAGCTGTCTGTCTGGATGATGTTCCAAAAATCCACAAGATGCTGCTGAAAGCAACTGGTTATTTATACAGGCACAGAAAGGGAACCCACGCACAAACACCCTGAATGTTTTAATCACTATTGGAGAAAACTTAGATTTCAGCTTTTAAATTCTAGTGTTAGCAAAATTCACTAAATAACCAAGAAACAAAAAACCTCATTTTGACTTTTCACACAATAATCAAATTTCACACACACACACACACACACAGTTTCCATGAGGTTCTTTAAAAGGAAAAAAATCAAATGTAGTAATGTACATGTTTACATCATCTTCCACGTACCGTCAATTAAATTCAAATCTACCAATACGTAAGCATCTTACTAAACCATTAGTAGGAAATAATAGACTTAAGCAACTGAAATCTTGAAATCATAAAGAGTAATACACATGTGGAGAGAGAAAGCCATTTGCATTTATATAAAATTCTAAGATTCCTATTTTTATTAGTATTGCTAAATGCATCATATCCCATTTAGACACTTATCTTTAAAAGGGAGGATGTTTTTAAATCTCTATAAAATAGACTATTTAAAGAGAAACAGATATTCCATATAATCATCATTTTTAATAATCAAATTTTATTCCAAAGACATACTATTTACAAACCCTTCAAAGGTAGTAAATATGTTGGCGAATTTATTAGAAAGTGAATATGTAAATTAAAATGTCCAAAATTATTAGAATTAAATTGGATGGTTCTAATTGATTACTTTTCTAACTCCCGACTACCAGTGAACTTAAGTTATACATTTGTCCCTTTTAAAATCCAAAGATGGGAGTGAAGAAGGGAACAAGTACTTTACCTACTGACCCATAAGTCTTGAAATTATAATGATTAGTAAACTATGAGTTCTGTAAGTGCTAACAAATTAAATATAGAATATGGATTAGTCTGTTTTACCAACACTATGATTAAATAACCACATAAGAACTAAGTGAAGAATTTACCTTTGTGCTGGCCACACCAATCTCAGGCCCAGCATTAATATGAACTCCACAGTCTGTTTCCCGTGATATGGAACTACCAACCGTGTTGGTGATCCCCACAGTTAAAGCTCCTCTTTCTTTACAGTACCGAAGACCCATCAGGGTATCTGCTGTCTCCCCTGTGTAAAAACACAAAAGTAACACACAGAGCAGTCAACTTATAGAGCATTTTTAGAACTCATGTTTCTTAGCTGCATAAACAAAAAATGCCTATACTTTCAAAAGCTTTATTTGTTTTAAATAAAATATAAATATGACCTTAAAATAATATATTTTGTAAACATTTAATAAGATCCTACTTTTTAAGATCTCCTTTCCTTCCTTGTTGAAAGCTCAGTTTTCTGACATAAAACATGTTAATTTTGCTAATTTATAAAGAATTATATAATAACAAAATCTGCATTTGCCATCTGTAACACAAGTTTATGTTTAAATTTCAGTTTTTGTCAGGATATGCTGCAAGCATTAGAAAGAATTACTTTCCTTTCCTCAAGTCCTTCAATTAGCTTACCTGACTGACTGATGAAAAAGCAAACATCATCTCGAAAGACTGGTGTGTTTCTATCCAGGAAATCACTGGCTAGCTCCACCATAACAGGCAACTCTGTCAATTCTTCAAGAACTTGACGTGTCTGTATCGGAAAGATGTCTGTCTTAGTCACACAACTTTACTTCAAATACTCATGCACTTCTTTGGATTCAATATATAATTTTCCCTTTCTGATTATAAATATGATATTACACACATTGTTAGAAAAAGTAAACAACACAGATTAAAGCACAGAAATAAGAATCCCACCACCTAAAAAGCATTGTTAACATTTTAGTACAATTTTTTTCATAAGTTAATGCATATTTTCTTTTAAGCAAATATACCTACACATTCAAAATGTTTTGAGAAGCTGAAAAGGCACTGTTCTGAGTGGGCCTGCATGTTTTCTCCAACCTCTATATTTCCTACTCTTTAAATAATAATTCATATAATTCTGAGTCACTGAGAGATTTCAAATAAGATAGTAACAAATGTACGAACACCCAGTGAGAAATTAAACACTTCACAACTGCAATGTATTCATAAGTATTACCATTTCCAAAATAGTCAATGTATTGAAATGCAAATCAAAAATTTTAGGCCCTACACATGTATAAATTTAACTATTTAAAGAACTGCAGAGATCACCTGCCTCTTTAGGCAAGTGGTCTTACCATCTCTGTATTCCTTCTACAGGAGTGAAAGATTATAAAGATTTCCTTACTTTATTTCTAACTTTTTGTTTCATAACTTCAGTTTGGCACACATTAGCAGTGTTGTAACATATACAAAAGTTTTCCTACTTTCATTTAATTTTTTAAGATTTTTAAAAAGATTTATTTATGCATACAAGAATTGGGGTGTAGGCCAGAGGTGCAGGGGGTGAGAGGATTCAGAAGAGACAGAGTAGGAAGGAAAAAAGGCAGATCTACTGAATACACTGCTGAGGGGAACAGCAGGCGAGACAGGAGAGGTCTGCTGTGCCATGTAGGTTAGCTTCCTGGCTAGGGATCAAACTCATGCTGCAGTAGCTGGTGACAGCTTGATAGCACTGAGACTTTAACCCCTGTGCCATCAGGGAGCCCCAGTTTTCCTACTTTTAAATAACGGAATATTACTCAGCATTCAAAAAAGATAAACTCATGCCATTCACAGCAATATGGATGGAGCTGGAAGGGATCATGCTCAGTGAAATAAGTCAGAAAGAAAAAGAAAAATATCAGCTGGTTTCACTTATAGGAGGAATGCAGAGGATCCAAATAAAGGATCAGATAAAAAAAAGTAATTATAATAAGTAAAAATCAAAACCAACAGAGACATTCTGCAGGGGGAGAGAAGGGAACAGGATCAAAACAGGGGTGGGAAGAGCACAAGACACTATGGTGATGGTACACGGGTGAATTGAGGGTGGGAATTTTACTGGGACTAGAACCAAGATGAGAAGCATACATTGTACAAAAATGAAGAATGATGTAAAAACATAAAATTTAAAAAACAACCTTTACATTGATGTATTTCATTTACTAATTATGCATAACTAAGTTACTGACACTAACATGCTATATGTGTTCATCAAACAAATGAAAATCAAATTCTTTTCTAGAATTTACAATATAAATGTTACACTGGAATTACAAAATAAAAAAAATATACAAATTTGGCAACTTATAAGATACTGAAAAATATACCCCAAAAAAGTAATCTCAAAATATATCTGTAATAATGTATGGCTTGTTCTTTCTGTAGAAGAACTTCTTTAAAAAGAGTGATATATTTCTATCACAAGAGATTTAATATTATGTATGCCATTGTATAAACTCAATTAGCATTTTGAAAAGCAAGCTATACTTAGAATAATTTCAGCTGGTTAATAATGTTCAAGATACATAGTACTAAAATTTAAAAAAGCCATTATTCAAATGTGACATTCATGTTTGACTCCACCAAAAAAAAAATCAAAAACCTATGTAGAACAAAACTAATGACACTATTTTATGAAACTATAAAAGGATCTAATGTTTGCTAACTATAGTACTCAGCACTCATGAAAAAAGAAAAATAAAAAAAATAAACCTTATATTTTCCAAAATATCAGAATTACAGGATTTTATCATAATATATAAATTACTGACCCAAAATTCAGGCTTGCATTAGATGAAACACTTGGTCAAATTTTAAGTTTCTAAATAGAGGGCTCATTTACCAGTAGATTTAAGACTCCACTGAATTAACCAACCCCATAATTTACATTAATTAATCTAATTCATTCTTTTTTTCTATGCTCAAAGCCATCTCTTCGCACTCTCCCCTTCAATACTGCATAGACATTCCTTTATAGGATTATAAATTTTCAGGGTGGAGTGGGGGCAGGCACATTTTTGAGAAAAGCAAAGCCTGCAGAGATGCAAATACTCAGTGACCAGCTAGTTTCACTCTAAATGACTGGCTCCCACAGTAAAGATAATTATTATGCCACATCAAATAAAAAATTACCATGATGAAGCTTGGAAATCAATCATAAAAGCAGAAACTGAGTGTGTAAAGGTCTTCTCTACTTATGGAACATGAACATCAGCAACACATAAACTGTCTCTTTATATGTGAACCACATGTAAATCTGATTTGTTGAACTAAAAGACCATTATATTCCTATGCCATGGCAGGCAGGACAACCAACCCATGTCTTTGAAACAGAATTTCAACTTCCAAAATAACAAAGAACAACATATGACAAAAGGTAGACTTCTCTTTGCATATCAAGTAAATCCTACTGAGTGTCACATGTTACCAGCTCTCTGTGCGTGGAGCAAGTGACAATGATAAGCAAGACCCAGTGATTGTTCTTATAGTAGGAAGCCTACTATAAGACAAAACAAGGATAGTGCAAAAACTTTCCCATTCTTTGCCTTTCATGAAGTGACTTGCAGGTAGTCAGCTTGTATGTCTAAGGACATTCCTAAGGCATAGCTTCCACTGATAAATGAATATAAGCAGAATTCCTTGCCCCAACAGTTTTCACTTTTGTCATTACAATTGAAAAACATAATGCAGTGTTTTAACAAAGGAGAGTTCTACATGGTGTGTTACTTGAAGATGTTATGTGTCTGGAAAGATACTACTTGTCTGCTGATGTCTTTTAATAACCGAAGTAACACTAATATTTTTAAAAGTTACTTACTGCTACACCAGCATGATAACTTGTTCCACAAGCAATAAGAATCAAACGCCGACACCTCTGAATCTCCTTGATGTGATCCTTCAAACCCCCCAAATTCACTGAAATGAAAGTTTGTATATATAATTAGTTAGGAAAGAAATATGAAATAAGCGATCATTTTTCATGATTATCCACTGCCAATCTGGGAAAAAAAAATATTGCCAGTTTAAAGAATTCATATCTCTCTTAGTATCGTTCTTTATTTTTTTTATTTTTTTTAAAAATTTATTTATTTATTTATACAAGCACTGGGTACAGTCAGAAGCGCAGAAGGGTGAGAGAATTCACCACAGCCAAAGCGGGGAACAGAACAGGCAGAGTGACGAAATACACTGCTGAGGGGAGCAACGGGCGTGGCAGGAGAGGTCTGCGCACCATGTGGGACCCAGCCGGTGGCTGGGGATCAATTCAGCAGGCGCTGCAGAGGTTGCGGGCAGCTTCGCAGCCCAATGCTCAACCGCTGTGCCACCAGGGGAGGCCCTCTATTTTTTTTTTAAGTAAATTAAATAGGGTACAAATTAGCCCCCATTAGTAATCTTACTCTTCCTCCTAATCTGCCCAGCCAACTCTAGTATTTGCCATATTCTACTTCGGTTATTTTTACATTCTTCTTTAGATTAAATAATCTTAAAAACAAAACTACAGGAATACAGACAATAAATCAATAGACGTTAAAGGGGCACAGCAGTTTTGGAATGATAAACTATGCACCATCGTGACTGTTGCAGAGGTAAAGACTTGTTATGGAAGTTGGTCAAAACTCACTGAATTTTACATTCAGTGAATGGTGAATTTTATTCTAATTATATCTCACCAAGCCTCCTAGGAAAACTATTGTCTTAGTTATGCTCATTTCCCATACAGTCCCCCAAACAGTGATCAGAACACAATACAAACCCACTTGCCCCTCCATCTTTCCCATCTTGATAGATGCCATTACCATTCACATAACACCAGCCATCCTTGATTGCTTCTAACCCTCCTCCACATCCACTCCATGAGCAAGCACTGGGAGTTCCATCTTCAAAACCTCTAATACTATCACTCTAGCCCAACATCTCTCCTAACTATTCTCTCTTGATTGTATACCTCCTGGACCCTGTTCTCTAGATATAGCCAGGATGATCTTTTTTCAGTGATTGTTTAAAAACAAGTATCTGATCTCAAAACCCTCCAATGAGTCTTGTCTTGTCTTGTCTTTTCTGTCTCTACAGATATTTGTGAGTTCTTCTAAGGGTGCCTTGCCTATGGATCCTCTTACACAAGGCTAGTTTTCTACCTATGAGAAATTTTCATTCCACATTCATTCGATTATTCAACTAGTATTTCTTGAGCATGCACCAAATGAATTTATAATCCAAGGCACAGCACACGCACCAGAGCTCTCAGACAGTTCATTCAAAGTATGACTGAGGAGAGATGTGCACGTCTATGGGCAACACAGACCCTCTACATGACCCACCATAGGTCTGTCTGCTCTACACTTGCTCTTTATCTCCTCAAACTTTTCTCTGACCAAAACTGGTTATAATATGGAATCAGATAAGTTTTGTTTTTTCTTTTCAAATAGTTGGATATTCTACTTTTTAAATTTCAATACCAAGAGAGCATATTACATTTCTGTATTTTAAAAATTAATAAACTAGAAAATGAAACAACAAAAAGCTTTACTGCCTTCCCAAATAAGTTAAAATAATGCCTAAATCATGGTGTTAAAGTTCATACATGACCAACCTGCTTACCTCTGGCCTGATCTAGAATTTACCCTCTCACCCAGGTCATTCCAGTCAGACTTGCCCTCTTGCTCTTCCTGCACTAGACCAATCCTGTTTCTGTTTGTGTCCCACTGCCTACAGTGTTTTTCCACAGACCTAGGCATGTTGCAAATGTTTAGCAGGAAATGTAATGACAGAAAGGTTGGTCAGGTCATATAAATGCAAGTAAGTTTGGAGATTACTCAGTATAAAAAAAGACAGATGACAAGAATGTCAAGAATACTCAAAAATGTTTTCCTGAAATTAGTCCTAGGAAAATGTTTTCCTGAAATTAGTCCTAGGAAATTCCCTGGTAGCTGAGGGATGCTTGGAGTAACTCTAAAAGGAGCTGCCTAAGTTCTAAACTGATGACATATATGACAGAAGCTTAATTCTAACAAAATGTACCGCAGCTACTGGAAGAGCAAAAGAGACTGGAGGACAGTGGCAGAAATGCAGTATGCTCGGGAACACCACTGAACACAGGAAGCTACTGCGGCTCCACATACCACTAAGCAATGCAACCTTTGGCAAGACACTCAAACTGACAAAGACTCAACTTCTTTATCTTAACAACAATACAAAACAGCTTTCCTATTTATATTATAGAAGTTTTATGAGGAACACATAACATAAATGAAAGTATTTTTTAAAATGTATGATTCCATGGTTTTTAGCATATTTAAGGTTGTGTAAATATCACACCACCATTCAGTTTTAGACCAGGCCCATCAGCAATCACTCTCCATTCCTCCTCTCAGCTCCTGGAAACCATTATTATTCCCTTTTTTATTGTGGTAAAATATACATAAAATTTTCCATTTTAACTATTTTTAAGTATACAATTCAGTGGCATTAAGCACATACACATTGTACAACCATCACACCTTCCTTCTCTGGAACTTTTTCATCATCCCAAACAGAAACTTTGTACCCATGAATAACCACCCATTCAGTCAGGGTCTCCCTAGGCCCTGATTACCACTATACGTAGATGACTATTCTAGCTATACCTTCTATCAATGGAATCATACAATAAAGGACTTTTAAAAGATGACACGGTTTCAGTGACAGCTGTGTTTGTTCTATAAGGATATAAAGGACAAGGAAGTTTCAGGCTGTCAATGCAAACCCCATAGGAGACTTAGAAATGAAAAAACAATTTGTATATAATTACCAGTATAGTCATCAAAGTTGACTCGTCCTCTCATCGTGTTCACAACTGACTCTGGCTGCTCAAAAATTTCCTTCTGCATAAATGAACTGAAGTTGCCTAAAATAAGTTAGATTATTAAAACAAAAAAGTTAATAAGCCAAAGAATAAGAAATTTGTATACAGCTAAGTCTATCCCTTTTAACATAATCATAGAAAATGAGACAACAGATTATTCAAGAGAATATTTAGATGATATTTTACCCTAGGTAAAGAAAAATGAGCAAGTAAGAAGGATAAATACTTTCATTAACTATACACCTAAAATAGGTAGTTACAATAAAACAGATAAACGGGACAAGCTGAAGTTTTGGACTTAGGTTCAATTCATGGTTCTATCCTTCACTAGCTAAGTGGCTCTGGAGAAACTTCTTAATTTATAAAATAAGAACAGTTACTCTATAGCATTGTACAATGGATTAATTTAGTGAAGATTTGACATATACGACAGTTATGCAATAAATGTTCACTATTACTCATACTACAACCCTATCAGAAAGGAGGAAAATAAAAGAATCATAAAAAAAATAATTAGAATAGTTAATAGCAACAAACCTTTTGCAAGGCTCGCTATGAGTGTCAGGCATTGTTCTAAAGATTTTTGCATACGCTAGCTCTCTTAACCCTCAAAACAACCTCAATGAAGCAGGTTCTATGACCCCCAATTTACATATGAGAAACTGAAGAGAGAATTAAGAGTACAAACCAGTATAAATAATAATGGTTTCCAATGAGAGAATAAGAATAGAGAACAGAATACAAATCATGCTGATTTCAAAGTATATTTAAAAAATCAGATATACTTACACTCACTTTTTAAATTTTTTCACCTTTTGTTTAGAAGCCACAAACCATGAATTAAAGGAAAACTGCTGTAAGACAAGCAGCTTATTTCTTCAAAGAATCATCTCTTTTCCTAGGCTACCCATCACTAATCATGGCAGATTTCACTCAGCACTGCGTCATCAGATTCCTACACTAGGACAGGAAGTAGAATGTCTCCTTCCTATTAAGACCACCACGCTATAACATGACAAAAGCTTTCACCCTTCATGATTTGCTGGAGTTCCATCTGGAGGGTTTGCACAGCTCGTCCAGGATGATCTCCTGCAGTTCGTTTAATTCGATGGATAGATAGACGGCCATCCACCACTGCTGCGACATCATCATCTTCAAGAAAGATAACTCGATTGGTGTGTTCTATGACAGCACTAAAAAAGATCAACGAGATATTATAATCAATAACAAATGATCACTACAAATAAAACTACCATTTGAATACAAGCATCAAATTTAAATACAAACTCTACAATGGCAATATCAATGCCATCCCCTAGAGGGCTGCGGGGAAGGGAATAGTTACTGTAGACAATGACTAAAAAGATTTCCATGCAGTAACCTAAACTGCATTTGATCAGATCAGAAAGCACAGCTAATCCCTCCTCATTTTATCACCAAGTCCTCCAATTTTAACTCCTAAATGTTCCGCAAAACCTCCCTCTATGTCCACCACCATAAAACTGTTTAAGCTACCATCAGGCTCTTGGCTGGACTATTGCAGCAAATTCTGACTGGTCCAAGTACATTCCCTCTAGTTGTTCTCTACCCACTCTCTGTTTCTGCCAAAATGGAAGGCAAAAGATAACTCTAACCAAGATTTCCCTACACCCAACAAGCTTGACAGCTTCCTTGTGCCTCTTAGGAAGACAACAAAACACCTTACCATGACCCCTACTCCTTTTCTAGCATCATTTCCCACCAAACTTCCTCCCTCGCTAGTCTAATCACACTCATATCCAAGCTTTCAAAGACTGACCTATAGAAAATGAATGTTCCTCCCTCCACACCTTCACATAACTTCTAATACCTCTTTAACTCTTGGTTCAAGCTCATTCTCTTAAAGAAATTTTCTATTGAAGGATATGTCTCCCTGTGATAGACATTTTGTAGCTCCTGTCACAGTTGCAATTCTTTACTTGTGATTATTGATTAAAATGTGTTTCCTCAGGCCTCCCTGGTGGCACAAGGGGTTAAGACACAACCTACGAAGCCATCCTCAGCCACTGCTGCACGAGTTCGATCCCTGGCCAGGGAGCTACCCACATGGTGCAGCAGACCTCTCCTGACTCGCCCACTGCTCCCCTCAGTAGTGTATTTCAGTCGGTCTGCCTGTTCTGTTCCCCACTCTGTCTCTGGTGAATCCTCTCACGCCCCCACACCTCTGGCTGTATCCCAGTTCTTGTATGCATAAATAAATAAATCTTTTTTTTTAAAAAGTGTTTCCTCCATTCAGGAAAAGCTCCTTGAGGGCAAGTAACTTTTTTCCTTCACCATTATCTCCTAAGCCTAGCACATGGTTTTGTTCAGAATGTTCAAGTGAATGATGAAAGGCTTATTGTTTCTTCAACTTCCAGTTTAAGCCACAACTGTCATTCTGTAACAAACTTATTTAATGATAGCAAAGGCACATCTTAGCACACCTTATACACCCACAAAATAGAAAACAGTAAAGCTTGTTTCCTAATAAGATAATATGACCCTTTAAGTATACTACTGGATTGTCAGAAAATTCATGTATTTTTTCCTTTGAAAAACATAGAAAAAATGTCATGACTTTTCTGACAACCCAATAAAGCGCATCGTTCCCTCATTTTTTTAATCTCCTACTTTCAGGTGCTTGTTGATAATTTTGGTGATTCCATTTTATCCTCATTACCACTAGTATTTCGTTTAAAAAGACAAGGTACTAGACTACAGCTGTAATAGTTCGGAAACTATAACTGGTATTATACTAAGCCATTCTATTCTCCAATCTAAATCTCCTCTCTGCAAAACCTAGGTAAAGCTCCTAAAAGAAAAGAAGGGGAGAATGTAACAGCTCAGAATAAATACTGGAATAGCTTCCAAGGACTATTTCCTGATCTTGTAAATGACGTATCTGTTTTAATTGAGACATATTCTTAGAACCCTATCTCCAAAAAGTTACCTACATTTCCTATATTAACAAAGTTCTCTTATATATGCTAGATTTATTCAAAATGATTTGTTTCCTGCAGCATGGAAGTTTCACTAAAAATTCTTTGAATCAACTAAGGAATCTCACCTTGCATCAGAAGCAAAGTAATACTCTACCGCTTTTTCTTCAACAGGGAAAAGGCAAGTTGTGCTGTCTACCCGAGAGAGATTGCAGCTTCCTTTCTTGTCTTTCCCTAGAGCACAGAGTTTACCCAAATCAGCAAACATGTAGAAAACCAGGGCCAACATCAAAATATACATGATTTCTATAAAACCAAAAAACCCCATAGCAACACAAAATAATTTCAGCAACTTTAGAATGCCAGGTAGATCACCTCATGTCCATGCAATAAGCCAATGAGAACACAGACCAAAAAGTGTAGAGTGAAAAAGCAACTATCAAAGAGAGCGTGGCAGGTAATAGTGCTAATTATAAATTTTTTTAAATATAATATTTCTTTTCCAAGTAATATGCAAATAATTAACTCATTAATATCACTTTTTAAAAATCAAAATGTAGACTATTTTTGTTAACACTGACTTAGAAGTAAAATCTAGAGGAATTTTGTTAAGATATGTAGACTAATCCTAACTTTATGCAAAACTTGATGGAATTCAAACAAGCTGTAAGCCTAGATTTAGCACAAAAATTGCATTAAAATATCCAATTATGCAATGAAAAATAAAATGAAGATTAGTAACATATTAATCTTTATTACCTCATAACAAAATTCCTCTAGATTTTAGCTGTAAGTCAGTATTAACAAAATAAATTTGTATCTTACACTAATTTCTAATTTAAAAACAAAGATAGAACTCTCCAACCATGGTCTATCATATGTGACACCTGCTACCAAGACTGAAATTATCCTATACCCAGAACCTCTTCTTTCTTACAATTGGGTTTTCTTATATTTCTTTTAGTCAAGATAAAGTATGGTCCTTTTGCAATGACAACAGCCTTTTAATTACAACACATTAGATTTCTGGCCATCTCTAATTCATTATGTTATTGATGAAGAACATTTTTTTCTTTTTTGTTCATTTACAAATATATTAAAAACTGGAAAGCATACTATCGGTTTGACAAATTAGTCAAATATAGGAAAAACATATTATTCGAAGAATATATAAATGTCCAAGACACAAAAGAAAGCACCCCCCCTCAAGGATAAGAATGTAGATCTTATAAACAGTGGACACAAAGGGTAGCTTATACTATAAAAATACTTATAATAATTCATGTTGCATCTATCCTCTAAAACGCATATCTATAAGGATTAGCCTGACATCCTGGAAAAGCTAACACTATAGGCAGATAAAAGAGAGCAGTGTTTGACAGGGCAGGAAATGAGACAGGGTTTACTACAAAGGGGCAGCTAGAGAGAACTTTTTGGGGAATGTAACTATTCTATATCTTGATAGCAGTTATACATTTGTTTGCATTTGACAAAACTCATGAAATTATACACCAAAAGGAGTGAAATCACTCTATAAAAAGAAATGAATTTAAAAAATAGGAAGAAAGGACCTAGGTTTTTTAAATAAATACATCCTGCTTTGGTAAGATAATGTACCAATGGGACTGAGTTTCACTATAGACATTCTCCAATTATGGTTATTTCATTCTTCAAGTAACAAGGTATATTCAATTGCAATGTTTAAAGGAGTCTGAGGTATCAATGTCTACTTAAATAAAAAGAACATCAATACTTGGCATCTCTATGACCATTACAATCTATAAAATGTCTTCTCACACTTTATCTCATCTGATTGAAGTAGAATATAATTATCATTCCACTAAATCCAGCCTCCAGTGGGTTACATTTGGAGAAAACTGCAAAAGCCTAGTTAAACGTTCTCCCCGTTACACACCTCTTCAGCAAGAGGCTATTCTTTTTTTTTTTTATAATAAATTTTAGTTTTATATTCCCCATACAATTGCAACCCCCTTATTTTGAACCCAATCCCTCCCCTCCCGCCACCTACCCCCCATAGAGTGTCTCTGGTTCATAGTTTTTTGTTGATTTTGATTTTCACTTTCTTATAGTTATTCATTTTCCTAGTCCCTTATTTAAGTTTTCTAGATTCCTGCTATGAGTGAGACCATCCAGTATTTTTCTTTTTCTTTCTGGCTTATTTCGCTGAGCATGATCCCTTCCAGTGCCATCCATGTTGCTGCAAATTGCATGTGTTTTATCTTTTTTTAATGCTGAGTAATATTCCATGGTATATATGTACCACATCTTCTTGATCCAGTCATCTATTTTTGAGCATTTGGGTTGTTTCCAAATCTTAGCTATTGTAAACAGTGCTGCTATAAACATAGGGGTGCAGGTGCTCTTTGGAATTGATGTTTCTGTGACCAGTGAGAATGGCATATATTAAAAAACTAGCAACAACAAATGTTGGCGAGGGTGTGGAGAAAAAGGAACTCTTCTGCACTGTTGGTGGGAGTGCAAACTGGTCCAACCACTATGGAGAACTGTGTGGAGATTTCTGGACCTACTAAACATAGAGCTTCCATATGATCCAGCAATTCCACTCCTAGGTATTTACCCAAAGGACAAAGAGGCTATTCTTATAAACTAAACCTTGCTGAGCCACACATTACCTACCGACTAGGAGCTAGAGAAATAAGGGTTATTAAAACATAATTAGCCTGATCTCAAAAACAACTGTCTCATGATAACTTTGTCTAACAGCTTCTTAAGACCTCAACCAATGTTTTTGCATTGTTTCTAAAAGCAACCTAATATTATGTACAAGGTAACATTTAAATCATATATACATATACACACATGAGATAAGATGAATTAACAGAAGTCTGGAATTCTGAGTCCAAATTCTATACTCACTAGTAAACTAATTTTTCTTTTGAAAAGAAAAAAAAGCATAAGGGGAAGAAGATAAAAAGAAATTTAACATGTCAGGATTGAAGGCTGTTTATGAAAAAAACCTTCTGCACTAGATAAAACAGAGCAGTCTCAATGTAAACATGAACAGATTGAAAATTTGCTAATTTTTTTCAAAAAACCAAGAATTTTACATTTATGAGTTTCAATTTCCTGAATTAACTGCTCCCCATCTTTTATGAAATGAAAAGGTTTTACTAGTAAGTAAATGGAGTGACTACACTGTGTTTTTTATCTAATTATATTAATAAGATGACCCACAGTTTATACAACTGAAAATCCTACTAAAAAAACTTAAAAGGTAAAAAAAACAATAATCCTAAATTCAAACAAAGTCAGTCAACATAGCAAATGTACATGTAAAAATATATAATAATCATTAAACAAATTGCAGTTAAAAGTTAGACTATGTTATTCAAATAATGATCGCATCTATAACAGCCTGCCATACAATACTCTTTTCTTCATCAAAACATCTTATTTATAATAATGTACCCCTTATAATTTTAATTTAAAAGAAAAAGCTTTACACTGTCAACTACTGTATCATCTCAGAGCTTTTAAAGTAACAAATTATTAAAAGCAGTTTTCTAAATGCCAAAGCAGACAGACAAAATATACTTTGCAAATTAGAAAAATGTCAAAATATGTTTCCCCATAAAAAAAGCACATTTTTAGAGGCCCAGCACATTCATTCACTCCAAGAACAAAGAATTAGTAAAAAATGAACAAAAGAAGAGAAGATTCTTCCCCATCCATGCAGAATGCATTTCCCACCTCTTTCTCCCTGTGATCCCCACCGTGTGAATTTTGATCCAATCTGAGTCCTAGCTAAGGATATACAACAGAAAAAAATTCTACTCGTCAGAGAAGGCACAAAAACAAATCCTTTTCATGTCTAGACTACATGTATGAGTGGAGCTGACCAAAGGGATACTTATTGCAGTTTAAGAAAAACAATTTTTTGTAACTACTGTACTTAATTTATACATTTTCCCCATGGTGTGATGTAGAAACAGTTTTTACCTGTTCTGTAGAGTATTGGAATGTGATCAGTAGAAAGTTTATGTTCACTTCGTACACCAATCAACAGAGGGCTACCTCGTCTATTAGTACAAAATTAGACAGAATTAAGCCATTTGTATAAATAATACACCAAAGGTATAAAATTTAAATTTGATGAGGGAACATTCTACAAATAATGTTTAAATTCTCCAAGTCTGGCTTCAGGTATAACAAAAAAATGACACGAACAGAAACTCAAAAAATATTCAAGAGCAGGTCAGCCAACTATGAACCATAATCCAAGTTTGTCTATTCTTGCAAAGAGAATTTTACTGGAAATAGCCATGCCCATTTTTTTTGATATTTTATTTTATATAATTCTTACATCATTTTTCATTTTTGCACAATGTATGCATTTTCATTTTGGTTATATTCCCCATATAATTGCACCCTCCCCTATTTTGACCCTAATCCTTCCTCTCCACACCCCTCCCCACTCCCCATGGTGTGTCTCTGGTTTATAGTTGCTTGTTGATTTTGATTTTCACTTTGTATTAATTAGTTTTTTTCCTGGTCCCTTATTTAGGTTTTCTAAATACCTGCTATGTTTTCTAAATACCTGCTATGAGTGAGACCATCTGGTATTTTTCTTTTTCTTTCTGACTTATTTTGCTGAGCATGATCCCTTCTAGCTCCATCCATGTTGCTGAAAACTGCATGTGTTTATCTTCTTTGATTGCTGAGTAATATTCCATTGTGTGTATGTGTGTGTGTATATATATATATATATACACATATATACATATATGTGTATATACACACATATATGTATATGTATACATGTGTGTATGCATATATATGTATACACACACATATATATGTATATACACACATATATGTATATACACACACATATATATACACATACATATATATACACACACATATATATATACACACACACACACATATATATATATATACACACACACACACCACATCTTCTTGATCCAGTCATCTATTTTTGGGCATTTGGGTTATTTCCATAGCTTAGCTGCTATAAACATAAGGGTGCAGGTGCCCTTTGGAATGAATGTTTCTGTGTCATTTAAGTAAATATCTAGGAGTGGAATTGCTGGATCATATGGAAGCTCTATCTTTAGTAGGTCAAGAAATCTCCACGGGCCTCCCCTGGTGGCACAATGGTTGAGCGCTGGGCTGCAAAGCTGCCCGCAGCCTCTGCAGTGCCAATTCGATCCCCAGCCGCCGGCGAGGGTCCCACATGGCGTGCAGACCTCTCCTGCTGCGCCCACTGCTCCCCTCAGCAGTGTATTTTGTCGGTCTGTCTGTTCTGTTCCCTGCTCTGGCTCTAGTGAATTCTCTCACCCTCCTGCACTTCTGACTGTACCCCGGTTCTTGTATAAATAAATAAATAGATCTTAAAAAAAAAAAAAAAAAGAAATCTCCACACAGCTCTCCATAGTGGTTGTACCAGTTCATGCCCATTTTTTTTAACATATTTTCTATGACTGCTTTCACATTTCAGCAGCAAAACTAAAGAGTTGTAAGAGGTTCTTTACCTAGAAAGTCTAAAATATTTACTATCTCACCCATTACAGGAAAAGCTTAACAATCTCTGTTCTGTAACAATGTATTTGAATTTTTTCTTTTTAAATATTATAATAAAGTAAAAATCAAAATCAACAAGCAACTATAAACCAGAAACACACTACGGGGTGGGGGGGAGGGGGTAGTATCAAAATAAGCAGGATGGGAATTGTATGGGGACTATAACCAAGATGAAAATGCATACATTGTGCAAAAATGAAAAATGATGTAAAAAATATATAAAAGAAAAAAAAAAGGAGTTCATAAAAAAAAAAAAGAAAAAAGGATTTTGTGGTTAGACTTAAATATTCTAGCAAAAGTAGTGATGGTACAATTATCCAGAACTCTGCCTAGAATATATACTTCCAAAAATATGGAGAAAGTTAAATTTGGGGGCCTAAAATTATCAAATACACAAAGGAAACATGGAGCCCCACTACAGACAAAAGGCTAATTATAAATGCCAAAGTATATCTGCTTTATTGAGAAACTCTATTAAATAAGAGTTGTAAAGGAGCATATTAAGATAAAAATATATACAGCTATATCTAAGAAAGGGCAAAGCCTTTATAGTGAAGAGCCTTTTACAGTATCTGGAAAATAAACTTATAATTCAAATGTTCCAGAATACATTTAATTACTAGTTATGATCAATTTATACGTACCGTGTGCCAACTGCTTGGCCAGGAAAATGAACACTTTTAAATACAAGTGCAAAAGCACCTTCCTAAGAAGAGGAAAACATATATTAGCAATATTTATTATAATCAATTATCAAGTGTGAAATGCCTAAATCATATTGGCTTTTGCATAACATTTTTTTGTTCATACAACTATTCTTTTGCATTTGTTTATAAAGGAACCTAAGTTTTAAGTAGATATTTACTCCTGAGTTTTGGTGTATTCAAGATCCATTTTTCAAACAAACCCATTCTTGAAATATGCTCACTAGATAATAGTACCAAACCAAACCACTTTAAAAACCTTTGTGCATGCTACAAATATTTCTAAATAGAGATATCTTATCTCCTGTACATTGTTGCATTATTAGGGGTGAAGAGAATTTAAAAAGATCCCCAACTTAATATACAAAACCAACTCTCTGACCCAGTAAATTTTTACCACTGTTAACTTCTATTCTGTTTTGGGTCTCCCTGGTGGCGCAAGGGTTAAGTCTCAGTGCAATCAAGCTCACGCCAGTCAATGCAACACGAGTTCAATCCCCAGCCAAGGAGATAACCCACATGGCGCAGAACTCTCCTGCCTTGCCCACTGCTCCCCTCAGCAGTGTATTTCAGTACATCTGCCTGTTCTGCTCCCCATTCTGCCTCTGAAGAATCCTCTTACCCACCCTCCCACCCCAGAATCTCTGGCCTATACCCCAGTTCTTGTATGCATAAATAAATCTTAAAAAAAAAATTTCTATTCTGTTTTACCTCAATATTAAAGATAGCAAATATACACAATCACAATACTAACACATACACCATCCCATTCCATCAACCCAACCTTCTCGGGGACAGGGCCTAAGTAAATTAAAAATGAATAAAGGAGAAGCATGAGATAGGAAAGGGAAGGAATCACCACAGAACACAAACTCTGTTGTACAATGTGTAGAATGTACAATGTATAAAAGTAAGAAAAAGCTGGAAAGGTACACTACTCTGCCTTGAGCCCTTTACTATTAAGTAAAGGGAAGGAGCAAGTCTATCTTCTCCATCTTCCTATTTCCTATTGCAGAAATCTTAAGATTTGGGCAGAAGTAAGTGGTAAGGGTTAGACCTTAGTAGAGAAAGAAATAAAGGGTTTTTAAATGGGAAAGCTAGAGTTCTGAGCAGGGGAAGGGTGGAAATCACTATGCATTTGGATTTTTGTGGATATTTAACGTCTTTGATCTTTAATTTTCACTTTCATTTGGTCTGAGAAATACTGTTTTATAGAGGTGCAGGGCCAAAGTAAAGTCCCATTAAGAAAAGATAAGGAGATGATTTATACTGGCTCCAAGATACACAAACATCCCAAAAGAGAGTATGCATTTCACTGAAGTTACCTTGTGCTGTTACTGACTGAGAAGAACACTTAAATGAGCACAAAGAAAGAAAATGATGAATCCCTGACTGTGTATTATGTATATGTTTGCATGGATGTGTATAGGTTTGTAGTTATGTATGCCTAGATTTTAGACAAACTGATTCTGGACTCTGGACTATTTTTAATTCTTGTGACCCTAAACAACCTTAAAAGAAGTAGAATTTTTTTAAGTGGTGTGGAAAAGGGAGTGGTCAATAGGTTAAAAAATGATCTCTCAAAGTCATTCAAGTTGAATGGTAATATCTAAAGGAAGCAAAAGTCAAAAAAACTTAAATGAACATAGTTCCTGCTTATCAAACTAATTTTAAGAGTTTACCATAATTGGTATTGGCAATAATTATCTGTATGAGTACAGTTTAGTACCTACCAGTTGTTGGATAACTCTCTCCACTAAGGTAGTAAAACTGGTATCTTGACTTTCCCGATTGTCATACATGTATTTAACCAGCTTGGCAATTGTCTCTGTGTCTGTTTCAGATTCAAAGTCATAGCCTTTGCTTTCCTGTAATTAGAAAGGGAGGGGGAAATAACATTTAATAAAATATTGATGATCTCCAAATCTTTTCTACAAAGTTTTTTTCCTCAAAAATTTCATTAACTGATTTCTAATTCTAGTATTTTTGACCAATAGCTCAAAATTAAAGTCACCATCTTATAACAGTGAACCTAAATACATATAAATTGTATTTTAAATTAATAAAATATAATGAAATAATATTCAAAAAATGCTAATTCCATAATGAAAATGACTTTCCTTGATAATGATAATGCACTGTTATTAGCTATATGTGGCTATTTAAATTGATTAAAATTAGATAAATTTCAAATTTAGTCAGTCATATAGCTCCACAGACACATGTGGACATTGACTATTGAGTTAGACAGGACAGGTGAAGGATTCCAACACCATAGCAAGTTCAACTGGATAGCCCTGAGAATGTATTCATGAAGGTCATTCATCATGACTATATTACTATATAGTACACAGCTCTTTAGGGCACAGAACCTTCACTGAATCTGTACTAATTCTTCTTACATATCCTAGAATCCTTTTTAAAAGTCTCTCACAATGTAAAAGATGCCCTACACCCAATTCCAACCTTACTTGAACTTTTGGGGTCATTTATAATAAAGTCACATAATTATTTCCTTTTCATTTAAGAAATAATATTCTGCGGTCAACAAAGCAAACCACCATTGGAATTACCATCTTAAGGATTACTTGTTATATCTAGAAGGTACTGCATATCCCAACACACAACCTCCCTGCTCTCATCAGAAATATTCTAAAAGATGGTGTTTTTAAAGTTCACATTACTTACCAAAAACTTTTTCAAGTCTTTATAGTTGGTGATAATTCCATTGTGAATAACAATAAATTCTGAAACAGATAAAAAGTATTGATGATGAAAAATATAGGTCTGGTAAACACTGTGAGTAGCAACTACTGCTAGTACACTTTCCTCAAGTCAAAAAGTTTGTCACTTTTTGTGACAAATACTGTACTTCCAGGTGGAATCAAGTATCACCTAGTTTTCATTATGTACCATCCTCAGATAGATAAGCAATATTATTTACGTGGCTGCGTGGAAGCACACAATACCAGGGAGGTGGGTACAGTGGAAAAACACAATAAAGTATGGTCTAGAGACATAAATTTCACTTGTGACTAAACTTCTAAACCAATACCACCATATGAACAGAGCAAATTTCCTAGGTCTAGTTCCTTACTTGCAAAATGAGAGGACTAAACTATAGAATTATTACCTCACTTCTTTGTTCATTCATTCTTATGCATAAAACATTCCTAAGTTTAAAGAGAAAAGTATTTCAAATAAAAATATCTGATTTATACAAAATAAGTTTAGGATATAAAGAAGTTACTAAGAAAAACCAAACAGCTATTCAGATCTATACTTACAATCATTTATCTCAGATCCAGACAATTCTTAGACTATCAGATAAATGAATATCAAAACTGTATTCCATATGCTTTCCAAAATGCATATAATGTGACAATTTTCATCTTTTTTGATTAAATAACTTTGTAAGAATGGCTAACCAAGAGTTCACAGTATTATTATTTGTGGTCACTAACTGTATATAAAGACTGCCAGCGTGCCTTGATTATTTAAAGTTCATATAAGTCAGGAGAGAAATTACTACTAAATTCAACCTTATTATTACATTAAATTTCAAAATATTTTTAATATGCTTAAAGAAATATTTGATATTTTGGTCTGACACTAAATGAGCTTGAACTGAACTTGTTACAAATCGAAACATTTTTACTACACTTTTGAGAGAAAAAGATACCACAAAATGATATCATAAAAATAAATCTAGGGCCTTCCTGGTGGCGCAAGGGGTTAAGCACCATACTGCGAGGCAATCCACAGCCTCGACAGCACGAGTTCGATCCCTGGCAGGGAGCAACCCACATGGCGAAGCAGACCTCTCCTGTCTCATTCACTGCTCCCCTCAGCAGTGTATTTCGGTCAGTCTGCCTGTTCTGTTCCCCACTCTGTCTCTGGTGAGTCCTCTCACCCCACCCCCACATCTCTGGCTTGTGCCCCAGCTCTTGTATGCATGAGCAAATAAATCTTTAAATAAATAAATAAATCTTTAAATAAATAAATAATGAATGCATCTAAAAGAAAAATTTTAATGCTAGACCACAAAGAATCATAAATAGTTAATTGCTGACATAAAGCCTTAAAGTCAAATTCTCAAAACATAATCCAGATAGTTTTCAGGAATCATTTATAAAGTCCTTATCAGTATTAAAAGTTAAGAGTGGTTGTTAACATTCCAATCTTACTCAATGATATAAGTATGTGAAGCACAAGAAACCTAAAAAGGCAGTTGCTGAATTAAATTATGAAATCTTGTCTCAAAAGGTATACACATATATAGAAACACAGACATACCACATATGTATTTGTTCATTTTTAAAAGTGAAAGAAGAGACTGAAAACATAATTGATTGTGTACTGATAAACATTAAAGCAGGTGTTAGGTACATGGGACTCTATAAAGTCTCAACTTCTGAATACATTTGAAAATTTCCAAACTAAAATAACAAAAACATAAGAGCCTTCAATTATTCTCCCACTGTAGACCCCTCTACAATCATTTCAGTTGTCCATACCATTATTTTTATCAGAGCGCTGGGGATGGCTATTGACAGGATTGGGTTCTCCATGTGTTGCCCAACGGGTATGAGCTATTCCAAGATGTACATCAAATTCTATATCCAAATCCATATCCTGTTGTTCTAAAGACAATAAAATCAAAAATCCCAATATTAAATCATGCTATACATTATACTTAATATAATTACTAGAGTGCTGCCCAACTAGAACAAACAATTATTAAAACTGAAGATCAGGCATATTCAAAATGATAAAAGAAAGATTTAGAAGTTAATGCAGCTGAAATATTTTAGGGCAAATGGTTTCAAAACAAAAAACAAAAAAAAAGTGCATACAGAGAGATAAAGCAAAGGTGACAAAATATTAAACAGCTGGTAGAGTGAGAGGAAATGTTGCATGTGTGTACACACACGTAGGATTAATGTGCTATTCTTTCAGTTTTGTGGAAGCCTAAAAATTCTCAAACTCAGTAATTATGGCCCAAAAAGAGTTAATATGATTTTTAAATGTTTTTAATCTCTACCTTAGAATAAATCGGTCATTTTAATTGGACATGTAAATATAAAATCATTTTCTCAATGCTACACAACATTACAACTTCAATGTCTTTAGTCTCCAGTGAATGTAAATATATTTCACAATATAAAATGAAATTATGACAGCTTTCAAAATCAAAGAATAGAGCAACACCAAGAAAATATAAAGATATAGGCCGATGGCTCCTATCTTGAAAAGCAGCAGTTTTAATTTCTTTTCCCAACAAGCTATTCCTCCTTGCTTTTTCCAGAAAAAAATGAACAAGGCTCCCTGGTGATGCAGGGGTTAAAGTCTCTGCACTATCAAGCAATCACCAGACACTGAGGCATGAGTTCGATCCTGGCCTGGAAACTAACCCACATGGCTCAGACCTTTCCTGTCTCACCTGCTGCTCCCCTCAGCAGTGTATTTAAGTACATCTGTCTGTTCTGCTCCCCACTCTGTCTCTAGTGGATCCTCTCATCCCCCGCACCTCTGGCCTACATTCCAGTTCTTGTATGCATAAATAAATATTTTTTAAAAAGAAAATGAACAATTCTAGCTATTTACTAGCAATGCCTCACTTTTTTTCTTTTCTTTTCTTTTCTTTTTTTTTTTTTTTTGTGGGACCCTTGCAGGCGGGCGGCCGGGGAACAAACCAGCACTGCAGAGGCTGTGGGCAGCCTCGCAGCCCAGCACTCAACCGCTGCGCCACCAGGGGAGGCCCTAATGCTTCACTTTTAACTTCCTATATACAAAATTCATTTGACTAAGTAAGAAACAAGATAACAAAGCTTACCAGAATTAAATCTAAATTAAGAACAAACTGCTCAGAAGTCTGAATAGGAAAGTCTGTGCATTTGAGCACCCAATTTTTGTGGCTTTTACAGAAGTTGATCAGAGGTGATTCTAAAACAAATCTTATCAGGAAACAATGCTGAAATCCTTACATAGACTTCTACTGCTCTAAAAGGTAGTGTGCATCCCTAGGTACCCATATGGATCATCCTAAACCCAGTCACAGGGATTTATAAAAAGATCCTTAAATCTACCCTTAAATCTACTCTACAACCAGAAAATCATCTTCTCACAACATAAAGTCTCAAAACCTCCTTGTGGCATACAAGACCCCTACCTTTCCATCCTCATCTCCCACCCCTCCAATTATCCCTCAGTGCCTTCAACACACCTTTTACAAATAACAGCAGCCAATAGTAACAGAGAATTTACTTAGTGCAAGGTACTAATGACTTCTCATCATTGTAGCCCTGTCACTGTGGCACCAGCTACCACTGTCTGTCCCTGAACTACTTCAACAGGCCTTTGTACAACCTACTCTTTGTACACCAACCAAAGTAATCCTTTCAAAATAGAAGTTAGGCCATGTCACTCCAATGCAAAATTTTTCAGTAGCTCCCCATGAATTTTACACATAGTAAAATCTACATGACCTTGCCCTCAGTCACCTCTCTAGCCTTATCTCCTTCCACTCTCCCCATCACTTACAATGCTCTAGCGCCACTAACTTTCAGCTACACACAGACCTAGCCTCCACACTAGGTGTTCCCACTGTTTAGCATTCCCTCCTTCTCAAATGTCACATCTACAATACATTTTCTTCATACCACTCATCACCTATCTAACATATTTGTTTGCTGTATGATTATCTCACTAGCCAAAAAGCTCCCTCAGGGCAGGGAGTTTGCCTATCTTTTTCTCTGTTGTATGCATAGGGCCTAGAACAAGGGCTAGAATTTAATGGTACTCAATAAATACTCATTTTGTTATGGATCCTCCCTATACTCTGTGAGGTAATATTGTCCCCACTTCACAGAATAAGAAATTGAACCTCCAATAGATCACAAAACCTGCCCTAGGTCACAGTGGCTAGGACACAAAAAAAGGATTCTTTCTCTTCTCAACTGTGTACTGAATAATTAAGGCAAGTTGATAAATGACCTCCAGAAAAGTAAAGACTATTATCACTAGCTAATAGGTTAAGGCAAACAATAAAAACATTTGACTAGTTTTTTTAACTATAATTAAAGCAAGTATTTTATCCCCACTTTAGCAACCAGCATTGGAGAAAGTAATGCGATTCTGTAAATGGAATCCATTTCAAATTCATAATTGCCATATCTATTTCACTGTTGCCAAAGAAACATTATCTAATGTTTAGTAAGAAAAATCCACTGCCATAACAATAAGCACATTCCTTACAACAAATATTTCATGTTTTACAAATTAGTTATGACTTCTAATCCTTGACTGTTCTATTCAACATTATCCCTATTCTAGTCTTTTGTTGAATCTTAAATCTAGATAACCCCCACACTCAGTTTTTTCTAATCTCCTCCCACAAGCTGCCAAGCAACATTGAAGAAAGTCACAAAAATCTGTAAAATCAATCCATTTCAAGTTCATGGTAATTACCATACTTATTTCACTATGCCATTTAAGGAATATTGCTTATTCATTAAGCTGAGGGGTCCATCAAATCAACAACAGATCATGAGATCTTTGCTACTCTCTTTCAGTCATAATCCTACGTATAGTACCTCTATTACCACGTTACTCAGCATGTTCCCCTTCACCTGGTAATTCTGTTTAGTTTTTCTTTACCTTTACTCCTATAAAGGTTAACTTTCCCCTACCTGTGCCTTGACCTTTTGAATGTTAATCCAGCAATAATTTCCTTATTTGCATCTTCTATCTTTCCCATACCTTCACCTCAAGACTTCTTTCCAGATGTCACCCTTTTTTTAAAATAGCTCAAACATAGCAAAACATTTACATGCCTATATCCAGAGATAACAAATATTAACAGTCACTTGGGATTCATCTTTTTGAGATATAAAATGATTTAAAAAGCTTAGTTTTTATCACTCACTAGAAAAGCAGTCTTTTGCTCCCAAATTTCAGTCCTTTACAGTCAATAATACTATCTCATAACAGTATCTACTCCTCTGTTTTTCCATTTCCTCATGCAAAACAAGGATGATGTTACCTACTGCATTGGCCATAACGAAGAATAAATGAGGTAATACATGTAAAGCTCCAAAATTGCTTGGAACACAGAAAAGCAATCAATAAATGATAGCTGTTATTATCAAAGTCAGAAACTACCAATAACTTATTAATTCACCAATCCAATGACCTTTGTAAGATATCTTCCTCCCTTTTTATCTTAACAGGTGAAGCATACTGAAATATGCTAGGGATAATAAAATAAGCATCACAAGTATACAAATACCCACATCCAGAGTTAACAAATGTTAACATCTAACCATTTGTGCTTTAGATCTTCAAAATCTAAAATGCAAAAAAAGGCAGTTGATGCCTCCTTCATTTCCTTCTCTGTCCTAGCCCCAAGAGGATTCTCAAGTTGCCACAGACAGAAATTTCCCATATGCAACCCTAAATTTCTATTATGATAACAAATGGTAGTATTTTTTTGTGTGCTTTTTAAATAGGCCTATACTTTATACAACCTTTTGCAAGCTGCTGTTATCACTCTATTTGGTTCCCAGAAATTATTACTATGCCCACATTCAGAACCAGGTCCAGTATACTGTTTTCAAGCACTATAAATGGTCATTTACTATCATTACAACTCATTTTCCCATTTCCTTACTAACAGAAATTTAGGTTATTTCTTGCAATGAATCTTGCTGCAGTGTCTCCTTTTTCACAGTATTTCTTATATGCCCAAAGAGTGGAAGTACTTGATTACAGGGCATTTAGAAACTTTCAGTTTGCTTTTCAAACTGATTTATCAGTAACAAATCCACTGGCAATGCTCCAAGTTCCTATTTCTCCACTACTTTCTGACTCTCCAGCAGGAGGAGGTATGTTTCATATACTGACATTCAGATGATAATTCTGGTCACAATCTATCTTTCTAGACTTCCATATTTACCAATCAATAATACAGATAAAAAGGCCACCTACTACTTCATCAATACACTTTGCTAGCCTATTCTTGTCTTTACCCAAACTATTCTATTTGGAAGGTGCTCCTTTCTCACGTTCACTGCTCAAATGTTAACCAGCAGTCATTCCTTATATATGAGAGTCCCAAACTTGTGGGAATTCTCTGTCCCCTTAGAACAAATTCTTTTTTCACTTCTATAGAACCTACTATAATCATCCTGATATAGAGGATGAATATACACATTAGACAAAATATTTATATAATAGTTTCTGAAGTATAGTTATTTGGGCGGTCTGCTTTACCCTGCACTAATCTCACCCACAGGACACACAAAGTATTGATTTAATTTGTAGTACTACAAGCTTTGTAAACTATATGTTGGGTTTATATGGGGGAAAAAAAAATCACTAAATCCATTATCTTCTTCTATCTATATTCCTGCTGCAATTATTATGATGGCTTAATTTGAGCAGGTACATAAAAAATCCTGTTTCCTGGTATTTGTGGAAGGTTTTAAAACTGTTTTTTCAATCTATTTAAGGTTTTTGTTTTGTTTTCAAGTATCCTATGAAAAAGTAAAATGCATAAGTATAAAATTATAGATACTCAGAAGTATTTAATATATATGGAGCATGAATGCCCAGTCAATTACTTTATGCCAGTGAAGAAAATCATGAGAGAAAAACATGATACTTACCTGATTAAATTAGAACTACCAAATGGTACGACACTGAGACTGATTACACATCCAAGCTAGCCATTTAGTCCAAAGTGAAGAAACTACCAAATGAAGACACACGAACAAGGGAACTACTAAAAATGTCTTTTGTCTTATAAAAGTCCCTCTTTTCAAGAATTGTGGCTACTTCATTTTAGAATATTGAGTTTGAACCCTACATCAGAAAACAATGTACCTAACTAGTTTTCTTCCCTAGTTAATGTAATCACTTTGGGTTGTTTTTAGTTCTAGAACTTTTTTTTTTTTTCATTAATTTGTCTATTTAACATTGGCTTACATGACTGTATATGATATAGAGGAATAGGTTCATACCTCCTCAGACATAAATATGATCATTCTGAAGCTCAGGCACACTTTAAAACCAGTACAAACAGTAACAAAACTATTTTTTTTCTCCTTTCAACTTCAAGAACCATTATTCTCAAAACAGACCTAAAAAGGAATGAAAGGCAATTTGATAGGAAAGGAAAGAAAGGTGAGGGAAAACAAAAATAAAATTACTGTGAACTTCTTCATCCAGAGCCTTAACTTTCCCTTTCTTCTTAATGAGCTGGATTTTGCAGGCATTGGCTTCCCAATCTTTGTCATTGCCGCCATCAAATCCCACACCTAAATCATCAAGGAGTAGAAAAGCAAGATTTAGAAAGTATTACTAAAATTAGCATTGTGAGGCACAAATTTTAATTAAAAATACATTTTCATCTAAGTGATTAATTCATCAATCAACATATACTGAAAACCTGTTATGTGTCAAGTATCATGATAGCTGCCAGTTAATGAAAATAACTTAGTTCCTAGGCTCAAATTTCTAATAGTCTTCTGAAAAAATAGACAAGAAAAAGTAATTACAGTACAGTGTAGTTTTAGATTACAATAAAAAGAGCCAGGTTACAAGCAGAACACAAGGGAGAAATACAGATGATGGTCACCCATCTCAGAAGGGAGAAATGTGTCAAGGAACACATCTCTATAGATTCTACTTAAGCTACTATGACATTTGAAAAAATTACCCTGAAAGTACTGAAAAAGCAGTGAACAGTTTGAAGTAAAGAAATAACATTGCAGGGGACTCCCTGGTGGTGCAACGGTGGGTTAAAGTCTCAGCACCATCAAGCTATCACCAGCCATTGTGGCATGAGCTCCATCCCTGGCCAGGGAGCTAACCCACATGGCACAGCAGACCTCTCCTGTCTCACCTGCTGCTCCCCTGAGCAGTGTATTTCAGTATATCTGCCTGTTTTGCTCCCCACTTTGTCTCTGGTGAATCCTCTCACCCCCCGTATCGCTGACCTACACCCCAGTTCTTGCATGCATAAAAAAATAAATTTTGAAAATAAATAACACTGCAAAATACTTAGAAAACTCTCTTTGGAAACAGTGTAGAAACAGACTGAAAGGGGAGAAACAGAAAAAGAAATAAACTTTTAGACATTATAGCTATAGCAAAGCAAAAATGAGAAGAGCCTCAATTAAACAGCGACAAGTAAAGAAGATAGAGATAAGTGATACTGAGATTAGAGCTAAATGGATATAAGATAAAAAAGCAAAAGTTTGGGATACTACCTAGGCTCAAAGGAATTGTTGAATGACTGTTAATAAAAGGAAGTCAGAAGACTAAAAAATATGGTGAGAACCTGAGATTCGTTCAATTCTGAGCATACAAAGTTTATAATACTGTGGTTAATCCAGGGACATATATCTAGGAGGCAGCTAGAAATACAGGTTTGTGCCTTGGGAAATACATCTGGATTTTAAGTCACCAATATATGGGAAGTTGATGGAAGATACAAACCAAAAAAAAGTGGACCTAGGAAAGAATTTTGAAGAACATTAATATTTAAGCAACTGTAGGAAAAAAAGGAGCACACACACACATACACACACCCCTCCCACCATGTGTTGTCAGAGAAGCTAAGGAAGGAATTTTAAGAACACAGGAGTTGAGGAATGAGCTGTAATTGAGGGAAGTCACTGAAGATAAAGGTACATTATATTTAGCAAAATTAAGTATATAGAAAAGAATTAACAAGTCTAACACTACTAAAAGAATTAGCAAGTCTAACACTACTATCCCTAGAAAGGCCTGTTTGTAATGTTGGCCACTGGCTGGAGTCTGAGAACTTGGGATTTCAGGAAGGTTATCATCACCCTAACTGATTAAAAATGGCTCATTGCACCTAAGCTGTTTGTTCAAACAATGCTGAACATCTGTTTCCCTTCTAGAAATGTCAAATTTTGGAAGATATTAGGCAGAGAATGTCTATGTGATTAGCCCCCAATAAAAAGCTTGGGCACTGAGTGACTAGTCAACTTTCCTGGTATACGACATTTCACATCCATTGTCAGAACTCATTGGGAGAACTAAGTGCATCTGTGTGACTCCTCCGGGAGAAGGCTCTTAGAAGCTTATGCCTGGTTTCCTCCAGATTTCACCCCATATATCTTTTCCCTTTATTAATTTTGCCTTATATTCTTTTGATCTCATAAATCATAGCTCTGAGTACATATATGGTGAGTCCTCCTAGAGAACTACCATATCTGGGGATGGCCCCACAATACAATTAAAAGAAGGAGCTAGTGTAGAACATAAAGTTTTTTTTACTTGCTTTGTCATTTATTTAAGATAGAAGAATCTTAGGTAAGTTCATCTGCCAACAGCACGGAAACCATGGACAAAAGGAAAGTTATGGGGGAGGGGGAGAGAGAATTTATAGTGTAAGGCTTTCAAAAACTTTGTTCTACTAATAGATATTTGTCTTTATAGTAACGTTCTTTACAAATGAGACACATAAGTAGCAATACTGCATGAACAGTAATACTGAAATTATATGAACAAACCCTTAAACAACATAAAAGATAAGAATTCTTTAGATTTTAGATTTACCTGATACAGCAAAACAGACTTTTTGAAAACAAAACTAGAGTATAGTCATCTAGAATAAACAAAAAACCTCTCTATTTAGATTCAAGAATCATGCACAGTTTAAAGTAAATACCAGCAGAATCATATCCTCTGTACTCCAGTCTCTGAAGGCCTTTGATTAGGGTCTCCAAAATTTCTCGTCTTGTACGAGGGACATGGTAGTTTAAGTAAGCAAATATACCTGCAAAGAAACAAATATTTAATGAAAGTTCTGACGAAAGAATCAAAATTGATATAATTATGACAGATTCCTCTTTGCATACTTATGTCTATGATGTGCCAAAATGTGAAACTAGGTCCACCTTTAAAAAATAAAGGTGCCCCTGGTGGCACAAGGGGTTAAGACACAGCCTACAAAGCTAGCCACAGCCATGAAGTACGAGTTCGATCCCCAGCCAGGGAGGGGACCCATATGGGGCAGTAGACCTCTCCTGACTCGCCCGCTGCTCCCCTCAGCAGTATATTTCAGTCAATCTGCCTGTTTTGCTCCCCACTCTCTGGTGAATCTTCTCAACCCCCTCACTCAGGTCTGCACCCTAGTTCTTATATGAATAAATAAACAAATCTTTTAAAAATATATATGAAATATATAAGAATTTCTATTTATTTATTTATTTATTTATTTTACGGTTTTTGTTTTTTTTTTAAAGATTTATTTTATTTATTTATTTATTTATACAAGCACTGGGTACAGTCAGAAGCACGGGAGGGTGAGAGAATTCACCAGAGCCAGAGCGGGGAGCAGAACAGGCAGAAGGACCGAAGTACACTGCTGAGGGGAGCAGTGGGCGGCAGGAGAGGTCTGCGCTCCATGTGGGACCCTCCTCTGGTGGCCGGGGAGCAGCCAGGGATGGAACCGGCGCTGCAGAGGCAGTGGGCAGCTTCGCAACCCAGCGCTCAACCGCTGCACCACCGGGGAGGCCCTTTTCAATTTATTTTTTAAGTGTTCAATACCTTTTCCCTAATAGCAAAACATTGGTTCTAGTGTCTTCTACTTTGTTGTAACACATGTTGCCACTGGAATGAAGCTCGATAACATGTCTCTCTTGCACATTTAAATTCTGAAACTCAAAGTACTATTTAAACCCTAACATCTCTAATTATACACTCTCTCACAGTCCATCTATATTGTCATTTTTCCTGAGAAAAAGCATGTACTTCCTGCTCACAAACCTTCACCCATTTCATCTTTCTTATTTCCCTCTGACAATCACATCAGACCACAACTTTTCACCATCTTGTCAAGTCAGTCCCTCTAGGTCTTTGTGGTCTGGTGTCCCTGAATACCTCGACAACAAAGTACAAGAGCCATACAGAACCCATCCATTCATCCATTTCAAGTTCACTTTTGCATGGACCCATCCAACTGCTAACCAATCCTAATTCATTGTTTGCCTAACTTTAAAACATCCCCCAGATTTTATTCCAAAGTCTAAAATCCAGATTGCTTTCAAATCCCCATTTCTCTCTTCCCAGCTTCTCAATTTTGGTACATTCTCACTTTACAGAATTGAAGCCTTCATCTTCATCTTCCATCTTCATCTTCATCCTGTATACCCATCCTTCCTTTCAAGCTCAAAATAAACATTTCCACATATAACTTCCTAAAGCCAGTCTTCTTTTTTTTTTTTTTTAATTTAAGATTTATTTATTTATTTATACAAGCACTGGGTACAGTCAGAAGCACGGGAAGGTGAGAGAATTCACCAGAGCCAGAGCGGGAAACAGAACAGGCAGACTGACGAAGTACACTGCTGAGGGGAGCAGCTGAAGCGGCAGGAGAGGTCTGCGTGGGACCCTCACCTATGGCCGGGGATCAAACCAGTGCTGCAGAGGCTGTGGGCAGCTCCGCAACACAGCTCTCAACCGCTGTGCCACTAGGGGAGGCCCTAAAGCCAGTCTTCTTATCTGTAACTCTTAATATGTGATTCCATAACTATGTAACCTACAACCTCTTGTTAATATCAAAATACTCTGAGGATCTGACACAAGAGTGGACTGAATTCTTATTATCCAATGATGAAAAACAACCTTTATTCAATTTCTAAAAAATGCTTAGGGTATGAATCAGTGAATAGATACCTAGTGAGAAGTTCACAGCTTACAGATCCAGAACCCAACTTTTCAACTCTCTCAGGGGACCTTTGCTCCCTAATGCTCCCTTCCCTACTCTGTTGGTATACCTGCTCCTCCTAAACACAAACTCAGGTCCTTCTGCCTTCGTATATGCTTTGCATTGATTTCATTATAGACAAAACCAGTTAACTTCTCTCTGCAGTACTAAACATGAATGACCTTTCCTTCTGCAAACTCTGTCTAAGGCAATACACCTCTTTGGAAATCTTCTGCCTATATATATCCACTGTTCTTTGGTCTCTTTTCCTGGAAGCTCTATTTCAGTTTTTTGAACCCACTGGCAGTAGGTCAATTTACTTCCTTCTTCATTCACTGTTGGGGAATATATTCTCTACAGCTAGCACCATTCCTAAATTTAAGAATTAATCCTGCCCCATTACCTGGAACATTCCTGGCCTAATCATAACCAGTCTCTGACTTTCTATTCATTCCACTTATAATCTATACCATAGCAATAACAAGGACTGTGTATTATAATCTACACATGTTGCATGTTTATTGTTCCTTCCAATCAGACAGCAATTCTTGAAGACAAGTCCCTTGTTTCAGTCTTCTCTCCAAAAGGCAAGAGTACCCAGTATAGGGCCTCCCCGGTGGCACAGCAGTTGAGCGCTGGGTTGCGAAGCTGCCCGCGGCCTCTGCGGCGCCAGTTCAATCCCTCGCTGCTCCCCGGCCACCTGAGGAGGGTCCCACATGGCGCGCAGACCTCTCCTGCCGCCCACTGCTCCCCTCAGCAGTGTACTTCGGTCCTTCTGCCTGCTCTGCTCCCCGCTTGGGCTCTGGTGAATTCTCTCACCCTCCCGTGCTTCTGACTGTATCCAGTGCATGTATAAACAAACAAACAAATAAATAATACATGCCTCTTTTAAAAAAAAAAAAAAAAAACAAAATGGCCATCCTACCAAAAGCAATTTACAGATTCAATGCTATTCCAAAAAAATTTCAATGACATTCTTCAAAGAAATAGAACAAAAATCGATGAAATTCATATGGAGCCACCAAAAACCTGAATAGCCAAAGCTCTCTTTAAAAAAAAGAGAAGGAAATGGAGGTATCACACTCCCAGATTTTACACTATACTACAAAGCCATAACAATCAAAACTGCAAGGTACTGGAAAAAGAACAGACACATGGACCCATGGAACCAAACAAAAAATCCAGAAATAAACGCACAGATTTACGGTCAACTGATCTTTGACAAAGGAGCAAAGAATACGCAATGGAGCAAAGAAAGTTTGTTTAATGGTGCTGGGAAATCTGGGTCGCCTCATGCAAAAGAATGAAGCTTGACAAAACACTACGGGATTTGCACATCAAAGACATCTTTACAGACACATCACCCAAAGCAGTGATAGTGAAGGCAAAGATAAACAGCTGGGACTACATCAAATTAAAGAGCTTCTGCACAGCAAAAGAGACAATAACAAAAACAAAGAGAAACCCCACCAACTGGGAGAACATTTTTGCACCCAACACTAATGATAAAGGACTGATCACAAAAATCTGCAAAGAGCTGATGAGACTCAGCAACAACAAAGAAAATAATCCAGTCAAAAAATGGGCAGAAGAGCTAAAAAGAAACTTCTCTGAAGAGGAAATGCAAATGGCTAACAGACATATGAAAAAATGTTCAACATCACTTGTAATCAGGGAAATGCAAATCAAAACTACCATGAGATACCATCTCACACCAGTGAGAATGGCACATATTAAAAAAACTAGCAACAACAAATGTTGGCGAGGGTGTGGAGAAAAAGGAACTCTTCTGCACTGTTGGTGGGAGTGCAAACTGGTCCAACCACTGTGGAGAGCTGTGTGGAGATTTCTGGACCTACTAAACATAGAGCTTCCATATGATCCAGCAATTCCACTCGTAGGTATTTACCCAAAGGACACAGAAACATCAATTCCAAAGAACACCTGCACCCCTATGTTTATAGCAGCACTATTTACAATAGCTAAGCTTTGGAAATAGCCCAAATGCCCAAAAATAGATGACTGGATTAAGAAGATGTGGTACATATACACCATGGAATATTACTCAGCATTCAATAAAGATAAACACATGCAATTTGCAGCAACATGGATGGCGTTGGAAGGGATCATGCTCAGCGAAATAAGCCAAAAAGAAAAAGAAAAATACCGGATGGTCTCACTCATAGCAGGAATCTAGAAAACTTAAATAAGGGACCAGGAAAAAGTCTAATTATAATAAAGTAAAAATCAAAATCAACAAAAAACTATGAACCAGAGACACTTTTTGGGGGGTGGGGGCGGGAGGGGAGGGATTGGGATCAGAATGGGGCGTTTGCAATTGTATGGGGGAATATAAAAATAAAATTTATCATTTAAAAAAAAAAAAAGAATGAAGCTTGACTACTACCTAACACCATGCACAAAAACCAACTCAAAATGGATTAAAGAATTAGACATAAGACCTGAAACCATAAAATATATAGAAGGAAATATAGGCGAAACACTACATGACATACACCTCAGTAACATCTTTAAAGACACATCACCCAAAGCAGTGATAGTGAAGGCAAAGACAAACAGCTGGGACTACATCAAATTAAGAGCTTCTGTACAGCAAAAGAGACAGTAACCAAAACAAAGAGACACCTTACAGATTGGGAGAAAATTTTTGCACACAACACTAATGATAAAGGACTGATCACAAAAATCTACAAAGAGTTGATGAAACTCAACAAAAACAAAGTAAATAATCCAGTCAAAAAATGGGCAGGAGAGCTAAAAAGAAACTTCTCCAAAGAGGAAATGCAAATGGCCAACAGGCATATGAAAAAATGTTCCACATCACCTGTAATCAGGGAAATGCAAATCAAAACTACAATGAGATACCATCTTACACCAATGAGAATGGCACATATCAAAAAACTAGCAACAACAAATGTTGGCGAGAATGTGGAGAAAAAGGAATTCTACTGCACTGCTGGTGGGAGTGTAAAATGGTCCAGCCGCTATGGAAAGCTGTGTAGAGATTCCTCAACCTGCTAAAGATGGAGCTTCCATATGATCCAGCAATTCCACTTGTAAGTATCTACCCAAAGGACACAAAATCATTAATTCAAAAGGGCACCTGCACCCCTTTGTTTATAACAGCACTATTTACAATAGCTAAGCTATGGAAACAACCCAAATGCCCAAAAATAGATGACTGGATCAAAAAGGTGTGGTACATATACACAATGGAATATTACTCAGCAATCAAAAAGATAAACTCATGCCATTTGCAGCAACATGGATAGAGCTGGAAGGGATCATGCTCAGCGAAATAAGCCAGAAAGAAAAAGAAAAACACCAGATGGTCTCACTCATAGCAGGAATTTAGAAAACCTAAATAAGGGACCAGGAAAAAGTCTAATTATAATAAAGTAAAAATCAAAATCAACAAGCAACTATAAACCAGAGACACAGTTGGGGTTGGGGAGGGAGGGAGTAGTATCAAAACAAGGGCGGGGTGGGAATTGTATGGGGACTATAACCACGATGAAAACACATTGTGCAAAAATGAAAAATGATGTAAAAAATATATAAAATTTTTAAAAATTTAAAAAAAGAAATAAGTTAACAGGTGTATTTGGAGAACTTCTTACAACCTGGATTCTTGCTAATTGTTAATCTCCAAGAATAGAAGTTCCCAAACTTTGTTATAAAACTCTTTCCAACCTTCTACAGCCCTCTACCAGCACCTATTTCTCCCTCTGCAGGAAACACAGCCAAGAAAATGTTTATTAAGCAATTACTCATTTTCTCTCACATCTACTTTATATCCATATTTCTAAGGATATGTTAACAGTATAAGTTTTATCCTAGCAACCAGTTGCAGCACCCCTCAATTACCCCCAAAGCCATTAGAAGTATAATTTTAAAAAACGTTTTTAAGGATTCACTTCAGAATAGTTTTAAATTACAAGCTCCCTTACTGTTTTTTAGATTTAGATTATAAGCTCCCTTCCAACTTCTAAAAAATTCCATATATATGCATCCTGGATCAGAAGGGTATAAACTCTACATTTATTTTTAAAAAGTAGCAAAATCTGTTAAAATTTGTAGGTAGCTTAAGTGACTTGATATTCTCACCAAAAGCAAAGGTAATACAAATAAAGACAAAGTACATTCCAAAGAACCAAGAATTGGAAGAAGATAAAATAAATTTAGAAAACAGACACATTATTCTTCTCTGGGAGATGCACAGCACTGATCAGCACCTAAGAGTTCCAAAAAGTACTCCAAGAAAAAAGTCAGTTCAACATTGTTTAATCCATTGCCTTCAAATTTACTTAACCATGGAATCTTTTATCTTAGTTAGCATTTATTAGCAGACTAATACAACCTGATAAACATAACAGTTTCACCAGTATGTATGAATGAAAAAAGCTTATCATAGAATTGTCAGCCCTCATTCTTCTGCTTCAGTATTTTACAAAATTGAAACAAAATAATTTCTTAGAAAAACTTGGACAGCAGGTAATCAGAAAGGAAATCTCTAAATTTCCCCACCTAATCTAATTTCCACTCAATTTCTCTAACTAGAAATCTTATTTCAATAAATAAGATGTGGGAGGAAAATAAAGATAAACTCTTATCTTTTTAATCAATAACCTTTCAAATTTAAATTTAGAACCCTATTACTGGAATCATCCAAACCGCTGGTTTGGGTCAAAGGCAAGACCTCAGAAATGCCTGAAATACTAGTTCTTTGTTTATTCTCTATAACATGTCTATTTCCTCCACAGTAAAACTCCGGATTGGGGATGTTGTCTATGTGAAAACTGCCAACATTAGTCTCCACCCTAAAAGCCTCACCCTTATGTGAACCTTTGTAAACTGGATCTCATTTTTTCTTTCTTTTTTTTTTTTTTTTTTTTATAGAGGCATGCTTTATTTATTTGTTTGCTGGTTTGTTTGTTTGTTTGTTTTGTTTATACATGCACTGGGTACAGTCAGAAGCGCGGGAGGGTGAGAGAATTCTCCAGAGCCAGAGCAGGGAGCAGAGCAGGCAGAAGGACCGAGGTACACTGCTGAGGGGAGCAGCGGGCGGCAGGAGAGGTCTGCGCGCCATGTGGGACCCTCCTCCGGTGGCCGGGGAGCAGCCGGGGATCGAACCGGCGCCGCAGAGGCCGCGGGCAGCTTCGCAACCCAGCGCTCAACCGCTGCGCCACCGGGGAGGCCCTCATTTTTTCTTTAAAAGTACTTTGACACCCTTTTTTCCTGGAAGATGAAGAAATCACCTGCAGCCAGGAAGTCAAGTACCTGAATAGGCACACACCTCATTATTCAGGAACAGTTAATTACCAAAGGAAACACACTAGATATTAATCAGTTTGCAAATCCACTGCTTCACAGTTCCAAACTAAATTGTGTCTTGCAAAGCTACTTTCCTAAGTTAGACAAAGCAAAAGTATAATTGATTCTAAGGTCAGCTCCATTCTAATAACTTCAGCAAGCTATTCATAGGAGTTTTTGTTTCTGTGCTTTTTAATCTAAATTTAAACCTGCTCATTTTCTGAAGCTTGAAATTAGCATAAAATTAAATAAATGAAAAATACCCACTAATGAGTACAAGCCACCTCCTGCTCAATACTGGCAAAAGGGCCCAGGAAAAAGTTTCTCAGATAGGTTCAATTCTGTTACAAATACACTTCCCTAGAAAAGGTTTTACTTTACTTCCATGGATAAAGTCAATTGTAAATTTCAACAAGAAAGGAAAAATACAATCTTTTTATTGACCATGATCAAGTTAATACCAACTTTAGAGCATATCTAACAAAACTTTCCACGAACATTTTAGGTAATATTAAAAGGACTAAGTCTTGAAACATGCAATAAAGGTCCTAATTCTTAACTGTTCTCAGTGAAACTTTCATGAAATGCAGAGCAATATTTTTCATAGCTAAATATTTTAAATGAGTGCACATGCAAGTGATAAAAGTTTACTGTCTAGACTATGGTCCTGTCACTACCAGGCCTCTTCCACCATAGGGTCAGATCTAAACCCATTTACCAGGTTACTGATTAGTAATAGTTTCTGTTGAGACCGGGGGCAGCAGGAAGTTAAAAGCCTAAGTAATGTCATTGCTGTAGCTCTATTACCTACAGTTCTGTATTCTACTGGGCCTGCTCAGAAGAAAGCAACTAAAAATAAATGGTTTTAAAAGGGTAAGTCCTAGTAGGGAGCAATGTAAGTTCAAGGGACCTCACCTGATGTTCCACAGGTTGCTTCACTCACCTACTAGACTCTTTTAAAGGCGCCCCCCTCCACACCCCAGCTCCCCCAGCCCTGTCTTCTCCAATACAGACATTTCTCTTCCCTTTAGGTTACCTTCTTCGCGCAAAGCCTCCTCCCCACATGGGTTCCCCGCGGTCTCTCTAGGTCCCGCCCTCCTCTCAGGTGCCTTCCTAGGTCTACAGCCCCCTCTGGCTCGTAGAGGCCGACCCCGGCTCCAGCACCCGCAGCCCCCGCGGGAGCCCCCCCACCCATCACCCAGATTTCGCAAGCTCCGGGCTCCTGCGGCGCCTCCGGCCTCCGCGGCGCCGGCACCTCACCCAGCACCGCACCGCAACACGCCCCCCGCCCCGGCCCCCTCACCGCACATGATGCAGGAGGCACGGTCCGCAGGGCAAGCGGCGAGGGGTCGACGAGGCTGGAAGCGCGCACACTAGCCTGTGGAGCAATACGCGGGTCTGGGGGCCAGGGACGCGCCGACACGACTCCCTCGGGGATGCGACCGCCGAGGCAACGACAGCCTCCTCGGCCTCCCGGGCTAGCCAGCAACTGCCGCTGAGCCCCGCCCCTCGGCGCACGCCGCGCCGCCGCCGCCGCCGTCCGCAGGCTCCATTGGGCGGCGGCTGCGCCGCTCACGCGCTAATCCCGCCTCCCTCGCCGCCCCGCCCCGCCGCGCCCCCCAGCCCACGCAGGCACTGGCCTGCTGGCGGCGGAGACGTGGCATCGGCCCGCGGCCGCATCCGCCTGGGGTTCCTGGAGCCGCCCGGGCTGTGGGCGAGCAGCGGAAGGGAATGCGCTGGAGGGCAGAAGGAAACTCGGTGACTCTCGGCGAGAGACTGACGTAAAGATAAGAGAATGGGATCGTTAGGAAGCGAATAGAATAGCGTGGAGGCGCCCGCCGGGTGCAGTGCAAGGCCCAGGCTCAGGCTCGGGCAGCTCACGATGCTGGGGCTGAGGAGGAAGAAAGCGGAAAGCCTGGCAAGGGAATCCGAAAGACAGGCAGGGTAAAAAGGAACATGTGCTGACGAAATATTGCTAGGAATTGAGTGAGGTGAGGGGAAAGAAGTAACAAAATTTTGGACTGAAAAGCATTCTTTCAGTCTTTCTGCTGAAAGGCGATTCAAATTCCCAGCTCGAGCTCCACGTAACGTGCTCGGCCTCCAAAAGCCCACTGCATCCCATCTGCACCCGTTTGTCTTCCTGACCCGTTTTTTGCGAGGGGGGAAAGAGGAGGATGTAATGCTCACCTACCCAATACTTAGGCTTTAGCCCAATTCTTAGGCTTTAGAAACTTCACTGGCCCAGACCTCGGATGGCCCACCCAAGAGGATTGTAGGAATTGTCTAGATTTGATCAACGACTAATTCTATGAATTAATGCACCACTCCTGCCAAGAAATCAGAGATGATGTTTCTAAGAATTTACTGCCTGAGGTTTGCTTTAGGAAGATTTAGATGGTATCCTTTATGGTTATCATAACTCTGTTAATGACTCTAGACAGGAATCAAAAACTTGCATGGCATAAAGACTGTGGCATGAACTTCACCATTGCTCTATTTCTACCCTACCTTCCAACCCTTTACACTCCAACACTAAACTACTAAATTCCCAAATGGGCCAACATTCTCACACCTTTTCACAGAATGGTTACTTTTCCTGGAAAATCCACCCCAACTCTGCTTAAATGCTACTGCCTCAGGAAAACCTTTTTTGTTCCTCCCATACAGACTTAAGGACATATGTTAACATCTCATTTTTTAAAAAGATCTATTTATTTATACAAGAACCGGGGTACAGGCCAAATATGCGCGAGGGCGAGAGGATTCACCAGAGACAGAGCAGGGAACAGAACAGGCAGACTGAAGAAATACACTGCTGAGGGGAGCAGAAGGCGAGACAGGAGAGGTCTGCCACGCCATGTGGGTATCTCCCTAGCAGGCCGGATTGAACCTGCACCGCAGAGGCTGCCGACAGCTTCTCAGCGATGCATTCAACTGCCTGCGCCACCTGGGAGGTCCCTGTTAAGATCTCATTTTTTGAGCTACTTGTCTAAAGCAATATGCTTCAAGATTTAATATGTTGTTTTTTGGTTTTTTATTTCCCTACTAGGCGAAGTTTCTTGAGGCTAGAATAAGTTTTTGTATATGCAATATATAATATAAATATTATCACAAAGTAAGGGTCAAAAAAATTTTTTGAATGGGTGAAAAAGCCATATATTTTTAGCAAAATTGGCTGGTTATATGGTTAAGTGAGCAAATGACTTTTCAGTTTTTCTTAGATGGAAAAAATGTCTTTTTATCACTGGACTCAAAGAGGGTCAGAAAATGTCTCATTTAACTAACCAAAGTATTTCTCATCTGAAAGTCCTTTAATATTCAGACCCTTAGACAGATCCCCAAATCACTCACAGGAATATTAAAAAACTATGAACTATTTGTTAATATATATTTCCTTTTTTTTTAAGATTTATTTATTTGTAGAAGTACTGGGGTGTAGGCCAGAGGTGTAGGGTATAAGATGATTCACCAGAGGGAGTGGGAAGCAGAACAGGCAGATCTACTGAAATACACTGCTAACGGAAGCAGCAGGCGAAACCGGAGAGATCTGCTATGCCATATGTGGGTTAGCTCCCTGGCTGGGGATGGAACTCAGGCCACAGTGGTGATAGTGCTGAGACTTAACCCCTAGGCTACAAGGAAGGCCCACCATAACACGGTTCTTAATTCAGGAGGCAAAGTCTCTTAGCTTCAGAACCCCTATCTAAGAGGTTCTGGTAAGACCTCAGTGATATTGCCAAGGAGTCAAGATATGACTCCAGTACTTCAACGATATCTTTGTGCACTGCAGCAAATCGGTGCCATACAGGAAATGCCAGTAATACCACCAAAGTTCTCATGCTCAAATTCTAACAATCTAATGCAACTGTTACTTTCCTCTTCTGTTCATTCCTCCATTACAGTGGCTATTCAACTTTTCTTCTCCTCCATTCTACAGCTATTTTAAAAGATACTTATGAAGTAGTTAAGAGGAAGAAACTCTGAAAGTCAGCATTTTCCCAGTCCAGCCTTGAATAACCTCACTAGCCTACTGCAACAAAGAACCCTTTGTAACTGTGTGCCAGTCAGGATACCAGTACAGAACGTTGTTTGTCTGACCCTCATCTATACAGAGTTGTGCCTTAGCTAGACCTTTGAGAGTAAGACTAGAGAAGTAAATGATCTATAAAGGAGAGGAGATATCTGGGTGTATTCAAACATCTGAGGAAATGGATTTTCTCTTCTGATCAAAAGTTCTAAACCAGACTAAAGGAAAAAAAAATAAGGTTGGTAAGAGTATCATTCATCATCTTTATCTATATAAACCAAATTTCCTCTTCACAAGATTAGTCATCAAATCCAATGGCTCTCAGCCTCCCCCTTGTCATCAGTTGTCATTTTAATTTTTTGGAAAAGATTTTATTTATTTATGCATACAAGAACTGGGGTATAGGCCAAGGATGCAGGGGGAGGGAGTGGTGGTGAGAGGATTCACAAGAGACAAAGTAGGGAGCAGAACGGGCCAATCTACTGAAATACACTGCTAAGGGGAGCAGCAGGCAAGACAGGAGAGGTCTGCTGCATCTTGTGGGTTAGCTCCCTGGCCTACATCTAACTCATGCCTGCAGTGGCTGGCCAAATCTTGATCGTGCTGAGACCTTAACCCCTGTGCCACCAGGGAGACCTCTCAGTTGTCATTTTTTTTTAGATTTATTTATTTATGCATACAAGAACTGGGGTACAGGCCAGAGGTACGGGGGGTGAGAGAATTCACCAGAGACGGAATGGGGAGCCTAACAGGCAGACTGACTGAAATACACTGCTGAGGGGAGCAGCAGGCAAGACAGGAGAGGTCTGTGCCATGTGGGAAGCTCCCTGGCTGGCCAGGATCAAACTCGTGCTGCAGAGACTGCAGATAGCTATGCTTAACCCCTTGCGCCACCAGGGAGGCCCCTCAGTTGTCATTTTTTAAATAAACAATGATCCATAACTGAAATAAATGTCTAAGTTTTAAATCTCCCCATGTTTGTGATTTTCTGTTATTCCCTTATCTGAATTCTAATAATAAATAACAATAAAAGTATTAAAAAGCTCCGTAGTAGTGGGGATAATATACAGGATGGCGGTAATATTTAATAATCGTATATTGTATATTTGAAAATTGCTAAGGGTAGTCTTAAAAAGTTCTTATCACAAGAAAAAAAATTCTAGATATATGTGGTCAAAACTAGACTTTTAGTGAATAATTTGCAATATATACATAAATCACTGTTACATGCTAGAAAGTAATGTGTCATATATCAATTGTATCTCAATTTTTTAAAAGGTCTGTGCATAAGAATGTAAGGTGCAGTGGCACATTACTTTTTAGGGAGAGTTATAGAGAAATGTACCCCAATGGACAGAGAAAATGTTTGGCAAGTGTCAAAGGAAAAATTAACAGGTTCAGCCAGTGAGGCCTATGAGAAGGAAGAAATGAACCAAGAACAGCACCACTGAGAACCTCAGAAAGACCCCTAAGTGAACCCATTTGGTTCTCCCAACACCTCACTTTATCCTATATACTTTCACACTAGAGTGATCTTTCAGTAACACAAATCTGATTGTTTTTCTCCCTGCTTCCAATTCAGTGGTATCCTTCACCTGTAGGATTAATGAACTGCTATGCACATACCCAGCCACACATATACTCAAGATGTGTCATTCTTGACAATTTTATCATCATTTACTAAACACAGAGCTTGACAACAGAAGACTAGTCACTCACAAAATAGGTTGTAAAGGGACCACAAAATTCCCTTGCCAAACTCCACCTATAAGTATATATTTAACACAGAACACCTCCCTTCCCCTAGAACAACATTGTCATTATCATCTATTAATGCTTTAGAGTGAAACTACACCATTACTTTTCACTTGGTACCAGAAGTGAAAAGGTCACTGAAGAAATTCAAGTTTTGATGTGGATAAAGATAACTCTGAAATCAGAAGACAGATTTGGACAGATTACCTTGGTTAATGACACTGGGCAAGAGATGAAAAATATGTGTGTGGAACTGAAAATGGAAACGTAAGATATGGAAAAAGATAAAAAAAGTAAGTTGGCAAACTTTACCCACTATGATTATTTTTATGTTTTTATGTCAACTTGACTAGGTCATAGTGTCCAGATATTTGGTCAAACCTTGTTCTGGATGTTTCTTGGAAGGTGCTTTTAGATGAGATTAACATTTCACATTTGAGTAAAGCAGATTGCTATCCGTAATATAGGTAAACTTCATTCAATCCTTTGAAGGTCTGTATAGAACAAAAGTCTCCCCTGAGCAAGAAAATAACGAATTCTCTAGCACAACTGGACCTGAACCACAACACTATTCTCTACATCTGTATCTATTTAGGACTATGGAGTTTAGTATAAATATTCCTTTTTTTGCATAGAAGAACTGGGGTGCAGGCCAGAGGTACTGGGGTGAAAGGATTCACCAGAGATAGGGTGGGGAGCAGAAAAGGCAGATTTACTGAAATAACACTGCTAAGGGGAGCAGCAGGCAAGACAGTAGAGGTCTGCTGCGCCATATGTGGGTTAGCTCCCTGGTTGCTGATAGTGCTAAGACTTAATCCCTAGGCCAACAGAGAGGCCATTGTATATTCAAAAATAAAAACAATTACGTGATTAAACCATACTTTCTAAATCCTTGTGCTCAATTAATGTTTTCATTTTCAGATTGACATTGGCACTATCACCAGTAAAAATATAATAATTTATCAAGTCCTCCATGATTTACCAGGTGTTTTGTTATATGGCCCGCTTCAAATGACAGAATACCTGACAACAGTGGCTAGACACAGGAAACCTTTTATCTCACACTGACTATGAAAATGGGTGGTTCCCAGGCTGGTTCAAAGGTCAATAATGTCCTCAAAGATTGAGGTGCTTTTTTTCTTTCCAATTATTCTCAGTGGACTGGCTTTTCATCATGATTACAAGCTGACTACCATAGCCTTGAACATTAAGTCTCCATACTATTAATTCATTTTACAAAGCAGGAAGGAAAGGAATACACAGGAAATGAGCCTTCTTTCTATTGGCTCTCAATCAAGGAAGATCTTTCCAGACCTTCCAATAGACTATCTTACAGTTCACATTAAGCAGAGCTGGATCATATGTCCACACCTAGACTAATAACTGAAGAGAGAAAAGGAGTTAAAATAACGTTTAGATAACCATGAAAATCAATATTAACTCAATGAAAACTATTTTTTTAAATAAATGGCTGGTTTAGGGCCTCCCCTGGTGGCGCAGTGGTTGAACACTGGGCTGCGAAGCTGCCTGCAGCCTGGGCAGTGCCAGTTCTATCCCTGGCCGCCGGCGAGGGTCCCACATGGCGCTACAAACCTCTCCTGCCACGCCCACTGCTCCCCTCAGCAGTGTATTTCAGTCCATCTGCCTGTTCTGTTCCCCACTCTGGCTCTGGTGAATTCTCTCACCCTCCCGCGCTTCTGACTGTACCCAGTGCTTGTATAAAAAAAAAAAAAATCTTTTAAAAAAAAATGGCTGGTTTAGAATAGTTATCATTCATTCCTTAGGAATAAAGTGGGATCTATTTCGCAACCAAATAATAATTGAGGGCCTCTCTTCACAAGAAGCAGGAATGTACATTGGATAGGCAACCTAAAGTTCCTGCAAGTCTCCATACTGCCTATTTCTGCACCATTTCCAACAAAGTTCTTCCACTTTTTAGTCACACTTAGTTTCTTGCATTCCCCAAATATTTTTTCACAGCTTCCAATTATGTTTACACTGCTATGTACGCCTAGAATGTCTTCTCATCTTTTCTCATTTTCAAAGTTACCTTTTATAGAAAAACCTTTCCAATGTGATGGTCTCTCAGTTCCATGATTGCTTCTCTCCCAACAATCAAATCCACCACCCTCCTCAGCCACTAATTTCATAGTCGTGCTTAAGACTTGTCATTAACTGCACCTCCATCACAATTTCAATTTCTTAGTTTCAAGTAAAAGGCAGGTTGATGTGCCTAGCTTACAAACTAATTCCAAGAGTCTAGCCTGCATTCCTCTACAATAGCATAGGGAATGGATTCTCCAACACTACTGTCTGCTTCTGAGAACCAAAGGGCAAAAACTAATTCCCAGCATTCACAATTGCTGGAGATCTTCCTGTTTCTACCCCTATTTTAATTGCCTATTTTAATTGCCATACTTTTGGGGATGAGAACTCTATATGCACTGAAGCAGTGCTATTTCCTAATCTACCCTTTCCTGATATCATCTGTGAAGTGTTGCCTCTGAAATACTATAGAAAAGTGAGAGAGGACAATTTTTATTTTGGCTATCTGAAAAACTAGTATCCCTATGGTGTAAAGATAACTGCCCAAATTTCAAGTATACCATAGATATAAATCTCTGAGTCAGAAGAAGACAATGGAAGAAGGACCAAAGCAGTTTCTCCTCTTTTTTTTTTTTTTTTAAGATTTCTTCTTAAAATATGCTTCTCCATTGGGAATTATTAGCCAGATACTATTTTTAAACCAGAATTGTTTAGTTTTGCTTTTAATCAAGGGGAAATTTTAGTAAAAATAGTTCCAAGCGTCTCAAAAAGTAAAGTCAATTTAGACTATTTTAAAACACATTCTCCCTATTTACTTCTGTAAAAAAAAAAAAAGTAAATAAATTAGGAGAAAATAGTTTAAACTGTTTCACACATTATGCAAAGAAGGAACCACGATAAATGAAGAACAAAAGTAAAAATATCTCTGGATAAAATCCACGTGTACAGATGATGATTCAGAGTATTATAAATAACTAATATGAGGTCAAACAAACATGTGTTAGACAGACAGATAGATAGATAGACAGACAGACAGACAGACAGACAGATAGATAGATAGATATACACACATCATTCTCTAAGGAAGGGCATATTTTATTAACCCTCAAGTTCCTTCAGTTTGGTATATACATTATTGACAAGTCCAACTGCTGGGCCCAAAGAAAACTAAAATATTTCAAGGTGCGTTTGCTTCTTTTTCCTCTGATTCATCATCCATGACCTAAAACCAAAAAAAAAAAAAAAAAGGGGGGGAAAGAGTGTAAGAAAAGGATTAGAAATTGCTATTTTCCTGATTTTAATATTACTTGTTTATACTCAACGATATAAGAATTCATGTCAGTCCAATAAGAATAAATATATAAATACCCCCCAAACATACGTTTATATAACCTGGTATCCTAACAAAAAAGAAAAGTGTTATCGGCAAATTAATCAAAGCACAGTCTCTTTTTTTGTCCCAAAAGAGAGTTCCAACATCAGAGTTTCAGCTGGACAGAGAATGATTAACTGGTATTTCCTAATATAGCCAACTTTTTTGTCTTCTTCCAAAAGCATCTTATTTACCTAAACATATTCTGGGGAGCAACACCTGTTATTATAAAAATATATATTAGAAAAATGAATTCCTAAAAAAAGTAAGGAAATAAAATATACTAGCAATTAATTATTTTGGTCTTACTGCGACAAAATTCATTTTACACATTAGAAAAATGTGAAGACTTTCACTGCTAATAAATTAAAAAAAACACTGATGAATACTTGAAGAAAAAATTTAAAAATTAATATTCTTTCATGAGTTAATACATCACTAAGATAACAAAGACCAACTCCTTTGGAGAAGAAAATAGTTATATTAACCTAAGAATTGTTTTTCTCTTCACCACATCTGCTGCAACTAAATGCCAATTCCAGTTTACAATCTGACTGCCAATTCAACAGCCTACCCTGAACAAGTGAATTTAAAAAGCTCCTTTATTAATCCACCAAAGCATAACTAATATTTTTTTAAGGCATATAGGAATAATGGAAAAAATAAGTTAAAATAAAAACTACATGAATCTGATTCTTATCTGAGGCAATTAATGGAAAACAATTCTCTCACAGTTGCTCAAATTGACTAAAAGTGGATATTTACCTCCAAAGAATTGATATTCTACATCCAATTTTAGCAACACCTAAGAAAAGAATTTTGCGAATCAACTAACTCCCATTTTAGGTAGAATATTATTAAATTTGGAATATTTCCAAATACTTATATAATACAAACTATGTATAGGACATATATAACACGGAGGGCTACGTGCTGCATAGGAATACAAAGACCTAGATATGATTATAAATCTTTCAGGGAACATAAAGCTGAAACAGACACATTTAACCAGTTAAAGCAGGCCTTGATTCCAAGTAGAGGACTGATAAAAACTAAAAAGAATGGCATGTATTATACCAAGGATAGATTTTTTTTTTAAAGATTTATTTATTTATTTATTTGTTTATTTATACAAGCACTGGATACAGTCAGAAGCATGGGAGGGTGAGAGAATTCACCGGAGCTAGAAAGGGGAACAGAACAGGCAGAACAAAGAAATACACTGCTGAGGGGAGCAGCGGGTGCAACAGGAGAGGTCTGCGCACCATGTGGGACCCATGCTGGCGAGCCAGGGATCAAATCAGCACTGCAGAGGCTGCAGGCAGCTTTGTAGCAGTGCTCAACCACTCCGCCACCAGGGGAGGCCCACCAAGGATAGATTTTTAATGATATCTAGAGACACATGAATGATTCTCAAAGGAACTTAAAGGACGTGCCCTCTGCTTAAAGGGACAGAATTATCTGAAGAGTTTTTCAAACTCCTAATTTTCATATACTCTTTTCCTCTAGGCTAATCTCCCTCCATAAGGCCATGCCTTTGGTTGAGAATCAGTGCAGTGAGGATCAGTATTCTACTGACAAAGTGCTGTGCTATATTTCTTAAGTATGTTGTGGCAAAAAAAAAAATGCTGACATCAGGCTACAGAAAAAGCACTGTAACTCATCCTCTAGTCTACTATATAACAATGTATGATCTCTTGATGAGCTTCCTCCCCGCTCATGTAAGAACAAGTTGATAAATATGTGGAGCTCTTCCCCTGAACACTTCTAAATTCTCATCTATAAAACTGCAGGCTTTGAATGCCCTTTTCATATTTTATTTATAACCTGAACAGTAGTATGCCCTCCTGAGTCTAAATTTCCTTATGGATAAAGTTGGAAGAACTTAATACACTACATTATTAGAAGACTAAATGAGGCAATATTTGCAAAAATGTTTTTACACAGTTGATATTCATATCAAGAAAATGTCAGGTTATGAATATCTTCTCTTTTCAAATATTTATTTTAATACTAAATTGAAACAATCATATAATATTGGCATACCTGTTCTACTCCTTCTACTTCTGGAATATAAAACTGTAGCATGTTCTGAATTCCATTTTTCAGTGTAATAATTGAACTGGGGCAGCTGGTACAAGAACCTTGGAGTTTCAGCTGTACAATGCCATTTTCAAAGCCTTTATAGATGACATCTCCTCCATCTTCCTGCACAGTTGGCCTGTGATCAAGAATATGTATGATATATTCAAAAGAAAAAGAAGTTTTTCATAAATTTTTTTAATATTTGCTATATTTTATTACATATATATTACTAGCTAATTAAATGTTGCTACATTTTACTACATATGTATTACTACCTAATTTATAAAACAGTTTGCTCCAGAGATTATGCATTTTATAAGCATCAGCTAATTATATTTAGTGAAAAAATTTTAATACAGCTCAGAACTTAGATTTTATATTGTTAAAATTCAAAGTTAGAGCAACTTTTACAACAGAGACTAACAACTGTGGCTGGTCTTATTTGTATTTTTAAATTTACTTTCAGATAAAATGCGAAAATTCATTCATACAATTATTTGTTTTACTTATTTTAATGTTGCGAAGTAGTAATCTCTTCAAGCACTTAATTTCATATTTCTTAATTATAGTAATTACTTAAGCTACATTTACTTCTTTTGGGTGAACAGAGGTGATTAAATAAGACATTAATACAGAAAAATGCATAAATCATGTATGAGCAATTCAATAAATTTTTACAAAGTAAATACACATTTTCCCCATACCAAGAAAAAGAGAATACCAGAAGGCCTTTGTCCTTCATTCTAATCACTCTTGCCAACCAAAGGTAACCATTATTCTAATTTCTATCATCATTCATCAGTATGTTTTTTAACTTTATAATTTATAAAATTAAATTCCATTTAGAATATTCGCTCTTTCGTATCTGGCTTCTTTTCGCTCTTTGTGAGTTTCTCTCATATACAATGTAGTAAGTTCATTCAATCTCACTGCCTCATTGTGTTCCATGAAGCAAATATGCCAGAATTTATCTATTCTATTGTTGTTGTTTTTTTTTTTTTTAGATTTATTTATTTATTTATACATGCACTGGGTACAGTCAGAAGCGCGGGAGGGTGAGAGAATTCACCAGAGCCAGAGCAGGGAGCAGAAGAGGCAGACCAACAAAACACACTGCTGAGGGGAGCAGCAGGCGTGGCAGGAGAGGTCTGCGCACCATGTGGGACCTTCACCGGTGGCCCGGGATCCAGCAGGCACTGCAGAGGCTGCGGGCAGCTTCGCAGCCCAGCGCTCAACCACTGCGCCACCAGGGAGGTCCTCTTGCAATTGTCTTTTGGTACACATATATAGTAGTACTGGGAACATACCTGAGAGTGGAATTGCTGGATCAAGAATATGCATATATTTAGATTTAGCAGATACCGCCAAATACTTTTCCAGTTACATAAACTTACATTCCCACCAGGAGTATATAAAGTATATAATTGGTATTTTAAATCTTAATGGTTTTAACCATTCTAGAGGATTTACTGTGATTTTCATTGTGGCTTAAATTTGAATATTCATTATAAATAATGAGTCTGAGCACTTTTTCATGTTTATTGGCTATTTGGTTACTGTCTTTGTGAAGTGTTTGCTTTACTCTCTATTTGATTTTCTTTTTCTTAGTAATTTGTAGGAGTTTTTAAATATATTCTGCCATATATGTATTACGAATATTTTCTACTCCTTACTTTGCTTCTCCATTGTATTTTTTGATGAAGAGAAAGTATTAATTATATATATATATATAATTTTACAGTGCAATATTTATGTCTTTTCCTTGATCTTCTTTGCACCTCTCGAAAAGAAATCTGTCTTGCCAAAGGTCATATAGATAGCTCTTATATTAAATTTTCTTTGTGAATTTATTTTTGTCCTTGACCTGTGGCTCTTTCTGAAGAACACTGCCTTACTCCTGGCCAAGGAGCAACCCATATGGAGCAGCAGACCTCTCCTCCCTTGTCCCCTGCTCCCCTCAGCAGTGTATTTCAGTAGATCTGCCTGTTCTGCTCCCCACTCTCTCTGGTGAATCCTCTTACCCCCTGGACATCTGACTTGTACCCCAGTTCTTGTATGCATAAACAAATAAATCTTTAAAAATAAATAAATAAATAAATAAAAATGGGGATTCTATGGTTATCATTTAGTAAATGATATCTATTTTAATCCCACTGTAATCAGAAAGCAATATTCTCAATGATTTAAATCACTGAAAGATTGATAATATCATCTATTTTAGTAAGCTTCCCATGTATTCTTGAAAAGATTATTTTGGCTTTTTTGAGTGCAATATTCTATGTAAATTCAGTCAAATTTATTAATCATGTATATAAAACTCTTCTCTTTTAACTCATCATTTTATGTGCTTGCTCTACTCATTAGTGAGAAGTGTTTTTCCAGATATGATTGTAGATCATCTACTTCTTTTAGTTTTGTCAAATATTCTTCCTGTATTTTGAAGCTGGTATGGGGGCCTCTCTGTTGGCGCAAGGGGTTAAGTCTCAGCACTATGAAGATAACCGCAGCCACTGCAGAATGAGTTCGATCCCTGGCCAGGGAGGTGACCCATAAGGTGCAGCAAACCTCTCGTCACACCTGCTGTTCCCCTCGGCTGTGTATTTCAGTACATCTGCCTGTTCTGCTCCCCATTCTGTCTCTAGTGATTCCTCTCAAACCTATCCCCACCCCATGCCTCTGGCCTATACCCCAGTTGTTGTATGCATAAATAAATCAACCTTTTTTTAAAAAAGCTGTTATTGGGTACATACAAGTTTAAAATTAGGATATATTCCTGGTTTAAATTACCCGTATATTATTATGAAAGATTTCTCTTTATCACAAGTAATATCTTTAGCTGTGAAGTACATTTTGTCTGATATCTATATAACTATACACCGGCTTTCTCTTCTTTGCATGGTATATAATTCTCCATCTTTTTACTTTCAACCTCTCTGTCTCATTATATTTAAGATGCATCTCTCTTTTTTTTAATTGAGATAATACTGGTCTACATTGTTTGTAATTTAGGAGCATAGGAGCTCCCTCCTTCAGGTGTTATTGCCATGGTATATCCACCAAGGTGCATCTCTCTTATAAGTAATATATGATTGGTGTTGTTTGACAATATCATTTTTTATTAATCAATATAAATAAAATATAACTACTAATAGACTTGGTTTGTATTGCCATCTTACCACTTGTTTACAATTTTGCATTTTTTGGATTAATCAAGATTTCTTTTTTATTATTCCTTTCTCCCCTTCCTCAGGTTGTTGGTTATATAATCTTTTACTATTCATTTAGTGTTTACCCTATAAATTGCCTACTTGGTTTCTTAAACTATAATATGTGTTAGTACTTTTACCAATTTCCAGATAAACTCAAGATTATAGAACATTTCATTTTACATTCAATACTTTTTATATTTTAATCATGCATTTTAACTCTAGATATATAAAAAACCTACAAGGCATTATAAGACCTTTCTTTGCTATGTATATTTTTCATGCTTTTTCCATTCTCTTTTTTTATGCTTCAATTTGGATATTTTCTACTGACCTATAACTCAGTGTCCTAATCTTCTCTTCAAGGCTGTCTGTCCAATGTGATGTTCAATTAATGTCATATTTTTTATTTAAGAATTACTATTTCAGTTCTCTAATGAAATTCTTCATCTTGTTTTCTGTTTTCTTAAACATATAATCACAGTTATTTTAAAGATGATGTTTGAGAACTCAAAGTTACTGTGGATGTGTTTTCTACTGGTCCAGTTTCTAAGTATGCCTAGTAATTTATGAATGAATAATAGACAATGTGTATGAAAAACAGAAGTGGATCAGGATATATTATATCAGAAATTATCTTCTCTTCTGGCAGTAGCTCAAACCACTATGGAATTAAACTCACTAGATGCTGCTTTACAATGTCTAGTCTACTTCTGATTTGTCCCCATTTCAATGGCTTGGTCCTCTAAGGAGCCCAACCGAGAGCCTGCATGTTTCCTGAGGCCCCACCATCCTTAACAGATCCTGAACTCCCAATTTTATTTTTCCACCAGTACCATAAAACTACTAAAACTCTTTTCAGTTCTCCAACTGCATTTTGTTTGACTTCATATAGTCTTTACCCCAGTACAGCTAAAAATACGCATGTACCTCTGAGTGTTAGGCTTACTTTTCCCTAACTTCTTTTTTCTCTGGGATTTTGGCATTTTAGTCAATGCTTCACTGGTAACCCAAAATTTAAGTTTTGTCTACTCATCTCAACAAACATGCTAAAAGCTAATGGTTTCTCTGATTCTTAGCAGCTGTCTCTAGCCAGCTTCTCATATTCTAGCCTCACATGAAGAATCAGCAAAAACCTCAGTAAGCTTCCCTCCTCTAAAGAATCTAATTATTCTGGCAATTTCCTGCAACATGCTTTCAAACAAAAAATTTTACTGCATTTTATCTAGCTTTTCTGGGAGTTCTCAGCAGGTCTGCCATAAGCAAAATGGAAACCTGCAGTTTTCCACTCATTGAAATTGATTCTTTATAGACAATATCCTGAAAACAGGATTGCCTCCCTTTTCTCATAATCCTCCAAATGTTAAGTCATTTTTTCCTAGGAAATTTGGTGTTATAACAATATCAAACCTAAATGGTTACTGTGAAAGATAAATTCCTTCACTGACAATGTTTAGAGAATGTAGAGACTAAATATAACTGACATGGCAAACTTTTGTAGTTTACATTGAAATATTTATTTTGGAACGCTACTATAATTTCACAGACAACCAAAAGCTTATGGCTATATGAAATTCTCTGGGTAGTATATTTGACTTCAGGTAGAAAGATGAGCACATACCGTATTCTAGTATCTAATAATTCCTTAATCATAGCCACAACTTCATCATCTTCTTCAGATCCTGTGAACAATTACAAATAAAAAATATCAACAGTAGAAATATTATATCCATGCAAGTACAAATATCAAATAAGATGACTCCAACTTAATGTTAAAAAGCACAGAATATGTAATTTGGTAAAGTGATAATATAAGTGATTTGGGGAAAGGAGAAGAGAAAATTTAAGGAGAGTTGATCGACTCAGCTTTTGGTGGTAAAGTATACTGAAATAACCTTGCTATTAGGGCCTGAATTTTTAGATTTTTAGTAAGTTTATAAGTTTAGTTAAGTTTGTAAGTTTCTCAAGCATTGAAAAGTAGCAGAGAAAATAATTTGCCCTTATTTTGATGGAAACTTTGAGAATCTACTTAGTAAGTTAAGTTACAATTTCAGTTCTCACCATAGGTGAGCATTATATTATTTTCTGTATGCTTGAAAAACTTTACAATTGTAGTTTTTAGTTTTTTATAATTCAATTTATACACACATTCAAGTAATACAAAGTTTTCCCCCAAAATGATGGGTAAAACAAATAAATACGAACTTTGATTCCCTCAAGAATTGGTATCGGGCTAATACCAGACATAATTCATTTTATTATACTTCACTTTATTGTACTTTGCAGATATTGTTTTGGTTTTGTTTTTACAAAATTTAAGATTTCCACCAATCTTTTGGTACCCTTTTTCTAACAGCATATACTGAGTTTATGTCTCTGTCTCATTTAATTAAGGTATGCATATTGCTTTTTAGACATAATGCTATGGCACACTTAAAGACTATTATATAGTGTAAATATAACTTTTATATTTACTGGGAAACAAAAATCTCAAGATTCACTTTATTGTAATTAGTCATTTTATTGCAGTGGTCTGTAAACATGCCTACAATATTTCCAAGGTATATCTGTATAGCAAATGACAAAAATCTGTATTCTCATACTTCTAAAATCAAGACAAAAGTGAAGAAAAGTCTAGAAAAAAAGATAAATTATTTCCCAATATAATACCTGCTTCTGCTGAAGATACTTCCTCCGTAACTAAGGGTAAGCCAGATGCAAAAAAGTCCATGATTGTTGCATAAATATCTGGTTTCAGTAAATTCCAGTCTAACTCTTCACTTTCCTGTAAATATTTGAAAGGCAAAACTACATTTTTTACAAAGACAAACACAAAACAATACTTTCTCTCTTTTAAGAATCTTTTACTATATGTACTCTATACTATGCAGCAGCACCTACTTCTGAACAATACATGCCAGTTTTAATTCTTAAAGGGTTTGGCTTATAATGATTTTTGAAAGATACAATCTTAGAAGACTTTTGTTAAATCTGTTTATGTACCTTGTCCTATTTAGGAGATACCAAACTGATTAAAAGATATATTTTTTTTATTTTATTTATACAAGAACTGGGTACAGTCAGAAGCGTGGGAGGGTGAGAGAATTCACCAGAGCCAGAGCGGGGAGCAGAACAGACAGACTGATGAAATACACTGCTGAGGGGAGCAGCAGGAGCAGCAGGAGAGGTCTGCGTACCATGTGGGACCCTCACACCTCTGGCCTATACCCCAGGTCTTGTATAAATAAATAAATCTTTAAAAAAAAAAGCCTCTGATTATCAATTACAAATCAGAAAAGGAAACAACTGATTGCTTATATGAGGTAAATAAGTTAGTTCATGATGAAGAAGGTAACTGAAAGAAAACAAATCAAATCTACTATTCTACCTATTAAATATCTTTATGTGCTCTAACTTAGGATATTATTTATTGGTTTTGTCTTTCCAGTTAAGAAAAAATAGTGGAGTGGGAGAAATTTCAAAAAGGATAACTATAAATTATGATGTGAAAGACAAATAAAAAGATAATTTACCAAAATCAAATCAAGATAATAAAGAAAAAAGTAAAATCTGGTAAGATATAATCACATGCTTTTATCCTAAAAGAAATACAGCAAACTTAATAAAAACTAAATAAAAACTTCTTAAAATGAATAATTTCCCATTTGTAAAATGAAGACAGGAAAACTAGTTGTAAGAATTTAGGTAATATATATAAAGCACTAGTGCCATATCAGACAAATCAGAAATATGAAACAATTTCAGCTACGTCAAAAATATAAAAAAAAAGAAAACTGAAGAATAACAGGCCAGAAATCTAGAAACTGTTAAAGACTGGGGATTAGTTGACACAGATTTGCTTGATACAACCCTACATCTGGGGAAAACCACTCAAAACTTAAAAATTCAGTTTAAGGGACTAAACTAATATTTATATTATCGTTCTCTTCCATAAAAATTTTTATGATTGGTGTGCGTGTCGTGTGGTAACATGCATCTGAGGAGCTATGATCCTATGCCTCTGAATTGATACAGTATTATAAACCAATGTTACCACACATAAAAAAAAAATAACACAGAATTTTTAAAAATTCTAAGAGTGTGTATTACGTGATAGACTTTTCTAGCTGAACATAACAAGATGGAAAAATCTTTTAACTTTGTAGAGCTTACATTCTAGCCCAAGAAAGACAGGTAATAAAAATAAACAAAAATATGATTAAGTGATAAGTGCAATGAAGAAAATAAGTAGACTATGAACACTTTAATATATATGGTCAAGAAAAGGCTTTCTGAGATCTCAGGAAAAAATAACATTATAAATAACAGGGAAAACATTTACAACTGAGATATTTGCAAGAAACCCAGACACTGGGATCACTAAAGAGAAAAATCGTAATTCCATTCCATATATAGATAAATAGCTATAGTGGAATACTGAACTACATGGAACTCATGGTTAAGTCACTCGTACTTACACTTTTATGGTATATCAAGAACTCAAGAGTAATCCCTTCAAATTGCTTAAGAGAAATTTAATAAATACTTTGATTTTGATGCAAAGTTCAGTGTATACACATCAATTAACAGATTCAAAAGGATACATAGTTCAAATTTAAATAGCTCATTTCTCATTAATCTAGTGGACTTAAAATGAATCAGCCTTGAACTTTATAGAAAATACAGATGTTGATTTATAATGTCACACACCTGAAACCTATATAATAATATGTTATTTCAATAAAAATTAAAAGAAAAAAAAAAAAGCACAGGTTTTTCTAGCAGATACTACTACTTTTGTTGGCATGGGTAGTATATTTAGCTGCATTTTTTGACATTGAGAGTCCACTCCACTGCCTGTATCTAAAATGTTATGGTATAGAGAACGCACACATTGTACAAAAAAAAAAAATGATGTAAAATATATAAATAAATAAATTTAAATAAAATGTTATTGTAGGATGGTAGAAAGTATCAGCTGCTGTAAGGAGATGTGTATTCAATCATTTTATTGGTCATATCTACATAGATTTTTTTTTTAAAGATTTAGTTATGCATACAAGAACTAGGGAACAGGCTAGAGGTGAGAGGAGTCACCAGAGACAGAGTGGGGAGCAGAACAGATTGACTGAAATACACTGCTGAGGGGGGCAGTGGCGAGACAGGCAAGGTCTGCTGCACCATGTGGATAGCTCCTGGCTGTCAGGGGATCGAACTCTTGCTGCAGAGGCTGCTAATAGCTTCACAGTGCTGTACTTAATCCCTTGTGCCACCAAGGAGACCCTAATCTTAAAAAAAAAATTAGTAAAACATAATACTTAGAAGCCAAAGTTTTATTCCTGCCAAGGCTGAGTCCTGGCCCTGCTTAGGTTGACTACATAATCTGGGATATTACACTTAATACACTGAAGTGCAAGTTTTTCCTCTTCTGAAAAATGAAGGATCTGAAATAAAGTCAATTTCAATGTGAAAATTCTATTAAATAACTTGAGAAACGTGAGAAGCAAACTTAATCTGAGATTTTTTTAATAACAGTATGTGAAATACATTAAGAATGGAAATTCTAGAGAGAAACATTAGACTTGGAAAAAAATAAAAGTACTTCATGTCTTATTTTAAATAATCCTGTGTTTACCTTTGTGACAGTGATGAAATATGGTCCAAAGAAGACACTTTTTACTCCTTCAATCCTAAATAACTGCCTGTGAATAAATAAAAATGTGACAAGATGTTTTGTTATGAAAAAGCCTGACACCCACAAAAGTAGAGAGAAGAGCAAAAAAACCTCCACATATCCATTATCAGCTTCATCAACTTATGACCAATCCTGTTTCATCCTCTTACTCTACAATTGAACAATCTTACTGCTAGCTAATTATACAAGAGAAATGAAAACATGCTGCACCAGACTTGCACGTGAATCTTTACAGCAGTGTTATTTATAAAACAGTCTGAAAATGTCCATCAGCTGGTGAAGGCTAAACAGATTGTACTGCTCATACAATGTATAGATAGTACTACTCAGCAATATATAGGAATGAACTATTGATAGTCTCAAAAACAAGAATGACTCAAAAAAAGCATTATATAAAATGAAGGAAGTATAGCACAAAAGACTATACAGCTCCATTCAATGAAACTCAGAAAAGATAAAACTGTAGTGGCAGAAAGATCAATTAACAGTATGACAGATGTGTTAACTAACCTTTTTGTAATCATTTCGCATTAAATCATCATAGTGTACACTGTAACCTTACATGATACTTTGTCAATTATATCTCAACAAAGCTGTAAAATTTATTTTAAAAAAGTCATGATTATAAAGCAAAGGACGCCAAAACCTGCTCTGGCTTTTTCTCCACCCCCCCAACCACACTTCTCTGCCCCCCCCTTTTTTTTGCCCCTTTTAAACCTAAACTAGAGTCAGTCTGCACATTAGCCTAACATCTCTTTTACCATGGCCCTCAGTGATATTGACATGCCAGAGTACATTAAGCACATGATAGTTTTTATTGAACAAGAATCCAATTAAAAAAACAGAAGAAACAGATGCGAAAGCAGAAGAGTTCCACAGTGAGAAAGGTCATCTGGTACAAACCCAAAGACCTTAGAGTGGAATAATATGAGAAGAAAAAAAGCAGATGGAGCAGACAGAGCTGATAAATGAATCAAGGCTCAAAATGCTCAGAGCAAGAGATGGCCTTATTACAAATCTCTAACTGCAGCAAAGAGACCCACAAGACAGTAAAAGATACAACCAGGAACCAGCTGCTGCTGAATGGACTGGACTTCATGGGTTTGCACCTGCTGTTGGAACCCCAAATGATTGTTTGCTACAGGTCAGGACTTCCCTCTGGTAAAGGCTGCAGGGCAAAAAATAAGTCCTATGTACAGTATGACCACCAGAAATGATGTTCATATCCAAACTGATCAGCAGGTCTACTTGCTTGAAATGGAATTGAATCTAAAATTAACACAACCTTCACTTGCTTTTGTAGCATGAAGGTGAAGGTATCAGAAGGTAGTTCCATGAGTATCACCAAATCTCCTTCTCTGGTTCCAACTGTCTAGTCTAGAGGATGATGAAGTGTGTGGTGTTCTCTGCCAGAAGTCTCTGCTCTTTAGGCTTAAAATATATGTGGGGAATGCATTCCTTCCAGCTGCTGTTGTTTCACTATTACCCGTTTAGTCTGTAAGTTTTCCTTATCAGGAAAAGTCATTTAACATTGGAAATAATATAGTTGGCATCTTTTCTCCTTCTTTCTTTTTTTTTTAAAGATTTATTTATTTATTTATACATGCACTGGGTACAGTCAGAAGCGAGGGAGGGTGAGAGACTCCACCAGAGCCAGAGCGGGGAACAGAACAGGCAGAAGGACCAAAGTACGCTGCTGAGGGGAGCAGCGGGCGGCAAGAGAGGTCTGCGCACCATGTGGGATCCTCACCTGGTGGCTGGGGATCGAACTGGCACTGCAGAAGCTGCGGGCACCTCGCAGCACAGTGCTCAACCGCTGCGCCACCAGGGAGGCCCTATTTTCTCTTTTTTTGGGGGGGGACTTTTACAGTGCATAGGAAATTCCCCTAACAAGAAAAGATTGTTTTCATCATATGCATGTGTGTATTTTTACAGAACAAAAAGGTTATGTTAAGAAGTCATTTTCAGAAGTCATATACATGTAAGCTAAATTTTGAGTGCTTTGTAAACATTTAAATTATGTATAAATGAAAATTGAAATTCATGACAACCTGTACAAATTAAGCTTTTTTCAAACTGTCCCTGAATTGGGGAAGAGGAGGGAATAATTTAATGAAAAGATGGTCTCTAATTTGAGATGGATGAGCTACAACTAAGAAATAAAATAAAGACATTGTCATTCTGCAAAAAAAAATAATTAATTAATTAAATTAAATAAAATCTAAGCCACAAGGGCTTCCCCTGGTGGCGCAGTGGTTGAGCGCTGGGCTGCGAGGCTGCCCACAGCCTCTGCAGCACCGGTTCATTCCCAGGCCGCCAGCGAGGGTCCCACCAAAAAAAAAAAAAAAAAAAAAAAAAAAAAAAAAAAACCTAAGCCACAAATAGGTTTTCTTGATTAAAATAAAAAGTCATTGCCATATTAAAAACAGAGTTGCCAAGTCATGGAGGTGAAGCAAGAGGACTGATAGCAGAGAAAAACAAGGGCTCTCCAACAGTGATAAAAATGCTCTATATTTTCATTTTAGTGATAGTTACATGATTGTATGCATCAAAACTCACTTAACCGTACTTTTAAAATAAAAACAGATGGGTTTCATTGCATGTAAATTATACCACAGTAAAACTAATTCTTAAAACTGTCTGAGAGGTAGTTACAATTTGAAAAGCCTTTGTAAGGGATTTGAAGGCAGTTACAGTTTTCCTTCTTTGTCTACCATTTCAAGAATACTACAGGAATTATTGTTTCTAAATTATTTAAGAAACAATAATTGGATCCTTTACACAACCACCCAATGTTAAATTTATAAGTAGTCACAATATTCTTGGTTGCATCTTATGATCCAGTAAGCCCACACCCCTGCTTTTAAGTAGGTCTTTTAACTGACTATACACCTACACTGTTAACAAAGGCTTTTTCTCCAAATCAGAGGACCACGCAGAGGAAATCAGCCTGATATCTATGTCATGGGAATTGCTTTAAGCAAGAATTCACAGGTGTGTCCCTAAAAGAAAGAAAAATTTAAAACAGGAGTTTCAAATTTTACCATATATGCTTTGTCATTTAGGTTACTTTTCTTGGGACAATTTCAACTTGTCAATGTTGAAAATAAAATATGATACCCAGAACTGAACACAGTATCCTAAACGTAGTCTGACCTATTCAGAATACAAAGATTCTTATGTCTTTTAGCTGTATACTATGACTCTGTTAAAGCTTATTATTGCATCATATCCAACATTAATAATTAAAGATCAGATTCTTTTATCCCATAATTGTATTATTCCTCTTTTAAAAATATTTATTTTGTAGAAGAACTGGGGTATAGGCCAGAGGTGGGGGTGGGGTGAGGGGATCACCAGAGACAGAGTGGGGAGCAGAACAGGTGGATTTACTGAAGTACACTGCTAAGAGGAGCAGTGGGCAAGACAGGAGAGGTCTGCTGCGCCATATGTGGGTCAAACTGGCTTGGATCAAACTAAGGCTGCAGTGGTGATAGCGCTGAAATTTAACCCTTAGGCATTGGGGAGGCCCCAATTGTGTTAGTCTTTAAATAAACTTAAATACAAGACTTTTGTTCCTGTTTGATTTTTACCTTAGTTGCTTTAATGTATCATTCCAGCCTAATGAAATTTTTTAATGTCTTAAAATTTTTTAACTTTGCCATCTAACATATAAACCAGGTCTTCCCATCTGAAAAAAAATAATTGTATATTTATTAATGTTGCTGATGAAAAAGAACATGAATATGCCAACTAAAGAGATATAGAGCCCTTTTCCTTATCTCTACACACTGACTTACACACTGCTTATATTTCTTTGTCTAGTCTCTAAGGATAGTGAAAAATAAATCAAATACCTCCCTAAAGTAAGATGTACTATTTTATTCATTCATTCAATCAGTTTCTCACTCTTTCAACAAATACTTGAATACTCACTGAGTGCCAGACATTGTATTAAATATAAATAGTAGGGATACAAAGATAAGCAAGATAGATTGGTCTCTGTCCTCATGAAACTTACATTCTAGTCCATGGCAAAAACATTCTCAGCTAAGAAAACAAAAACAAGATCAGTTTTGCCTCACTGAAAACAATAAATTCTGTGAGTCCAGGAAATAGATTATTTTCAAAATTTGAAAGGAACAGAATATCTGACAGAAATAATATTGAATATCTGACAGAAATAATTTCCAATTGGTAATATAATTAGGTAGGGTTTTTTAACTTTTACATTTATTAGTACAAAAATATGCAAACTCATTCTTGATGTAAACATTTCAAACTACCCATGTAAAGTGAAAATGCCTCTTACCCACCCACCCATTGTTAACCAGTCTGGTGTGCATTCTTCCAGATCTTTGCTCTGTGCATTTTTGTTGTTTTGTATATACTGTTTTTATATACATGATAATCACATTGTACTCACTGTTCTGCAACTTGTTTGCCTCACTTAATAGTCTTAGAGGTCATATAATAGTCATAGAGGTTTTTCTATGACTGTAAATCTGGGTCTTCCTCATCCTTTTTACTATTTGCAGACTATGGATGAACAAAGTTTATTTACTCTTCCCACCAATGAATATTTGAGTTATTTCCAACTTGTTATCATTACCAACAAGGCTACAATAACATCCTTATACACACCTTATGAATATCTGTGGGTGTCCCCTTGGGTAGTGTTTTTCAAACCTATCAGTAAGTTGAAATAGTGATCAGGACTTTAACTAAACTAATAAACCAAAACAAAATAACTGAACTGATTCTAATATTTCTTATTATAAATAGTTTCTAATAGTTTGAAATAAGAGGACCCAAAGAGATCCATACCAAAACACATTATAATTAAAATGGTAAAAGCTAATGATAGTAGCTGGAGAAAAACAGGTTGTACATATACAAGAGAAACCCCCTAAGGCTATCGGCAGATTTTTAAACAGAAATATTGCAGAAACTAGCATGCTGCAGAGAGCAGCATGGCTAAGTCCTGAAAGGAAAAAACTTCTAGCCAAGAATTCTATACTTGGCAAGGATGTCATTCAGAATTGAAGGAGACATTAAGCGTTTCCTGGATACACAAATACTAAAGGAGTTTATCACTAAACTGAAAAGAAATGACACTAATGACAAGAAAACATACAAAGAGAAAAAGTAAATGTACAGTGAAAGTCATGATCAATCACTTATAAAGCAAACGTGAAGATTAAAAGATAAAAGTAGTAAAAATTAACTAAAGTTTCGATAATTATTCAAAGGTTGTATATAACTTATGTGATATAACACAAAGATGTAAAATGAGATCAAAAATATAAAATGTGGCTGAAGTGACAAAAATGTAAAGTTTTGGAATGTACTCAAATTTAAGTAGCTATCAATTAAAAACAGAATGTTATACATGTAAGATGTTAAATCTGAAATTCACAGTAACCACAAAGCAAAAACTCTTAGCAAACACACAAAAGAAAATGAAAAGGAATCTAAGTATACCACTGAAAAAATTCACCAAATCTCAAAGGAAGAAAGAAGAAAGGACTAGAGAAGAACTGTAAAAACAGCCAAAAAACAATTAACAAAATGGCAATAAATACACACCAATAAATAAAGCCTTAAATACAAACTGAATAAATTGTCTAATCAAAAGACACAGAGTGATGAAATGGATAACCTAATGTACCTGTCCATAAATAAATAAATAAATATGTGGTATATGTACACATTGGTATATTAGTCTGGTAACAAAAAAAGAGGAAATTTTGTCATCTTCAACAACATAAACCCTGAGATTTTACTAAGTGAAGTAAGTCAGAGGGAGAAAGACAAACACCATATTTGTCTTCCTGTGAAAGACAAAGAAACAAAGTAAATGAGCAAACAACAGAATGGTGATTACCAGAGGGGAGGAGGTATAAAGGTGAGTAAGATGGGATCAATGGTATGAGGAAGGAATAGAAACTACAGTTTTAGTGGTGGATCATAAAGTAGTTTACACAGAAGTCAAAGTACAAAGATATACACCTGAAACTTATACAGTTAAAAACCAATGTTAATTCAAATTAAAATCAATTTTCTCTAGCTATCAGTCAAAAAAGATTCATGGAAATAATTTAATCATTTGTGTTTTATCATCTGACACACATTTAACATGTCTTTAGTGGATTTTAAAACTGTTTTCACTGACTAGTTTTTAAAAAACCATGCTATATCTGATAACTATTATCACTTATAGTTTTGAATGTAATATTTCAGAAAGCACTCCATTTTGAAACATCTAGAAATTTAGGTATTCTTAAGAATAAAATAAGCAAGTTTTCATTCTTTTTTAAAACAAAGTTTTAAAGATTAGAATGGAAATTTACCATGATTTATCACACTGGTTTTCTGTTTTTAATAAAAATATAAATTTTTAGTCATACTGCAGCTCTCTTAAATATATCACTTGCAGGAGAAAGGTTACCTAATGTCAACTCTTATTTTCCTTTATCTCTTACTTGAAAATAATGTATTGAAAAAAATGCATTGTACATAAAAATGCAATTTCTAAATAAGGCTGGCTTAATGCCCAAACCAATTGTTTCTCAGTAAAAGCAAATGAAAAACAGTAACATACCTAGCCAGAGGGGAGCGAAATGCTGTAGCTGGTGTGGGAAAGTCCATGGTCCTTGTCTCAAGAACTGGTTTTCCTGGAATAAACTTCAAGCTGTTGGGATTTGGAGTATCTTGTGTTTGAATAAACATGTATCTCACTAAAAGAGAAAAAAGAAGAAATGTTTTCTAGAAAAAAACAGCACTTAACAAGTCTATGGACTATGGAAAGCTCATTTTCAGAGAACCAAAAGAAAAAAAAAAATAAGGCATTATACTCTAAGCTAACAGAGTCAATTTCTAAAGACAAGGAAAAAAGGTATCATTTACTTGAAATTGTATCACACTAATGTTTTTAAGGAGTTTAAAATACAAGTTTCTAAAAAAGGAAAAGTTATCAATATATTATAACTGCATTGAATTCTGTATTAACACTGATTATTGAGTTTTATTACTCAATGGATTCTAGCAATAACCTATACTTAAGGACTAAGACATGTAATCACTCAGGAGTTTTATATGTATTCCATTTAGTGATTTGGTTATAATGGCTATTATAATCATAAGTGATCATCACAGTGGTATTAATATGGTAATATACTATATTCTCCTCTTTCCAAAGTGCTACCTCTCTCTTAAAGACAATAAAGTTAGTAATGTACAATGACAACTAATATTTATTATAGGCTTATTACATGTCAGGGTTGAGTACTTTAAATGTATTTAAGCTTGTAACAGCCCTATTTATTCCCATTTTACAAATGGCTTGGAAACAATCATGTCTTAATTTCTTATGAAAATTAACTTTGTGACCAAAAAAAAAAAACTTCTCATTCAAGAGCAGCACACTGATAGGTTAAGGACAGTATGTAACAGTAACTAAAATGTATTGAGTGCAGCAGATCTGGAATAACATCCTCTTGTTATGTTGATATGTCAAAGATATGTACAACAGGTTCAATGGCTTGTCAAAAGTGTCCCAGTGTGAGTATCATTGCGTGTGTGAATGCACCCTGAGATGAAGAATTGTCCTGTCCAAGGCTGGTTCAGAAACCCTCAACCCTGAATCAGAATAAGCAGGTTGAAAAATGAATGGGTGAATATAAATCATTGTTTAACATTAAAAGTATTTAGAAATTTAATGGTTTTTAGAACCAGCTAATGTCACAGTAACTTATATCTTGTTTATATCCATTAGCCTATTGTAAAATTATTTTTGTTAACATTTCATTAAAAGTTGCAGTCTCCAAGAACCTATTGACAGTATTAAGTAAGGACTTACTGTAATTATCATGCTTGGCATGATGATGAGCACTTTATATGAATTACATAATTTAATCCTTATAGTCTCCCAAGAAGAGAGTTTTAACACCATCTTACAAATGCGTAAACTAAAGCTCAAAGTCACTCAACAATTTACAGAGGTAGTATTCAAGCTCATTTTTCCAGAGTGACTTGCTTAACCATAGAGTATACTGCCACTCCATATGTAAGTACCAAGTATAAAAGGAAGAGATATTTAAGATCAGTCTTCCTATCTTATAATAATCTTCATGCCACATATATCAGAGTCAATATCAAAAAGCAACAGTTTTATTTTAAATTAGAAAGAGATTAAATTTGACAAAACATATGGTTGGTATAGAAGTGCTTTTCTTAACCATTACAGAGAAAAGTCTAATTTGACAGCTGAGAATTGTTTTTGCACCTTGCCATGCAGTTCTAGCTAACTGATGTTGAGTCATTTCCTTGGTGAAACAGAAATCTAAACTTAACTTCCATACATTTTCTTAAATCACTGTCCTATAATTATGTCATCTGTTGCCTTTGTGACCAGGCAAATCCTAAAAAATAAATAAATAAGTAACCTCATTGTCTAAGTACTTGATTTAAAATACTTATACTCCCAAACAATAAATTCCTCTGAAAATCTGTTAAGAGAGAATTATTTTTCAGATGAAAGAACTACTACCACTTTCCCCCGAAAGTGTCATAAGGGTTACAATAGGATTGACTGATCTAAAATAATTTTTCCTATTATGTGTGATAACAATTGGTAATAGGTAAATAGTAGCTATAAGCACCTCCCAAAATATAGATTAATGGTGCTTAAAGTCAATATAAAATATTAAAATTAGTGGATCTTCAATTTGAAAAGTATAGATGAAAATATAATTCAATCCTACAAAATTTTAAAGTACATAGTTTAACCTGATTTAATTGTTCAATATTTATGCCTAAATAATTCTTGATTCTAGGAGACAAGCAAGGCATGCCTCTTATTGCCCCAGAATACAGGAGAAGTTAGGTCTTCACCCTGATCCACTCTAACCATTAGCTAGAGCCACCCTGCAGAGCATGGCCACAAAGGTAGAGAAAGACATGGAGCTAAGTCAAGAACTGGATCCAAACTCTTACAGTTCCAGATGCACTTACAGGTAAGCATTAAACACAGAGACACACAAATACACCCTCCTCCCACAGTTTCCTAACCACATGACAGTGGTCATATTTCATTAATTTTCAAATCCTATCTTTATCTCTGTTTCCAATATTTAGTAAATGAAAGTATGTAACATCAATAAGATTGTCAACAAAACCACAGCAATCAATTTTGACTTAAAAAAAGAAAACATTCAAAGTACTAGGTTCTAGGTGTGGATGAAAGATAGAAATTTGATTTTAGGGATATGCAATGCATGACTCTTTGAAACATGAACTCATTTGTAACTTCTTTTTAAATTTTCATTTCAGAAATCCTATAAGACACTGAGAATTCATAGATCTACTAGACACTGTTCTAAGGATTCTGGAAATCTAATGATGGTGTTTTATCTAAGCAAATAATTACAGTACATTGTAATGTTATGATAGGAAAAAAATGCTACCTTCTTTCATATGCATCTAAGTAGACATTTTACAAATTCTCATCTTTTGTGATCCACAAAATTTCACCCAATCAGTTTCATTAGCTTCTGAAATATAATTTGCTCCCAAAGAAGTGAAATTTTACCTGTGTAATGTAAGGTTTCAGGTAGTGGGAAAAGTGGTCTTTGTAAAAACTGGTACAAAGGCTGTTTCTTAATGGTGTATGGATTCATCATATGACAGAATCTACAATTAAAAACAAATAAAACTTACATTCTACTCAGATAAGTTCATTTTTACTTCTCATATGTACAATAAAAAAATGAAAATAAAAATGAATTTCATTTTCCATCCACGAGTAGAAATTTATAGCCTTGATAACTTATTCTTACTTGGTATAAGAAACAGAAATGCGGGCCTCCCCTGGTGGCGCAGCGGTTGAGCGCTGGGTTGTGAGGCTGCCCGCAACACCGGTTCATTCCCAGGCTGCAGGGAAGGGTCCCACCCCCCCACAAAAAAAAGAAACAAATGCATCTATGTTAGCGATTTATAACCTAGAGTTCCAGCCTCTTACATGAGCATCAAGGAAGCAAAGAACTACAAAACTTTTTCTGTATTTAAGAAAAAAATTTTTGACTAGGTAAGAGTCACATGGTTCAAAATTCAAAGGAAATAAAAATAGTAAACAGTCTCTACCACCAAATATCTCCCCTGGAAAAAGAGAAACTATACCACCTGTTCTGAAAAGTATTTTGTTATTTCAAAAGTCTATCAACAAGTGCACTATTCTCCAAAATGCTAAAAAAGCCAACAATCTATATATGCTTTTGGATTGAAAACATATTAACTCGGGCCTCCCCGGTGGCGCAGCGGTTGAGCGCTGGGTTGCGAAGCTGCCTGCAGCCTCTGAAATGCCGGTTTGATCCCCGGCTGCTCCCCGGCCACCGGGGGAGGGTCCCGCATGGCGCGCAGACCTCTCCTGCCGCCCGCTGCTCCCCTCAGCAGTGAACTTGGGTCCTTCTGCCTGCTCTGCTCCCCGCTCTGGCTCTGGTGAATTCTCTCACCCTCCTGTACTTCTGACTGTACCCAGTGCTTGTATAAATAAAATAAATAAATAAATAAATAAAAATAAATAAATATTAAAAAAAAAACAACATATTAACTCATTACTGTTAACGTTGGTCATTTTATTCTGATAGAGAAGTGTTGATTTTTTCATGGCTATTTTTTCATGGTTTTGACAAAAACAATTACTGGAAAAGGAATTAAAAATATGTCAGTAAGTAGCGAAAAATTTTAGAAATCGTTGCAAATTACCTTAATAAAGTTTACTTTAAATTACTACTATTGGTGGCGCAAGGGGTTAGGTCCAAGCACTGTGAAGCTATTTGAAGCCACTGCAGCACAGCACAAGTTCAATCCCCTGACCGCCAGGAATCTAATACACATGGCACAGCAGACCTCTCCTTTCTTGCCTTCTGCTCCCCTCAGCAGTGTATTTCAGTAGATCTGCCTGTTCTGCTCCCCACTTTGTCTCTGGTAAATCCTCTCACCCCTCCCCCACCTGTACCCCAGCTCTTGTATGCATAAATAAATAAATCTTTTAAAAATAACTGCTATTACTCAACAATTTTCATTCACAAGTCACTGAATTTTAAGAATACATATGATCATTTCAAAAAACATTTCCCTGATTTTCACTTGCAAACTCATTACATGTAGAGACTGTCTTCATTTCTATGGCAGATGGTTCCAGTTCCACAGCTCTAAAAGTTAATATGCACAGCTACCTCATAAAGATTGGGGCACAGATGTATCCAGATCATCCACATAAAGGGCTTAAAACAGTGCAAGGTCATGTAGTAAATGTTCAATAAAAGTTAACAACCACTAGTATTATTATGTGATAGGTAAGCCTTAATTATTTATTGAAGTTCCAGGTCTGGGGTGAAAACATTGTTAAGAATGGCTCGAGGCCTAAATTTTTAATATCGTGGGATATGGAAATAACACCGAAAGCACTCTTTTCCCTTCTGCCCAGAAAAAAAGGCAGGAGGCTGAATAAAACTAAACCACATTCTGAGAGCTATGTGTTTCAAGTTAAAAAAAAACAGAACAGTAAAGGTGAGTTAAGTCATTCAAGAAAGACGGCTATTCAAACATGAGAGGGACAGAAGGCACTTAAAATTCTTTCTGCAAACTTAAGGAAATGCATTTAAGCTCCAAGAGCATCATTAATACTAAAACTTCTAACACTCACGAGGTCAAACTCATTAGTCCCCTTTCTCCTTGTGTTGCAGAAGAGAAATCAGGGTTCAACACCTAGCCTCCTCAGTGCCTTTCGCCTAACCAAATCCTGAGTGAGTAAAGTCATTTGGGAGGCCAACCTCAAAAGTCAGGGGGCAAAGAAGAGTAAAAACAAGAAAATGAAGAGGGCGTAGGAGATAGGAAGGAGATCTAGGCATGTGGATTCTCATCGGAGTTCCATCACTTAGAAGCTGTGTGACCTCAATCACAGCCCCTTTCTGGGCCTCACTGAGACAGTGAGGAAATGAGACGGGGCATTCGCTTCCATTATGCATGACACTTTGATTTTGTGTTTAAAAGACAGAGGGACTGCACGTGGTGCAAGGGCTGGTGGGGCCAGACGATTCAAAAAGAGCTCTTCATTTCAGTCTCTACAGCCGGTATTTGCGAGCCTCCCTACGGCAAGAGCCCTGTCAGGCAACGGGTCCCAGAGCCTGGCACCGGAGTCGGCCAGAATTAGGGGTGCAGCGCTGCCTCACCGAAAAGCGCCCACCTAAGGGCGAAACCCCAGAGGGCGGGGAGGCTTGGCCAGACCGCTACTCCCCATCCCATTTGAGGGCGGGTCCGCGAGGCTGCGAACGCTCTGCTGGCTAAGCCCAGCCGCAACCAATATGGAGCTCCAGGCTCGTCACCTACCGGCTGCGTAGCCCCGCGGCAGCGGCCGCTGCTCTCCAGCCCCGCCGGGCCGCCGCCGCCATCTTAGTCCGAGTGCGTAGAGGACAGACCCAACCCCCTCGCGCGCCTGGGGAGCCCCGCGCAGGCGCAGACCGGCCCACCGAGGCCTGGCGCCGAGGAGCGCGCGCCCTACCGGCCGCGGGGGGCGCCGCCGCGGATGAGTGGGGCCGTTTGCTGCCCTTGCCTAAGTCCTGCCTAAACCTGGACGTGGGAAAGGGGAGGAGAATGCGTGCTCGGTAAGGCACGCACGACTCCGCAGGCACGCGCCAAGTCTTCGCTTGCTTTCCCTACTTACTAGGTGCGACCCTCGCACCGGCTGACCCTGTTATTGGGATGCTGTTCCCCATCCCTGCACCTGCCCCATTGCCCCTTGCAGGCTGCTGCTCACCCTCCAGGCCCTCTGTAGGGTGCTTCCCTTCCTCCAAACACTTGATGTGAACCTCTGTGATTTTCTGGCCTGGCAGATTCAATCATCTTGTAACCAACTCGCACGGAAGATAGCACTTAGTGAGTTGCTGCTCTTCAATGTATAAACATGAGTATTGACCAGTTTCCAGAGCAAAGTATAAAAAGTCCCTCGACATTCTTCCAGAACTTTCTTGGGGTATTCGGCTTTCTCTCAGACAGCAGTTCCCAAAGTGTGGATTGGGGCCTGCAACGGCGTGGTAATGCTTTGGGAGTGCAAATATGGATGTTAGCACCAGTTGCAGAAATAGACCACTGGCAGCACCTCCTGCTACTGCCAGTTACTCTCCGGCCTCACTGGACTGTGAGCTCCACACGACACACATGTTTACTTTCTTCCTGATTTTATTCCCAGTGCCTGACATTTAAGAGATGCTCAAAATATACTTGCTGAAGTGAAACCTCCAAAGAACCAATTGCCTCCGAACATATATAATTTATTTTATTCTTATATTGTAAGTTTTTCCCTTCTAGAATGGACACCTCACAAGGTTAGGGATCTTTGCCTACACTGGTAACTGATAATGTCTCACATGCCTAACACAGTTCCTGGCACATGATTGGCACTCAATAAGTATTTGTTGCATGAGCCCTAATTTTCCTAATCTATAAAATGTGGGTAACAATACCTACAAAAGTGGTTGAGTGAGTGGAGTAGAGAAAATGCATTTCAAGTGCCTTGCACTGAGATTGTTACTTAGCTCGGTATAATAATGCTGTTGTCGTCTGTAAAATTTTGAAACCCATTCCTGATATAACTACAAGGGGTGCCATCTGAGGTGAGCAGCTTGGTCTGTGGTTTTCTCAGATCTGAAACAGGTTTGACCATTGGGGGCCGGGGCAGTGTGGCAGCAGATAAATATTTACCTGAGGCACTGAGAAACCTCCCTGGCAAGAATTCATCCTGGAAAAGAGCTCCCTCCTGGGGGTGGGGGGGGGGAGGTCAATATTCAAAAGTTTGATCCAAGATCAAACTGTCTTTTGGCCCAGGGAGAAGGCTTGAACCAAGCCCACATACCAAGAGAGCTATTTTGTTAAAACATCTAAGTCTATGTGACCCTTGAACCTGGGCTCATGCTGCTCTCTCCCAGGGAAAGCAGAGTGTGAGCAGCAGAGCACAATTTAGCATTCACTAGACACCAACCTGAGACAGGCTGCGGCAGGACAGCCGGCATCTGGATGGGACAAGCGGGTGGATGTTACACTGTGAGTTTTTGGCTTCTGGAGCTGGCTGATTTGGCAGCAAGCTGCAGAACAGTTGAGGTAAATATATAAATGGTAGCAGAACAGAATCTGTTCCAAGCATATGTGGTCCCAGGAGTCACTGGGAAAGATGTAGATTGTTAGAATTTCTTCAAGGTGGGAGCAGACAGAGAAATGTATTGTGACCCTTCTTTTAGTCAGAAATTGGTGACGCTCTGGAGAAACAGGTTAAACAAATGACAATAGAGAGAATGCCTTCTCCATATCACTCTAATTACCTACAACCCTCTCCACATTCTGGTTTGTTAAGAAAAATAAGTTCCTCTTTCTTAAATATTATGACATAAGCATTTCAAAAGCTGAATTATTACTTCAGTATTCCCCTTAATTGCTCTACAAGTTTTGTAACTCCTCTGCTATTTAATACTCTCAATGGTTTATACCAACAACCACCAAAATCTGGGCTTCTTGCACCAAATTATACCTGTGCCCTTTCACCTCCAAAGCCAGAAAGGAGTCCTTAGATTTGAGACCTAAGATGAAGGCACCTGGTAATTTGGGTTTGTCATTATGTCTGTGTAGGGACACTGCTTCTGCGATGCAGGTGGTGTTCTGCATAACCCCAGGTACGGTGTAGTACAGGCTGCAAGTTTGTTTCTATACATTGTTCTTTTATCCAGATTCACTGCTGATAACATCTTACATAATCACAACTAAGCAACTAGCATTACTATTCATTATAACTAAGGAAACAGTATTAACCACACTCCACAGTTTATTAGGACTTCACTATCTCCCTAACGTTCCTTTTCTGTTCTCCAGAACCCTATCCAGGAATACCTTACACTTACTTGTCACATCTAGTCTCTTCCTGCCTATGACAGTTTTCAGACTTTCCTTGTTATAGATGACTTGGACATTTTTTTTGAGGATTGCCAATTGGGTAATTTGTAGAATGTTCTCAATGGCAATGTGTCATATGTTCCTCTCATGAATATGGTTCTGGGTCCTGGAAGGAAGACCATAGAGGTGAAATATGCTTCCCATCACAGCATATCAACAGAAACATAAACATGACTTCTCACTACTGTTGTTAATATTGGTCATTTGGCTGAGGTGATGTTTCTCGTTTTTCTGCTGCATAGTTATTTTTTTTTTTTTAAGAAAAGATTTTTTTTATTTATGCATAGAAGAACTGGGGGTATAAGCCAGAGGTGGGGGAGGGGGCGGTGAGAGGATTTATCAGAGACAGAATGGGGAGCAGAACAGGCAAATCTATAGACAGGAGAGATGTGTTGTGCCATATGTGGGTTGGCTCCCTGGCCAGGTTCAAACTCAGGCAGTTGTGGTGATCGGGCTGAGACTTAACACCTAGGAGGCCCTGCTACATAGTTACTACTGTCACTTCTTTCCATGTACTACCCTTTGAAAGCACACCACACATTCCAAGATGTGGAGTCAAGCTCTGTTTCCTTAGGGAGTGGAATCTACATAAATTAATTGAATTCTTCTGTGTGAGTTATATCTTTTCTTCCCCATTTGATTTTTTCAAAAGTTATACTTTTAGGGCCTCCCTGGTGGCGCAAGGGGTTAAGCACAGCATTGTGAAGCTATCCGCGGCCTCTGCAGCACGAATTTGATCCCTGGCTGGCCAGGGAGCTACCCACATGGCACAGCAGACCTCTCCTGCAGTGTCCGCTGCTCCCCTCAGCAGTGTATTTTAGTCAGTCTGCCTGTTCTGTTCCCCACTCTGTCTCTGGTGAATCTTCTCACACTCCGCACCTCTGGCCTGTACCCCAGTTCTATTATGCATAAATAAATATCTTTAAAAAAATTTATACTGTTATTAATATTTTGAGGATTAGCATAGAGTTACAAGGTCAATATAAGCCTTCCAATGGAAGCATTTCATTTGGTTTCATTCCATCTTCAGAGATAAATGGGCAGTTCCTGAGTCTTTACAGTGTCAATAACCTTTACAACCCTAAACACCTCCAAAGTTCAGAATGTGCAACATATACAAACAAACCTAAGAGCTGTAAGCCAAACCAAGAGATGTAAGCACAGGAGGCAGAACCATTAGGAAGTATTAAACCAAAAAAATTTTTTTTAAGATTTATTTATTTATTTATACAAGCACTGGGTACAGTCAGAGGCGTGGGAGGGGCGGCAGGAGAGGTCTGCACGCCATGTGGGACCCTTGCCCGGCGGCCGGGGATCGAACCGCTCAACCGCTGTGCCACCGGGGAGGCCCTAAACCAAAATTTTTGAAAAAATATTTAGTATCTACATAACTTTATTCAATTTTGTATCAGTCTGGGCTCTTGGATATATGCTTTATATTTTGTTGTACTCTAATGCTATGTTATTTGTGCTCAATTTGTTCCAGCTTTGACGGGGGCGGGGGGGGGGAGTTGGTGCCTATGAATTTTTGGTTTTTATGGAAGATGCTCCTGGTTCATTTTATGTTTTTCCTCCCCCAGCTCTAGAATCAGGTGTTTCTCCATAGAACTGGTTCCTTTTATGAGAACAGTATTTGGAAACCAAGATCTGGGTGATGTTCTTGTTATCCACTTTTTTTCATTCTCTTATTCATCTTCATCTGCTCCCTTTATATAGGTTGTTTCTTGTTAGCTGCTGCCATATAGACATATTCAAGTATTTCCTCATTAATTTCTTTTTATCCATGCCCTCCATTGGCAAGTTCCCTAGCTCTCTCATTTCCATCTAATCTTTTAATATGGTCCCATTTTATATGAATTTGAAAGCACTAGGTAAGAAAAGTCTTAAGTTTTACAAAATTGTCAGGCAAAGCATAATTTAAAATCTGGTAGGCTGAGGTCCTTGCATAAGATATATCCTTTGTGGGCCTCCCCTGATGGCACAGCAGTTCAGCAAAGCGCTGTGAAGCTGTCCGCAGCCTCTGCAGCGCTGGTTTGATCCTGGCCGGCCAGTGAGAATCCCACATGGTGCAGCAGACCTCTCCTGTCTAACCCACTGCTCCCCTCAGCAGTGTATTTCAGTAGATCCGCCTGTTCTGCTCCCCACTCTGTCTCTGGTGAATCCTCTCACCCTCCCCCACACCTCTGGCCTGTACCCCAGTTCTTGTATGCATGAGTAAATAAATCTTAAAAAAAAAACTGTACCCTTTGTTTCTCACACGTGGGTCACTCCTCAACCCAGTGCAATCTGCCTCCACCACTTTACTAAAATTGCTCTCGCCAGGGCCTCCCTGGTGGCACAAGGGGTTAAGACGCAACTTATGAAGCTATCTGCAGCCACTGCAGCATCAGTTTGGTCCCCTGCTAGGAAGGCGACCCACATGGGGGAGCAGACCTCTCTGTCTCGCCCGCTACTCCCCTCAGCAGTGTATTTCAGTCAGTCTGCCTGTTCTGTTCCCCACTCTGTCTCTGGTGAATCCTCTCACCCTCCTCCATACCTCTGGCCTGTACTCCAGTTCTTTTTTTTTAAAGATTTATTTATTTATGCATACAAGAACCGGGGTACAGGCCAGATCCGTGGGAGGGGGAGAGGATTCACCAGAGACAGAGAGGAGAACCGAACAGGCAGACCAATGAAATACACTGCTGAGGGGAGCAGCAGGTGAGACAGGAGAGGTGTGCCCCACCCTGTGGGACCCTCACCGGCCGGCAGGGATCGAACCCGCGCTGCAGAGGCCGCGGACAGTCTCACAGTGCAGCGCTCAACCGCCTGCGCCACCAGGGAGGCCCTGCATAAATAAATCTTTAAAAAAATAAAGTAAAATTGCTCTTGCCAAGATCATCAGTGGCGTACTGATAGATAAATCCTATAAACATTGTTCTGTCTCATCTGCTATTGCAGTGGATGATCACTGCTCATCTTTTTTAAAAAAATATTTGTTACATCATCCTTCATTTTTGTACAATGTATGATCTCCCTGTGAAATTCCCATCACCAATTCACCTATGTACCATCACCATAGTCCCCTGTGCTCATCCCTCCCCTGTCTTGATCCCTCTCCATCTTCCTCCCCTACAGAATGTCTCTGGTCTGTGGTTGCCACTGATTTTGATTTTTACTTTATTATAGTTATTTTTTTCCTGATCATTTATTTTGTTCCTCGACATTCCTCCTATAAGTGAAACCATCCAATATTTTTCTTTTTCTTTCTGGCTTATTTCGCTGAGCATAATCCCTTCCAGCTCCATCCATGTTGCTGCAAATGCCATGAGTTTATCCTTTTTGATTGCTGAGTAATACTCTATTGTGTCTATATACCACATCTTGTTGATCCAGTCATCTATTTTGGGGCATTTGGGCTGTTTCCATATCTTACCTATTGTAAATAGTGCTGCAATAAACATAGGGTGCAGGTGTCCTTTTGTTATTTTTTTGTTTTTTTTTTTTAAACACATACAGCAGTTAGTAAATTGTACAACACATTTCTTTATCTTCTTAGTTAAGGCTTTACCAATTTGTTATTTCATTAACTAAATATTTTTTATTAAAATTTTAATACTTGGCTATTCATTTGCATAATTAATTTTGGGAGTACTGTTTTCCACCTCAACATGTTCACATATTTCACTCACCTCTACCAAAGCCCCAAATACCAGTACACTATCACATCTCCCACCCATCTCCCTCAGGCAACCACCATATTTCAGTTACTTTTGTTGTATTTTGCCACTTTGTTTACATCCACAAAGCTCTATCTCTAGCTCAAAACCTTTCATCCAAGACTTATGTCAATGTACATGGTGGCAGCTCCTATGCTAAACTTTAGGATCTAAAGTCAGTATATGAAACAAAAATTGCAAATGGGCAAAATTATGCAGGTGTCCTTTTGTATTAATGTTTTTGTGTCCTCTGAGTAGCAATTCCTAGAAGTGGAATTGCTGGGTCATATGGAAGCTCCATTTTTAGTAGTTTGAGAAACCTCCACACCACTGCTCATCTTTAAATGTTTCCCTTCCTTAACTTTGGTGTCACTCTTCTGTTTTCCTGCCAACATTATGGCTGTTTCTTTCATGCCTTTTTTTCCTCCCCCATCCTATAAATGTTGATGTTCCCAAAGGACGTTGCAAACGCTCTTCTCACTCTACATTCTTCTTCACTGAGCTTATCTAAATCCAGGCATTCACATACCCCTTGATGAGTTTCCTTTATCAGCCATCAGACTTCTCCCCTGATCTGTCAGTGTCCATCAGGACAAGTTCACATTGATAGCCTATCTAAAGGTACCGGGTATTTTAAACCACTGTGGCTGTTTTTCCCAGTATTTTTGAATACAGATTATTATAACTGGACTAATATTAATTTTCATCAGGAATTTTTTTTAAAAGATTTATTCATTTATTTATACAAGCACTGGGTACAGTCAGAAGCACGGGAGGGTGAGAGAATTCACCAGAGCCAGAGCAGGGAACAGAACAGACAGACTGACTAAATACACTGCTGAGGGGAGCAGCGGGCAGAGCAGGAGAGGTCTGTCACGCCATGTGGGACCCTCACAATTGGCCGGGCATAGAACCGGAGCTGCAGAGGCTGCAGGCAGCTTCTCAACCCAGCACTTAACCGCTGCGCCACCAGGGGAGGCCCCCATCAGGAAATTTTATTAAGCAACTTCATTAAGCCAATTTAATTCTTGGATCAATTTCCTATGCAATGCATTTCCATTTTATTGTAATTGTTTTCATTGGGATCTAGTTTTTTCTATGTAACTTTTACCAAGGAGATTTGCTACTTTTTGGTTCATTGCAAGTATTACCAATGGTGTCTTCTGCTACTGAGTTCCCTGTGGCCACTAAATCTACCAAATACAAGCTCCCAAGTCAGAGTTTAGCTTTAATTTTATCAAAATTTCATTATTCCCTCAATTTTAATCATGTGCTTTTTTAATAGTATTGAACTGAATTTTTCTACCAGTAATATTCATAAACTGAATGTTGATTAAAACAACTGAATCAATTCCCTTTATATAACCTCAAGTTTCTCTATGGAATAAAAAACAAAGTGTGTTTTTACAGTAAAAAGGTCCTGCTTGGGCCTCCCTGGTGGCACAGCGGTTGAGCGCTGGGTTGTGAAGCTGCCCGCAGCCTCTGCAGCGGCGGTTCAATCCTCAGCTGCTCCCCGGCCACCAGAGAAGGGTCCCACATGGCGGCAGACTTCTCCTGCCACCCGCTGCTCCCCTCAGCAGTGTGTTTCATCACTCTGCCTGTTCTGCTCCCCGCTCTGGCTCTGGTGAATTCTCTCACCCTCCCGCGCTTCTGACTATACCCAGTGCTTGTATAAATAAATACATAAATAAATTAATTAATTAGTTAATTAAAAAAAAAAAAGGTCCTGCTCAAAATGGGATGAATTTTAAGAGATCTGGTAGAAAACTAATTCATCATATCTGAACTTTGGGAATTCCAAATCTAGTAGTCTTGGTCCCACAACCTCAGCATTAGAAACTGGGCTGCCTTTTGAATACTTGGTCTCCTCTGGGACTCTGGGCTAAGCTTACACAGAAGTAGGTTGAGGAATTACTTGTTCTCCTTCTGTATAAACTGACATGCTAATTTAAATCACTTGTTCTGTATAAACTGACATGCTAATTTAAATCCTTTATATCTTACTACTCAAATATAATGGAATATAAACTCAAGGAAAAATATGTCAAATGGGTTTTGTCTCCAAACCCAGAGAAGTAGATTTAAGCCATCTACTTGTAGTTTTTCCCTAGGTATCTGGTTTTTCCATTAGGGGGCCGTATCAGGGCATCTTGTCTCTTACCAACCAATTTCAGGGGTTGCAAAAATGAGCCATAGAAGGGTGCATGCAAACAAAAGCCAAACTGGTGGGAGGGAGCTGGCACCTCTTAAAAGAAGGCAGGGCTACTCACCGCAGGTGAGCTCTGTCCACCTTCACGGAAGGTTCTAATTCCTGCATCTCAGTGGGAATATTGCATCTAAAAGGGCTTCCCCAGAGCAGCCAGTGTCACAGACAAGGAACACTGCACTTTTGGTTAATGCTAAATTTGAAGCAGAAAAAGCCTAAGAACTTCACACTGTATAACTAGGTAGGGATTATAGATGAATCGAATTTTATATCCTCAGAAAAAGTAGGCAATTTAGGTTTTACTTTTGTATGTTATACGGAACTCTTTTGATCCCTAGATCTTCTTTGGGTATCATATCTGTGACCTCAGCACATTAACAGTTCTCCCTGAGTCATAGATGTCAAGATAATTAAAGTTCAAATTACTGTTTGTTATTTCCTCAAATTTGGAAATAGGCAGGCAGGTGCTCCCTTGAAGTATGGGTTAAACAATTCTTAGCGTATAATCCACTTTTTCCCAATACCTGTGTCTTTCAGGGATTAAAAAAAAAAAGACTGCATATTGATGCAGATGCACATGAAGATAACAGACATATTAGAAGTTCACAGGAAATTTTACATAGGGGGCTCTGTGTTGTTTTTTTTTTTTTCTGCAGCTCAGTCTTACAGCTGCATTATCTTGTTTTATTTCATTTATATCTCCACATAACATCCAGAATAGAAAGGAGGGCTCAGAAAATAGCAATGTCAACATTGGAAAATAATTAATCAAAAGTTGTTTTTCGAAACTTAAAAGATGTAAAACTAGGCTTGGAAATAAGTGCAAGGTGCTTATACAGTCTTTCAATCTTAGAAAATTTGACTTTAGAAATAATACAAAGTGTAAGTAATTGATTTTTAATTAGGCCCATTTTAATAAAGTGTATAGGAGTTTACAACTCAAACCAGTATTCATAAAAACTATCAGATACATAAGATAGATCACACAGAGTGCAATAACATAAATCCAATAGTCTGCAAATAAGAGGTATTGCAAAAACTGTTAAGATTGACTTTGTCTTTTTCCCTTCCTTTCCATTTCATAGCCCATTATATTGCAGGCCTATATTGCTGCTAAGGTCTGATGACCTAAATACTCCTTATAGCTGGATTGACCTCCTCAGTCAACTTAAAATACAATCAGCAGAGGGAGTTCACCTCTTCTTCATGGAATTAGCATAGTCTTGGCTTTTATTTGGTTTCTATTCCCTACAAGTGATGTTAAAATTTTCTCTTTCAAAGTAACATCTTGCAGGTCTTGTAGTGTTCTGGTCACTACTGTTCTCCGAATACCACAAGAGTCAAGGATTCAGGGCAAGCCCTACTGAGTTTCATTCTTGTGGATAAGAAGAAACATACTTACTATGGAAATGAGACTATGGCAATGGCTGCTTTTTCCCACCTTTATTTAGAACAATAGATCTCATAATTGGCGGTGAAGGGAACTGAATTCACCCATGCCAAATATCTACTGTCACCTCTTAGTATTCTTTGGATGTCCTTGTAAGGTTTTAACACCATGGCAGAAAGCATGACACCACACACACACACACACACACACACACACACACACACACACACTTTTCATCCACAGTCCTCTAATAGGAGTCTTTGGATGACTCAGAGAACACTTGCATTTTTTAAGAGTGAAAGGGGTACATTGTCTGTTCTCATTCCCAAAGTCTGACCTTCATATTGTTAAAAACATTTTCTGTAATTCCTTGCTAAAAGGAACCAAGCAGATCCCTTTAACCTGTATACATGATACTATTAGAGTGTAATACAGGTAACACTGAATTTCAAGAGCAAAACATGTTATTATAAACTTGTAACTGTGTCACACACATTGAGATTGATGGAAAGTAGCTCAGACTAAAATCTTAAGGAATCACAAGTAATGGAATACTGGATTAAGCCACCAGTGTGCTTGTTAACATTTAGACATTTTTACAAGCTATCCCATAATCCCTTCATACATCAAACTTGCTTCTGCATTCTAAGGCACTCTGGGCCTTAGATCAAGGTGGAGAGAAATCTTTGAGTTGTCTCCCCACAGAATAAGGTTAGGGTTCTGCCAACCTTCCTTCATCCTTTAAAAGAAGTACTATGAACCATTTCATTCTCATTTGGAATTATTCCAGTGTGGTGAGATTACCACAGGCTAGGTGGAAATGTAAGAAACTGTTTACAGAACATGGGAGAGACAATTAACATGGTCAATTCTTTTTCTCTCATCATCCACTTATTGGTATGGTGATAACAGGGGAATGTTAAGTAAGGAAATGAGTAGGGGGTAAGGGAACAAGGAAGGTGAGTCAGAAAGACTTATGGGATAGAGAAAAAACAGGAAAGAACTGTCTGTGTGTTATTGACAGGATCTTGGACACTACATGTGGGAGGCCTGTTTCCTAATAAAGGTCAAGGTGCAAAAGAGGCAGGTAGGACCATGAAGCCAGAGAGCAATGTGCCATCCTGGGAATCAAGACACTGCCAGTGTGGATTCTCACATCTAAGCAAAGGCAACAGTTGTTTCAGTAACTGAGAAAATTCGCTTTGCAGCAAAAGAACATAAAATTTCCAATCAGCAACCACTTATTTTCAACCATTTGAAATCCTTCCTTAAGTGAACTTCACAAGTCACACATTTGCAAGTGTTCTGGTGATTAAAATAAAAAACTATTAGTAGTAAAAACTAAAATTTATACCATTTCATTTAAAATCTTCATGTTTACACTATTTGACAGGATAGGAATATTAGGATTCAGGGGCAGCTCTGGCAATTACAGGGTGTCTCTGTCTCTAAGTTGTGGTCTTTTTAGTAGCTCTCCTATGTACCTTTCATCAAAATAATCTGGAGACAGAAAGTTCTTTCTCCATCTGTGTGGCCAGCAGCCATCCCAAAGTTGTTTGGTATGTGTTTTCCAATTATAAGTCCAAAAACATAGCAGAGAATAGCATCTTTCTTCATTAAAGGGACCCAAGTGACTCCATTTTAAGCTAGAATGAGCCAGATCCTACTCTTCTTTAATTTCCTATAATAAAATTTCATATCCTATATAATGTATACATGTTATTATGGTTATAATGATGTTTTGATTACTTTTCTGTATGGAAGCAAATAAAACATGATTGAATTTCTATTGCCAGATCACTCTGGTTGATAATATTTATTTGAAATAAAACCGAAACCTACTACTTTATGAGTTAGTGAAATGTCCACCAAATAGTTTAAAACACTGATGTACAACTTCTAAAATGTACTAAATAAGTAATGGATCAATAAGATACTGGCATTTTTCTTAAAAGTTTAGAAATTTTGGTTATCAGATTAAACTCAGGCTTAACATGGGCACGTAAACACATACACACCAATTTATACCACAAACATTTCAACTCACCAATGAGTGGGCCCCAAATGAAACCACTTAGGACCTAGATTCCCTGAGGTCCTGCATGTGTTTCAACATCAAATTATCTTCATTCCATTTTCCAGTCTACTAAGGATTTGGAGCTAACGAACTGTATGTGAGCCTAAGAGATATGTTAAATACTTTCACCACACATAAAATAACTTCCTTGATTCAGAAGTGCCCGTTAGTCAATTAACATGAATTCTTTAAGCTTTCATCAGTGCATGTTGTGGTTCAATGCCTTATGACTAAATGTGCTATGGTTCACTGTGATCCACTGAAATGAAAGGTCACAAGTTTCTGCATTCCCTATCAGATGTGTAAAACAAATTAATACATAAAACAAACTAAAACAAGTGATGCATTATTTTGTTGACTATAATATATTTTCTTTTTCTCTTTAATGTTAACCTGTTGAAATATAGTTGTTGGAAACATGAACTTGCTACAAATTCAGAACATCCTGAGCATTCCTGAGTCCCTTAAAACTAAATTTTCCAGATTTCCATTTCAGGCTGGCCTCTGGCAGTGACATTTTATCTTTAAATGATGCATTTTATTTAATGACATTTTATCACTATATGATCCAAAGAATTCACTAGTTATTAGCTAATAATCAATGTAATCCAATAGTCAAAAAAAAATCATGCATCACTCAGTAAAAACAACATAATTTTCATGTGTTTATATTAATTTCTCATTCAAATGTATTAGGAGTCTCCACTCATCATGGGTCTCCAGTGAGAATGAGAAGTGATTCAACTATGAAGTTTATGAATTTATTATCATGAAAAGTAAAATAGCTACTATAAGAGAGGATGTACATATATAACTAAAGACATTCTGCTGGGTTGTTATAGGGGTAATCCTGAATATTTGGAAGAGTGATTAGAATCACTTTTTAAAATATGTTTCTGATCTAGGATGAGAACTCACCCTGAGTATTCCTATCCTTTTAGCTCCTCCCTTTGAGTGCTTTAAGTGTTAACCACCAAGGGATGCAAAGTTCCATATGCATTAGCCCAAATTACTCATTCAAGTTGAAAGATGATTTTTCATCCATTGTTACACAGAAAGATCAGAAAAGTCAATTGGGGGAAAGCAAACTCAAGTTTACCTTTTAACCTGAACATTTGAAATACATGGAGACTAGACTAGAAAATGTCTCAAAAAGCAACTATTTACATCTTACTGCAAAGATCTCCAACCTTCAAATTAAAAGACTAACACACCTAATCAAACTGCATTAGTTTGGCATTCAAGCTTGATTCTTGGATTAATTACCAACAATTCTTTAATTATTCATTTGGTTTGGTAAACAACTCTCCCAACAAATAGAGAAATCTCCAGCTAATAAAGAAATCACTAACATTTGCAACAGTCAGAGGAAGCTTGAAATACGATGCAGCAACTCTTCCCATGAAGCTGAACTTCCTTAGCAGAAATCTTCTCACTGAAACATTTCATCGTAAGGCACTGATAAGGAAGGGTATGAAAACAGCTAGGAATGAGATCTCTCCAGAAATAGGAGATGCACTTATGTTAAAAAACACAAGTCAGTCATCTACCTGGCCTACTGCATATCTAAATAGGATAGAGAATTGAGAGGTCTTCATGGCTAGTTAATTCAGCACTTTTCCATTCTCCCAAAATTTATTTTCATGTCTCAGATTTGTATTTCTTTGAGAGGCAGTAGAGAAAGATGGCAAGGATTTGGAAACAAACAAATTTAGTTTTTGATGAGTATCATGATTAATTAATTCCATGGTGGCAGCAGAGAATGCTCAGACCTAAGATTTTTGAGTACTTTGAAAAATTACTAAGTCTGCATGAATATGCGGTTGGGAAAGTAACAAGATGCTCTTGTTTTAATTGTTTTGAGGGGAAAATGTAAAAGGATAATTTCTCATGACTAAATACATGGAATTTATTAATATCAAACAGAAGTTTCTGGAGAAAAAATATTCACTCTGAATCCTCAGTTCCAGCAGGATTTTCCTATACCTTCCAATGATTTCAATTTTGCCACAAGAAAAGAACTGAATTAGATAGGATTCAAGTCAGTTAGGTCAGGAGACAAATGCCAGTAAATAAGTGATCGTGGAGGTAGGCATGGTGGCACAGAATTTACCTAAAGGAAAAAAAGCTTCCTCTGCACATGTGCAGAAGTGCGTGCTTACACACACACATACACACACACACACACACACACACACACACAACCTGTGTATTCAGATAAATTTTAAAAGCATGGACATGGTGAAGTCTCAACATTATTAGACATGAGCAAATCTCTCATCTGTTTGCATTTCTATGTAGGAAGGTATATGACACACACACCCACAGACACTCATGCACGAGGACCAGCCTGGCTCGCAGAGACACAGGAACAGAACAGAGAATCCTTCTAGAGCTGCTGGTTTTACAGGAATGATTTGTATCTGCAGGATGACACCTCCTCTTAATGTGCAGTAATTTAATTTTACACTTCCTTCCAGAAATATCCCTTTCCCCCCCCAAGAGTGTTAAATCAACTCCTGAAAGTCTAAGTTTCATTTCTCGCTGGACATGACACAAAACAGGAACTGCAAGAAAATGAACAATAAAATGGTAACTTTGGGGTTGGGGTGAAGTATTTTGGAATTTAAACAGTTTTTGGGGAAAATAAAGGGATCTGGGTGGAGGTGGAGAAGGAAATGACCAAAGGCCCAGAAATCAAAATAAACAAAAGAAATAAGCATAACTTAAAGGGGTTTCAATCTAGTATCACTGCAACTGAGTGTGTAGATGGAAGTTCTGCTCTGACTGGAAATAAAATAACAGATATTTTTTTTTCTGAGGAAGGCGCAACTGGGAATGGTGTGGTGGGTATTAAGGGTGGGGTAGAGAAAGAGGCCTAAGGCTCAGGTATTGCTCCTAAGGTTTCTGCTTGCCTGATTTTGAAGGAAAAGGCGCTAAAGCAAAAGGATCAGCAGCTGGCAACTCTGTAGTCCTGGAGGAAAGGGATGTGATGGAAACAGAGCCAGCTATAGACTGCTTGTTGGTTTGTGAAACAACTTTGTAGGCAGCAATGGGCTGGGCTTCTGGACTTGGCTCATCTTCTGGGCTATAGTGACGGGAATATTTGGACAAAGACTGAGGGCGGAATGGTTTACCAGCCATGGGGACTGACACAGCTTCTTTCTGGGACTGAGGTCCTTTGTTTCTGTCATTAGAATGGCCTCCAGATTCCAAGGAGGAGCCCCTAGGAGAGACGCTATCAAGATGGTCTGCTGCTTGTACAGACTGGGAGGGGAGATTAGATTGTTGGACAAAACCAGGCATGGAATACTGAGCTCGGACAGAGGCATATATTGCTCTGTCAAGGCCTGAAAGCAGAGGGACATCATCTGTCTGACTGAGAAGACTGGCCTGTGCAGGCAGCTCCTGGGAGGTGCTCTGGGTAACTGCTAACTCCTCCATGCTTTTCTTCTTGGTAAAGGGAGCTCTCAAGAATACATCCGCCTCCTCAGGCTGCGATGGAGCCACACTACCTTTGGAGACAAATGGAGCTTTGGAGAAAATGTCCATGTCATCAGTTGGAATTCTTGAGCTCCTGAAGGGGGCTGTGGCAAAAACATCTGGCTCACCAAGACCATCAGTGGTTGACTGAGTGACGGCTTGGAACTGATTCTTTCTTCCACCTTGTACTACCTTTGCTTGCTCAGTAGAGACTTCTGACTGAGAGAATGGAGTGGCTCCTCCCAACTTCCCCTGGGGAGGCTTGCAGCTCTCATCCTCTTCTTCAGACTCCATTAGGAGAGGTCGAGACCCACTGCAGTCCAGCATGTCCCCCTCAAGGTCAGTCCCTTCCTCTTCACTACTGTGGAAGGAGCTGTTGCTTGAAGGGCCATCTCTGGCTAAGTAGTCAGATTCTAAACTGTTCTGAATTTTCGTGCCAGGCACTCTGGATGGGTCTGGATACAGGGCAAGGTCTTTAACGCCCGCTGATTCTTTAAAGTGCTCTACAGTTATTACAGGACAGGGATTGGGCTCTTTCTGGAGACCTAGAAAAGCACAAAATGCAGAATTAATGGATAGGTCAGTTCAGCTCTTCTTTGAACATTCAATGGTCAGCGCACGGAGGAAACATTGTGGGATCAAATGATAGATGTTGAAAATGGAAAAGGAAAGAACAGAAAAATAAAAGTCAGGCAAGGAAACTATGCACAAACTGGAACACAACCAATCACTGTCTCACATTTTGGAACATGATAGGCACAATGTGCAGGAAAGGAAATGAAAATGTTAGGCACACAGACATTCAGCGTTAACTACACGATGCTCCTACTCGCGGGGCCAGGCACTGACACCTGCTCTACCTGGCACTGGCTCATGATGGAATGAAAACAAACCCAGTCACTCATCTCCACATATACCATGACAGTTCTGGATTATGCAGATATACTGTCTGGGAACAAATTCAATTCAGTATCCCACATGTAGTCATCTGTTTCACATTGCCTGGTTCTGAGGACAGACCTGCCCCACCCCCATCCGAAAAGGAGCAGAATATCACTGCTTGATAAATGCAAGTTTACTTGATTTAGATCACAAGCACTGCTCAAAAGAGCACAAGAGTGCCCCAAATACAAATACTGAAGGCACTTTCTAAAGGGAGGAGATATCATCAAAATTATTAAATAAATCACCTTCAGCTGGAGTTGTCCTGGAATTTTGTTTTCAGTCTTCTAATTTAGCAAAGAACTCTTCTGCTTAAATGAAGCCATCATAAGGTTCTTTAAGCAGAAGGAGTAAAAGGCATGGGTAATTACAGAAGTATTTGCAAACTCTAATACACGAAATTATTTCTATCTAGGTAGAGGGGCCTCAGGGTGCTCTGGCTTTTAAAATCAAATAGACAATTATCAGAATGCAAGAGAGCTTACCTTCCAAGAAATATTAGCAGGTTAGAAGTATGTCATTGGGCACATGTTAGCAAGAGGGCAGGAAAAAGGCATATGTAACTAAGCAAGAAGAATCCAGAGAAAGGGCGGTTGGGGGTATAGATATCATTTCAGCTTGGGTTTCCCAACCCACCAAGATCAGAACATCAGGTATGATGATTTGATTCTACAGATGACTCAGAACCTCTGTACAGTGGTAATTCAATAAATCCCTCCCCATATTAGCCTCACCCCTCCTATCCAAACCATTAGCTAGTGAAACTTCTACTAAAAATTATCCCCTGCTAAATTTTCTGCTTGAATTAAGCACACAGAACACAGCAGAAGTGGCATCAAAATCAGTTTATTGGGAAACCAGTCACTTAGAGACATTACAATGTAAAGAGATGTAGAGAGATCTGAACATTTTAGAAGATACTATACAAAAATACTATGTTTCTCTGAATCCTGTAACTTTTTAGCAGTGCCTCTTTTTAAACAGTTCTGACCTTAGTGTTTTCAAAAACAAAAAAGGTGTTCCCCTCCCTCCCATTTTTATTTCCTTTACTAACAATCTGAATGCATTTGGTGAAATCCCTTAGAATCTAAGTTAATTTCTGTATTGGTGCCCAAAGGTCTTCTGAACAGTATTTGAAGAATATGATTTTGAAGGGATTACATTTTCCTTGCATTACAACTTTAGTATGTGTACCTATGGAGATACTGAAGCATCAGCTAGCGGAGAGGTGATAAATGAAACACTTTCTCCCTTGCAATAGATAAGGAAAAGTATATCTTATCTTCCAAGCAGGTATATTGATATTAGATGTGTCACAGTGATTCCCAGATGACAGAAATCTAGGAGGAAATTCAAATGAAAAGGGGCAAAGAAGTTTTCCAAAGTATGACTTGTCAAACAAAGTGGTACAAAAGGCCCTCAAACTCCCTAAATCATTTTCTCACACAGTATTAGTTGGACAAAGTTCTCAATTGCCAAAACTAAGGCATAATTTCTATCTTCCAAAACTATTCCAAAAGTTGATGTTTTTATCTGGTTTCATGGGAGAATAAAGGTATCTCTTAGGAAACAAATGGCAAATTTAGTCAAACCAAGGGTCAACTCTGGCATCATACAGATCAATAATGAAAATGAACACTAGTTTGACTGGAGTTGGTATTTTCTGAGAAATTTAAATTGAATTTAGTCAAATCAAATTGTTTGCAGAGGCTGCCGAAAAGCAGTTACCTATAGAATCAGGGACACTTTGGATGCGTGCAGTGTTAAGATTACATTTTGAGAACTGTAAAGTAGCACGTAGGGGTGCCCATATCCAGAGCCGGAAAGGATGGAAGAACATGCTTAACCCATTAAAATTACTTGTTAAAAAGTGGGTTCCTGCCAACTCAGAGCATAGTCTATGAGCTTCATAGTGAGTAATGGGAAAATCATATTTAAAATTCCAACAACTTTTTAAAATTCACAAATACAGTCACAAAAATTCTATAACACCAAGTTTGAGGGGAAAACTAGTCTCCTGTCCTTTAAAATAAGGCCAGACCTATTTCAGATCTCTCTTTCTGCTTTGCAGGATTGGAAAAGTACATTTAAAGGATTCTCCAAGTCTCTCAACCTTTCCATTCTTTTTAGAGGAGATGCAGTGTGACCGAGGCAGAGAGCAACCACCCTTTGCAACTCTCCAAGACTGGCACTCTGGACACCAAAGAAAAGCCGGTGGATGGGGAAGCGCAGACATCCACTTTCCCTCAGGGAATTTTGGTGGTGCAGCACAAGAAACAAAGTAGTCAAGAGAAGGAGAGATTCTAAATAACTGTAAACAGAAGATAGACATTAAATCTTGTTGGCAGTTAGAGGTCTTTTTGGGAATATGAGTGTTTCTTGTAGGGAAAGTGTGTTTTCAGGGTGAACAGTCTTTGCACATGAAGATAGCCTTGTACTGTCAGGAAAACATGTTTGAAGCATTTTGCCTAGGACCAAAAAAGGGCTTAAACTAATTTAACCCTATGCCATTAGCCCAGTTCCTCTGGTAACCAACGGCATGCATAGCAGATGCTTGTGACCACAGAGGTCATCAAGCTAGCCAGTTGATTCCAGGCGGGGGAGGGGTAACGCTTAAGCTCAGGTCCTGGTCTCACAGCTTGCACAAGGGTCTTCCTTATCAGGAAACCTACGGTAGGGCATTTTGTTCTCATTCCCTTAAACAGGGTCACATCACTTTATTTTGGTTTAGCACAATAAATTAAGCAAGAAGTCAAAACACACTTCTTCTAGCTCTGATGTAGGACTGTGTGCCAGCTTAAGATTAAGCACGCTTTTCAACATGTCCACTAGGGATAACTCTATTTAAGTCTATTTTGAGGCTCCAAATTCTGTAGTAACAGCTTATGTGTGTCAGAGAGTAGGAGTCCCAAAAAACATTTGGTGACTTGGCCACTATCCTTACTGCCTATTAATTTCCAAAGCAACCAAAAGTGCTAAATAATTTGGGATAGGTTCACCCTGGAAATTTTATCTGATGGACATAATGTCATCAGAGTATGGTCTAAAAAGGTTTAAATTTCAGGGTGGACATTCCTTAATGCAATATATCATGCACAACCAGAATCTGGCTTCCCCCCACTCTGTAAACTGAAACAGCAATTATAGGGAGTATCAAAGACACGATTTTTGCCAAAATGAAAATGAAGACTTGGAGTACTGAGAAATCTCCTTATACAGTTAGCAAATAGAAATCCTTCATGTGAACTTCAGAAATGCAGCACAAATTGAAATTACCACACTTGGCGCCAAATCGGGTAATCAAGAGATGTACATCGAACTAACAATTTCTATTAGCATCTGGCTTAGAGAATAAAATTTTGCGTTTGGTTCTACCAGATGTTATGCAGTTTCTGTAAAACCATGACTGGGGAATAAGAGGTTTGAAGAGAGCCAACACTGGCTAGTGATGCTATACTGCTCAAGCCAACGGGATATCAAATGAGAGAGATTTCTCCCTGGGCCTAAAACTGCTGTTGCCAACATAAATGTTTAATTAAATTGGCCTGGGTATGTTAAAGTTTAAATTAGAGGATGGTAGCTGTACATCTGAGCTCCATTTTACAACCTTGTGTCTAGTCATATTAAATGTAGGCTTGTGGGGTTTTTTTCTCTCTGATCGCACGGCTAAGCGAAGGTAACCATGACTCATTAAAATGTCCTCAGCATGTCTTTTTCATAGATATCTGCACTCCCCTGGTACACAGGTACTTACTGTCACTCAGCAATGTGTTTAAATTCTTTTTGCAAAAGTGGGTTTCAGGAAATTGAGTTATTTACCTTTCTGAACATCATGCTCCTGTTTTGAGCAGATAATGGTCTTTATCCCCCTATATGTTTACATTAGAAATTTGTTTACAGACTTATTTTCTATACAACGCTTGTGTAGCAATGTTCAAATTTCACATTTTTATTGCATAAAATAGCTTTTTGTACCTCTGTTTGTCTTTTTATTGAGTACAGGATACAGATCTGTATTGAATATATAGCCACATGACCAGGGTGTACAACAGGGCAGAGTAGAATATTCACAGGAAAAGAGTAAACTGAGGACACGACATCAAAGTGGGAAGCAAGGAAGTGACTTTTATTCTAACAACTGCCTGTAATTTGGTAACTTGGCATAGGTCTGCATTACTCAAAAAACCTCCAGGTGCTCACCTTAGTAAAAGGAAACCCAGGAGAAACAAAATATAACATATGGTTGCAGATGATCTGAATGGAGGGGATCTGGGATTCTCATTCAAGAAACTGAAGCATATCCAACTTCAGAACATTACTAGTGTGGGAAAGGAAAAGGCTAACTTGGTGTTGGAAAAACTATAGTCTCAGGAAAAGAATGTAGATAGCCTTGCAACTGCAGTCTGGACTGTCAGTAAAGATACCATTTTAAATATCCATGTGATAGTTTGTTCTGCCTGTCGGCTTGATTCAGTACTTTTGGCAATTCTGTCATTTTTATCCCCTAACTCCAAGTTAATGGCTCCAGGATCATGATAATCTTACAGAGTAAGAAAGTTAAAAACTCCTAGAGATCATAGACAAACCTCATCATGGTAACTTT